AAAACATAGCCACACAGGGAGCCCCCTCTGCCCTCTGGATAGGGGGTGGGGGGGAGGGACAGACAAACCTTTTTTGTGGCTGTGAAGTTTTGGCCACAAAACAGGAAGCGGAAATGAGTGCGCAGAAGGACGATGGCGACATGTGAAATGTGTTTGCCGCCAAAGGGACACAAAAAACGAGGATACCCCACCACACATGCAAAATAAACGGGTTCAAGTGGCGCTCGTAAAAACAAGGAGCAGCGGGAGCCAAAAGGATAACTGTTGAATTGTTGGCTCTAATAACAAGGCAGGAGACTTGCCATTCTGTCCGCCGAGCAACTTGTGGCCAGCTTAATAGCCGCTAACAACATGCCCCTGCCAGGTGCAAGGCCAGGGGAAGGACTCAGCAGGGAGGCAACAACCTAGTGCTCAAAGTTCTTCGAAAAGAGTTTCGTTTGGAACTTAAATCTAAGACTCATCTCTCTTGGGCTTGGCGAAATCTCAAGGGACTCATGAGGGGGGTGAAATAAATAAACGTTTCATTGCAAAATGCATAAAATATGAACAAGAAAATGCGATTAAATGGACCAGCGCCCACACACTCACGCCTACAGGGCCAACAAACCAATACAAACAGTGGCAACATGAAGGAAAGCCGGGCTCTAAGAGGCGACTCTCCGGACACCCTACCCATTGTGTATGGGAGACTCGCCATGGCCTCTGGAAAGGGCATACAGGAAAGGGCAGCGGCAGGACAATGCTGAACAACAGCAATTGTCGATGAAGGATCTGGGCCGCGTGCTGTGAAAACAATCCAATCAATTTATTAATTAAGCAAGCCACTCGGGCCGGGCCGGGCCGGGCAGGGCCGGGCAGGAGTGGTCCGGGATAGCCTGATATATGTACGATATACAGCCAGCCGATTGCCTCTCTGTCTGTCTGTCTGCCCCCCCACACTTTCCAATGGAGCGCGGCGTCTATTTGTCTAGCTTTGTGCAATGGATTTTTAATGTTTTTCCTTGGACGCGGACGCGGATGCGGATGCTCGGACCCTCCAGTGGGTGGACAATAATGTAACGCATTGTTAAGTCCGCTTGGCACTTTTCGCACGCCAGCTGTGTCCGGCCAACGGAAGGAACTTTAATGAGCCCCAAACTGCAATTACGCAAAACATTTGCCGCACTGCATGTGGCTGGATGCCTTGGTCGTCGTCTGGAATTATTTTAATTGCGTTTTGCTTTTTATTTTATTGCATGCGCGGCGCCCTAACGATTTCGTTATGCCTGAGAAAGGGCCAGCCAAATGGAACCAGCAGGAGCCCGAGCTGCAGCAAAAGTTCTATCTACCAAGGCACCTAAGGAAAAGCCCTGGCTGGGGCCTTTCCCTGGACTGAAAAGATCACTGATCTCTCGCTTTTATTTCGAAATATTCTTGCTACCCATCTCCAGAATACCCCCAAATAAAGGAGGGGTACAACTCCCACAATCCCTGACGAAAATCCTGACTCACCAACGAGTGCGTCTTGCTCTTGAGTGTCCTTTCCCCTTTGCTTGGCACTCAAATAGCCAGGGGGAGGGGAAACCCCTTCCATTTGAGACAGTTTTGCCAACGCATGCGCCTTGTTTGGGTACTTTTTTTATATTCGAGAAAAAGACTCACTCAATGTTTAGTTTTCTTCTATTTTTTTGGTAGTTTGTGGCTTGTAACCGCCCGAACGAGGGATGAACACACATAATCGTCGAAAGGGGTAGCAAGGGGCAACAAGGGGGCTCAATGGTTGGGGATAATTGGCCATAATCAAGCATCGGGATTATTCTGAACATAAATTGCCATAAACAGGGCCAACAAATCAGAGCCCAGCGACTGTTTGGCATTTTTAATTGTGATTGAGCTCGCGGCATAAATCAGGAAAATTGAATACAAAAAAAATGCCGGGCAATAAAATCTGGTAAATACAATAAATAATATGTGCAATTATATATATTTTTCTTGGCTGGCGACAATTTAATTACAATTGGCCCGCGGCTAATAGGGGGGGGGGGGGGGGGGGGGGGGGGGGTGGCAATGAGCAATTGCCAATGCCGACGCGGTGGCGCCACAAAATATGCTAATTTATATTTATATATGAATATGGGCTGCCCAGGAGGAGTAAATCCCATACCAGGCTCCTTCAGCTTCAACTGCAGCTCCAGACAGGAGCCCGAAACATTTTCGGCGGCGCGGCAGCCCCCCAGTGGCTGCGGTCATAAAATTTATTGTTGCCAAATGCATATTTGTCACATTTTGCAATGTGTTTGGCGGCCATAGAACAATTTATAAGCAACTGGGGACCCTGGCTAAAAGCTGCCCCTCCCCAACCCTCGCCCGGCCAGGGGAAATTCCGCCAAAAGTGTCAGACAGCAAAAGAGAGTTCCTTTTGGTTGTTGGTAGACCAAAAGCCGCTTTCAAATGGGATTGAAATTGTTGAAGAGCTCTCGAAACTTGTGGGGAAAATTCAGGAAAATTCAATAGAGAACTTAAGGATATCGCGTTTTCCAAGATAGAGGCCGCAGGAGCAGAGATATAGAGGTCTGCGACTCTCTCGGGGTTTAATTTAAGGTCTGAGTTTATTCTACCCAAATAGTAATCGATATGGAGGAGTACTCTAACCAATTTCCTTTACTACCAACATGATAATGGGCTAGCATTCCCAGGGAAACTTGGGGCTCGTTGCCCTGTGCCCCGTGCCCTCTGCCCTCTGCCCTCCAGCTGTCACAACATGCTCTGAGACACACTCTTCACACCTCAGAGACTCGTTGCTGGACTGGAATCCCCCAAATGCTCGCTAAACAAAAGAAATGAAGTCATTTGTAATTAATGAGGTTTGTCACCCCAATTTGCCGCAACTTTGGGCCACACAATACCCGGCCAAACCAAACAGAAGAAAGAAGAAAGGAAACATCAGTGGTGAGGAGAGTTCAACCTGGCAGCATATTGAAAATCACAGCCAGTGGGGCTGAGGCATCAAACACCAAACAACAAAAAAAGCGCACAGAAATGCCATCCACAAAACAATCTAATTATATCGTTAAGCACACCGAAATTGGCAGGGTGCAAAGCCACCCTTAGCGCAGGGTGTCGCAGCACCCCTCAGGTGTGGGCTTTGGGAGTCCTGTGCGTTGACACCTTGACAGACAGATAGACAGTCGGAAAGCCACATTCTTGACCCTGACAGACGGCGGGGAGGAGGACAGGCCGGCCCTGGATTCGCTTTTGGGTGACAGTTTCCGTATCCGTTTTGCTTGTTTAATTAAAATTATGTAAATAAATTTATTTAGCTGACATTGCCCCGTAATTAAGTGCAAGCAGGAGGGCCTGGAAGGACTATGTGCATCTGTTGCCTGTCGCCAAAGGCCACCTTGCCGGGCAAGTTATGCCTCCAGCTGGTCCAGCTGCTGTTGCTTCTCCTTAGTCTCTTTCTGATAGTATATATGCAAACAAATTAGCCTTGAAATGAGCAATTTGCAGGCCATGGTGGGGAACAGAGGTGGGGGATGCTGTCTCCGCCGTGAACAGCAGAAACAGAGCTGACAGCAGCTGTCAGTGGGGCGGCCAGCGAGCGAGCGAGCATTACGTATTCCATCCGGGTGAGAGAGGCGTGAAAAAGCAATTAAGTGTGAAGTCCTTAGGATCGCCCAAGAAAAGCGCGCAAAGTTTGTCTCTGTCTGGATATATAAATGGAACGTATTACCGATTCCTCAAAGTCATTGGAAATAAATGAAAAATGATCCCAAGCATGCTAATAGATACGGGATAATGGACCCTCTTGATGGGTCAAATATACGACCTCGACACTCGCCATCATAATCCAGCATTCAGACTAATGAAATGCCAAAAGGCAGACCCCCCGTTTCACATATGTCAGCGTCATGACACCTCCACTCCAGGACCTCGGAAAACTCCACACGTTCACGTACTCGATTGACGTCACCACAGTGAAGCCATGTTGACATCGACAGGGGAGAAATTGTTTTGATGAATGTGTCGATTTAATTGATGAATGAGTTTTTAAGCTGGCAAAAATCGAATGGAATCACGTGGAAAGGTGGGGGGCTGGGGACATGGCATGGTAATGGAATTGGAATTGGAATTGGTAAATGTGTTGGCACGACAGGTGAGGGGCTCAATTAATAGCGGCTCTTAAACAAACCGAAAACAGAGACCGGAAGAGCGCCCGAAAAGTATGCAATATAAATTTCGAAAAAACAGCAAAACTCAAAGCGCAACAATTGCAGACCACAAATATCAATAAAAAACCAATACAACATGGGGCTACAAATGTTGCGATTTGTTCAGACCCAAAGGCAAGGGGGGGGGGGGGGGGAGTCAGTCCCAGGCATGCAATAATATAAATTCCAGGCAACAGAGCCACAGAGCACAGACCTACCCTGCTTTAATCGAGGTAGTGGCACAAAAAACTCAAAAAAAAAAAAAGAAACGAAGAGCAAATAAAATCCAACATCAAACTATAAATAGACCCAGGCAGGCAGGCAGGCAGGCAGTCAGGCAGGCAGTCCTGTGCACTCTGCCCCATGTGTGTGCGTGTGTGTGTGTGTGTGTGTGTGCTGTTATTGGAGTGAATTTCCAGGAAAAGTCTTGTGGCTTAATCTACAACAGCATGCGGTTTGTTGGCTGCCTCAGGACCCGGGGCTCTGCGCCAGGAGCGGCGGCAATAAAAGGCTGAAGGCTGCAGGCTGAAAACAGAAAACAGAAATGGGAAGCCGCATTTCGGCGTCGGCTGAGGGAGCGGTTAAATATTTAAGACTTTCGGCCTGGAAAACTCCACCGATTCATTAGGGGGATACGCTTGCAGATACCTATGAGGATATTAAATGATACCCCGCTAGACGATCGCCAAAAGGGATTTAATTTTCTTTGAGATCTTCTAGCAATTGAAAAAAACAAAAGGGGGACACTAATTGGGGCTGTGGCCCGCGATGTGTGGGCTATCCTTCGGGGCACTACTTCAGTCTGACGGAATGCCGCCCACTTTTAAGCCCTTTGACTATCTCATATTTCCTGTGAACGTAAGTAGGCTTAAGTTAATTAGCAGGCTTAACTGCTCTTTGCCCTTTGCCCTCTGCCCTCTGCCCTCTGTTGCTGCTGCGTGTCCTTTTGGAATGTGGAATGCGAGACAACGTATTAAGCTTAATGTGCCGCGTGCGCATAAAACAAAATTTCAACTGCAATTAGTCGTGCAAGACTCTTTCCGTCCCCCCCCCCCCCCCCCCCTGCCCCTCTCCCTCTCCCTCTGATAAAAACCATAAAAATTTTTCCGCCAACATGGCAAATAATTTGGCTAACGACATTTTGTAACTAATGCCGGCCAACCGCAACAGCAACAGCAGCAACAGCAACAGCAGCAACAACAGCGATAACCATTAACACGCCCCCGCGTGGAAAATGCAGTGCCACAGTGGCAGCCAAAAGAAGAACAACAACAGAAGCTGGTCATTAAAAGTCCACCCATAACAGTTTATTGTAATGCGACCGCTCGTAGGCCAACTGGACAAGTGGCTAGCCCACCCCCCCCCCCCCCCCCCCCCCCAACATGTTCCTGCGCCCCGGCGTTGCCACTTAATTAGAAAAGTTTTGGCGCGCCACGAGACAAAAGCCATTGACAGCGACGAAAAGTTGGGTCCGCCCCCAAGGAGGTTAAGCCAACAGAGGAGGCACCTGCACCAGGGACTCTATTTGCGCTGTTTTTTTTTCCAATTAATTGCTTCTACGTGGGTGTGCGCATCGCGAATGTCAACAAAGGCCTCTGCACGGAGCTCGTTCGGCCTTGTGCCGCATGCCCCATGCCGCATGCCGCATGCCACTGGCGAATGCCTGCGGCATTGTCAGGCCTCCCGCTGGCAGTGCGCTGACACTAACATATGGGAAATAAAAAAACGAACGTGCAAGGAGAGACGGACAGACTCATCAATGCTTTCGATTGAAAACTTTTGCACGGCCCATGTGGCCGGGTAGGTTTTCCTCTCCATTTGTTTGCTCCCCCCCCCCCCCAGTAACGGGTGGAGAAATGGAGAATTGGAAATGCGAGTGGGGCAAACAATAAGCCGTTACAATGGGCCTCTTTCTATCTCCCTCCTATCCGTGTACCTCTCGATTTGGGGGCAGATGTTCGCCGCAGTTTGCACAGCTGCCTTCCGCCCCAATATCTATGCAAAATTTAGGCAATATGCCCCGGATATGGGGCAAGTAAATTCGGGTTTTCAATTATGAATCTGTTCTCATGTGGCACCCTTTATTGTTGGGCCACGTTTTCGTTCTTTCTCCGGAATATTCGGTGAATAGTTTGCTGCTTAATAAATGGGAAGTTTTTCCAATTCCAATTGCAAACAACATTGAAGGAGTTTCCAGTGCATATTAATGTTGAAATGGGCGTGTCGCCACCTCCTGGGCGATGATGAGAAAGAGTTGCTGCCAGCACGCGATATTCTTGCCAGCACGCGTCCATTTATCATTCGTTGACACTTGCGGATGGCAAGGCGATATCAACCAGAAAGAAGTCTATCCTCACACAATATGGCCACTCCCTCGCAGTGGGGACGGAGACGGAGACGGAGGCGGAGGCGGAGGCGCACTGTCAAAACAGGGACCATCTTTTTCAGTTCGTTTTTGCCATCGAAACCGCAAACAAGCGAATTAGCTGGTTTCCCAAGGTACCTGCCGTTGACAGGCGCCGGGACTGCGACAGGAAGAGGGACTGGAGCTGCCATTGGAGTTGTCAAAAGCAAAGCAAAAGTGGAACCCCAACCAATGGGCCGTCAAGGCGGGGGTGGCGGCATCTTCCAACATGCAAGTTGGCGGCAATTGAAAACTCATTGACAGTTGACAATGGAAAAAAAATAATAGAAAAACGAAAACGCCAGCAACTGGTTGGAGGACCGAGGAGCCAAAACTCAATTGCAGTTACATTTCAATGCAAATACCCTGTACTCGGTCGAGTGCCAGGATATACTACAGCCAGAGCTCTCTTTGAGGAACTCAATGTTAGATTGCTGGCCTAGAGGGTATCTGTGCAGCGTTCCTGTAAGCGGTGGCCCTCTCTTCGAGCCCTCTTCTAGCCTAGGTTGTTGCCTCTCTTATGCAGAACTTTGTTTTCCGGCTTGTCGTTGACAGGCAGCGTTTGTTCGGTTAGTGGTTGGCCCTGTTGTTGTTATTCATTCGGAGTTGTACTGGCATGCTGAGACGTTTTCTATTTGAAATTGTCAGCGGCAATTGATATGCATTGCTGCAGCTGAATGTCTCTTTGTTTTGTCTGCCGATTGCGGTTGGTTGCTGCTTCAGGAAATTGATTTCCACAATCATGGAGCGTTGCAGCACAGCCCCTGCACAGCCCCTGCACTGCACTGCATGTATTGGCACCGCAAATGAAGCGAGCAATTAAAACAACAACGATCAAGGGGCGGGATGGGGCGGAAGCTACCAATAAATTGCTGCACACTTGAACGCGCGCGCCTGCAAGTATGCAACGGAAAATGCATTTAATTTTCGGCGAGCTTTGAGATGGAATTCTTCCTTGTGATTTGATATTTAATGCACGTACTCAATGAAGAAATTCCAACAGCAGCGCATTAGTAGACAAGAAGCTTCAGCTGTTGGCAGAACCCAGCCGGACGGACAGACAGAGTGGACACGGGCGGACAGGGGTAGGTAGCGACGCCTGCCAATTGCTTTTCAACATATTTGATGCGACGACGACTTTCGACATTTTGCAACTTGGCCACGTACAGAAGTCGAAAAAAGGAAGATGGGAAAAACAAGCAGGAAACGGCAAAGACGGGCAATGGCGACTAGAAGATGCCCTCTGCCTGAGGACTGAGTCGAAAAGGTATATTTGAGAGTTGCCAAACCATTTACAGACCCCCACAAGCAGCTCCCTAGCCAATACACTTCCCCTGTACGGGGTGTCGGAAAACCCCTAAAAGCAAAGTGCAAAACCAACAACCAACTACTAACAGCCACTGCAGAAGCAACAACAACAGCTGCGACGCTGGTTAAGCATACAAACTGTATATAACGTATACGCCCTGTGTCTGCGAGGCTGGGGAGGGGAGGCGAAGTGAAGCATACGCCATGTTGACCCAACAACAAACATAAAATGTAATCGCAGCTAATAAGAAAACTAAGCAGATCCTGGCTGGTCACGATTTACGCTCGTTTCGCATTCGATTTGCGATGCGCCATTGGCAGAGCCACACGATGCACCACTGTCCACCCGGTGCACAGTGGAATCACAGCGGAGCCTTGGCCCAGGGTCTATGCCAGCCTCTAGAGGGCCGCTTGAAGGCAATTTCTAACCACTGTGCTGGCTCCTGGCCCTGCACCGCCATGTCAATGGACATTTAATGGCGCTCCCCATTATGCGCCGCATCAAATGTGCCAAATACGCTTCGCTGGCAATAAATGCTGCATGGCGAGGTTTCTCTTCGATGCAAGTCAACCCTCCCCCGTCTCCGACTCGTTGGGGGGCCCTCAGCTGGCCGTAGCCGTGGTCGTGGTCGTGGTCGTGGTCGCCGTCTTCGTTCCGGCCACGATTTGCAATTTTGTGTGCATCAGCCTTGCCACTGCGTCGCTCGTAATTTTTCGTGAATTTCTTCACGTACTTGCATTCCATCTTCATCGTACCCGCGTCCCCCTGTCCGTAGTCCTTCATCCTCCTGTCGCTCCTATATCTCCTGTCTGCTGGCTAGCACTGTGCCCCGGCTGCACTGGATTGTAATGGCATAACCTTTGAATAAAATTAGCATTATCAGAGCTCCATTTGGCGGCCATTCCGCTTCGTTTCTTTTCAGGTGTCTGTATATCGGTGCGCCGGGGGATCAATAAATATGCTCAATGACTTTTTGAGCGCCACATGATGCCGGCTGGCCATTAACATAACAGCTAAGGCCGTTAACGGGCACATGAAGGTCAATGGGAACTAGTCGCTCGGTAAAAAAAACAAGAGCAACCCAACCATAGAATCCCTAGCACTCTGGGCACACTTTTAAACTCTTTTTGAAGCACCTAAAGCCTCGAATCTCGGGGTAGAGTACCCCACACACACACTTGCCGCCATCAATTACCAATTTCCATGCAAACTCATGTACCCCGAAAAACTAATTGGTGGAAAATTAAGTTTTTGCACAGAAATGCTGCGCAAATTGAAATGCAATCGAGGCAAAGCGGATTACTGAAAAACTTTTATGATTGAATTCTGCTGCTGGTTGGCCAGCCCCACAGCCCCCCAGCCCCACAGCCCCAAACCGATTCCAGCTCTGGCAAAAAGCGCATCGAGAACTTAATTCGGAGCAGAGCCTAGTGTGCCCGTGTATGTGCCTGAGCACCATATGCGATTGGCAGAGCTTATGTCTGTGCTTGCCAAAAAAAACAAAGAAGGAGAACAGATGAGATGAGGGAGGGCCAAAATATGTGGCCCCAGCTCCAGTCGGCGTTACAACGATTTATATTTTGCTACTTTCGCTATAAAAAATAAATATGCAATAAAACAAAACGACAACGGGCCCCGCCGACATATGCATTATTGTCCTGCCGCCACTCGCTCACTCCATGGAAATATTTGCTAGAAAACGAAGACATAAACTTTCGGAATATATGGCGCATTTGGCAGGAACGAAGGCAGGCCCAGGCCCAGGCCCAGGCCCAGGCGAAGACGAAGACAATGGCATTCCTAAATGCCAGTAGCAGCCCGCAGAGTGCAGATCGGGACATGGTGGCAGGCAGTCGCAGAAACGAGCGGAACAACAGGGCGTATACGTATTGTTGTCCTAAATTGCGCTCTCAGCTGGCGCACGACTTGACTGCATCTTCCTTGCCATTTGGCATGCACCAGAAGACCTCGCCCAAGGGGCGGGCACGACGGCCGGGGGGAAGGGTTCGATGGGAAGGCCACTTTATGAAGCGCGCATATGTTGCACCCCTTTCAGAAAGCACCCCCCGAGGATGGGCTGATGGGGGTACTCTTATAATAAAAATGAAGGACTCTCCGTATTCCCCAGGCAAATCACTGCAGTCTCCGAGTCTGAGGCGAAGGCTATAAAGCAAATCGTTTGACATTTGTTTTGATTTTCCATGATTGTTAAAAATATCCGTAGCCCAGAGGGAGACCTGACATCAGACTTTTGGGATACACAAAAGACATGTACATATATGGGATCCTGATGGGGGGAAAGATATTAGCTGTCTGTGGAGAAGATATTGGAGAATTCGGGGTTCTCTATACTTCATTGAGCTCCACAACAAACCTTAGCAATTAACTCTTCCAAATTGCAGCACTTATGCATTCCATTAGCTTTCGCCACTAATTCCTTTAGGCACTTGAAATTCAATAACCATAATCCAACCAACGACAACCTTTCAACACTCCCCTTTTCGGTTCCGAAAACTTGTAACTACATTTATCATACGAGTAGCAGTGCGAGTCTATGAGAGCTGACCTGTCTGACCCTTTTAAGACACTCGGTTCAAGCTGGGGAAAGTTCCTTATCATAATTTAGAAGACAATTAGCCAGACACTGCCCTTACTGCGCTCTCCCTCGCCCCATTCCAGTATCGATGGCAGAAAACTTGGTCTGGTCTCCGGAGATGCTGCCAGAGTCACTTAAAGTTTACAGCCGCAAGGGCCAAAACAATGCCAGACAATAATTAGCCAAATTTATTGTAATTAGCCGCACACGCACGGCATCCACACACACTCGCATATGTGACCAGAGTCGAAGTAATTATTATCATTACAGAAGGAACCACGTGGGGCGAACCTTCTTCGGCCAGGGCGTGCCACATGTGTGCGTAGCGTAGCTGAGAACGCATTTAATTGCACAAAGCCTCTTTGCACTTAGAGAGTTTTTAAATAATTTAGTTGTGTCGCTGGCGAAAAGCTGTCCAGGAGCTGCCTCTGTCAAAGGCGTGCATGTGGCAAGAAAAGCCACGGCGGCAGGGCGGCAAGGACCGGGCCCTGGCACAGGACGTAATGCAGTCGAGTCACGTCACACAGCATGTCGCTAATTTTTCTACCTTTTTTTTCCCCCCACAAAGTTTTCCTTCACTGCAATGCGCTGGAAAAAAATGTTGCTTTCCTTTTGCTATTTTCGGGTGGAGCGGGGAGTACAGGGAGGGGGCTGCAGAGGAGCTGTTAATTCCTGTTAATACTGAGCCTGTGGCTTAAGCCATTTTAAAGGCCTTTCGATTCGAATTCCCTCTACCTTCTACCTTCGCTTTGTGCGCTTAAATTCTTAAAAAAGGCTTTTGTCAAAGTGGTGTACAGTCCCGCACTTCCGCCGCGCACGAGCATAACGGGAATGACTAAGAAGTGCAGCATACCGCACGGGGCACGTTTCCTTTCTGTAAACTTTATTATTTCGTGATAAAGTAAATAAACTTAGCCCCGATCTCTGCCTGTGCCACGGCTGGGAGTGCTTCAATGGGAACTCGGTGGCACCTTTCACATTGTTTGCCATTTGCGGTGGACGGCGGCAGCGAGGAGGTTCTGTCAGCCTCGACAGCCAGTCCAAATTGAAATTGGACATTAGACGTTTCCACACACACACACAGACACACAGAGAGACATACTGGTACATAAAAATGGCAGCTTCTGTCGTCGCCGCGACTGCTGACAACTTGCACAACATCCACAGAGCACACACACACAGCCATGCACACACACACACACACAACTGGCGAGGCACACACTCATTGTGAATGACAACGCCCCTGGTACGTGATTTCATTTCCGCTTCTGCCTTTTGTGCACTGCTCGTAACTTGAGTCCTCTGCCTCTCCTCCTACCTCTTACCCTCGGCTGGCACTTCCATCCCCTCGTTGCCCCACTGTTGCCCCTGCCTCCCGGCCCTGGCACCCCAAAATTAATATGCCAGTGCATAAAAAGACAATGCTGCGACTAAATGTGACTAACTGTAAGTGGCCTGTGCTATGGGCTGGCCATTGGAGCACTCTGTAAATCTGGCTCTGTTTGCCGGGGATGCGTGCTTGCCATGGCTCCGCCCAGCAGCGAGGGGAGATTCGAGACTTCTGAGCAATGAATCATTGCCCCTTGATAGCCCCTTCATAACCTGTTCCTATCAATCCATTTCCGACCAATATAATGTATTCCATCTACTGTTCTACTCGGTTTTACTCCAAAGATTTATTTCATTATAATATCATGCAAATAAATTCCAAAATTCTAAGCATTATTTATTGTTTAAGCCCCCAAAGAACACCCTGTATACACGTACATATGGAGGTGCGTGCAGATGCGTTTTCTTCCGACAGCCAAAGGTTAAATTCATTAGCAGAACTCGATAGATCTTTGCAGAGATGGTCAAACTTGTTTGCCACAAACTATCTCGAAACCTGACGGCATTCAACAATGTAAATTTAATTAATAAACAACAAGATACTCGGCATGGTATAGGGCATTTAACAAGAGCATCATAATTACAGAAAAGATGATTAACAAATGACAAAAACCCCCCAACCCCCGAAATCCACCTCCAAGAGAAGATTTCAAAGTCAGGGCCGAAAAGATGTGGTGAAAACCAGTTATGATAGTTTCTGGCCGTGTGTTCCCCCTGCCCTGGAGGAGACAATGGTTTAATTGCGATGCGCCTAATCATATCTGATCACGATGACAAAAAACCGGGCCAAGAAAAGACAATAACGGAAGCCATTTGCCATGCAAAAGAGCCAGCAAGAGATCTGGCATTTACATACACGAGAGATCAACAAATGCAGAAAAATAAACGATAAAAAATAAATAAATAGCAGCAAATTAACCAGCAAGTTTTTGTTTAATGTTTGACTTGGTTTGGGCCATGAATTTGGCTATTAACTTGTTTGCACTTGAGTAGGAATATGATTCATGGCTAGCTGGATGGAGTGTCCCTCGACACGTGTGGACGATAAAGCATACAATTCGCCAGATGTTGAAATATCGACCCACAGGAGCCGACAGGAGAGGATTAATGGAGGCCGAAATCCAGATAATGAGGAAATAATTCATACCCCGGCAGAGCAGAACAAATTTATAATTATAAATGAAATTTTATATGGAATTTTGGCTTCTAAGGTCCAAACAATCATCCCCTCTTGAGGTGTGGATGAAATTATTACTGTTTTCGGCGGCATCATTTATTTATGGAAACGTTATACCATATAAATAGGAAACCTTGAAATAGTCAAGCGAATAAATTTTTTTTTTAGGTTCAGACGTCAGAGCCAGACCCATTTATACGACCATAATCATAAGGAACTGGTTTTGGCGAAACTAATTGATGGCCAAGGGTTCGTTAGATCACAGAATTATGGGATTACCATAGACGGGAATAAATTAGTAAATATTGTGGGCGCCACGAAAGACAAAACCGTCTGCAAGAACAGCCAGGTGGGGAAGTCCAAGATGTTTGACAAAAAAGTTGAATACTTTGCGCTTGTTTTAGTGTAGAACAATGGCTTCTAACCTTTGGCAATAAAAGAGTCGTTAAAGTGCCATCATCCGACCAGTTTCGATCATCTGCATTCGTTTCAAGCGATCTTTTGCGAATTTCCGGCTACACCTGACGCATGTGCCAAAATATCTATCCATCTGCTCGGAATTATGCCGTTAGCATCAGATAAGTGCCTTGTTATGGAGACTCCGAATGACCAGACCCGGGAGCCATCGATCTTGCTATCAACTGGAACTCAACTCAGTCCACATGCCATATGCCGACGCGAGCCAATAAACCAATTAAACGCAAACATAACATCACCAGTTTATTCGTTTCGACGGCCCCCAAAGACAAACCAGAAAGAGACTGAAAGAAACGTATCTCCACCCATCATCCACATTGAATATTCATCTGAGTTTTTGGCCTGGCCAGAGCCGGCGATCTTCAGGTTTTGGCTCGAAGAACCCATGCCCCGAGAGCGGATCTGCCGATCGTATAAATAGCTTGCAGCGCCCTCCAGTCCGACAGAAGCGACCTAAAGCTTGTGTAGTAGACATCATGGTAAGCATTCGTCGCGATCGTCAAGGACCCTAAGGATTATTACTAACGCTCGCCATCCCCCCTCCACTCCGCTCCTTTCTGCAGAAATTCCTGGCTGTTTTCTTTGCCGTCGTGGCCTGCGCCTATGGCGATGTGTCCCATCTGGGCTACGACTACGCTCCCCCGGCGCCAGTGGCTCCCGTGCAGGTCTACCAGCCAGCACCTGCCCCGGTTTACCAGCCAGCTCCCGCTCCCGCTCCAGTCTACCAGCCAGCTCCAGCTCCTGCTCCAGTTTACCAGCCAGCTCCAGCTCCGGTCTACCAGCCAGCCCCAGCACCCATCCGCATCCCAGCTCCCGCCCCAGTGCAGAGCTACATTCCCCCTGCACCAATCTCGATCCCAGCTCCAGTTCAGATCCAGGCTCCCGTTGAGATCCAGGCTCCCGTTGAGATCCAGGCTCCAGTTGAGATCCAGGCTCCAGTTGAGATCCAGGCTCCCGCTCCAGTGAACACCTACATTCCTCCTGCAGCACCAGCACCCGCTCCGGTCTACCAGCCAGCCCCGGCTCCAGCACCCATCCGCATCCCAGCCCCGGCTCCAGCACCCATCCGCATCCCAGCTCCCGCTCCAGTTTACCAGCCAGCTCCCGCTCCGGTCTACCAGCCAGCCCCGGCCCCCGCACCCATCCGCATCCCAGCCCCCGCGCCAGTGCAGTCCTACATTCCCCCCGCACCCATCTCGATCCCAGCTCCCGCTCCCGTCTACCAGCCCACTAGCCAGCAGGTGCTCGAGGAGATCGAGCCCGTGTCTGCCGATGGCTACCGCTACAAGACCGTGCGCCGTCGCGTCTACCGTCACCGCTTCTAAGTGCTAGGTGGCAGCCCCAAGCCAAAGCCAAACCGAATCGAATCGGAGCGAACTGTTTCCTAACGAACCCCCCAGGGGGTTGCAATAAAAAATTCCTCCTTCAACTTGTTAAACAAAAAGAAACGAATCTTCAAATTGTTTTCCAATCATTGCAAATCACATGAGAAACAAAAAAGTTTCTCCTGTGGCCAGAACCGAACTGCAAAACTCTTAAAGTCCTGGACAGGCTCTGGCCGTTTGATTCGCAAATTTATGAAACCGAACGAGATGGCAGGACTCGGGAAATCAACTTGCCATCAGACAGATAGCTGTAGAGGGGGAGTCGGGGATAATAGGGAGTTGCAAGCAAGTTGTGGCAGCCTCCCCAAGGAATCGTCCATCCTACTGCCATGCTACTCGATGCCATGCACTCCACTACAGTCCTCTCCACTCCACTCCACATTTATCACGAAATTTATGGCCTGGAATGAGCTTTGATGATGTGGAAATTTTTTCTCGTTAGATTCAAAGTTTCAACGAAGCCACCAGCCACCCGCCACCCACAATCGATGAGGCCAAGACGAAGACGACGCAACTGGATACGTAGATGGAGTCGAGTGGATTGGCCTCATCAGAGCGGTGACCACTTGTGGCTGCTAACAAGGACCATAGCCACGAACAAGAACAAGGACATCGACAGGCGATAGACGATAGACGATGGAGGAAATTAACAAGGAAATGCAACGACAAACGTCTACGGACACCACACCACACCACACCACTCTCCGATATGATTACGAAAATGTCTGACTCTGGCAGCCCCCAATGGGGCCATGCCCATCCCCCTGCCTGTCTGGATGCCCGGACAGCCGCAAAGCCACATATTAAACTTGCCACGGCGCATACTAATTAAAAAGCGTGCAACAAAAGCAAACAACAAGGCTCCTAAAATTACGAGTAATTGCGTAATTAAAACGAAATAATTTTTCCACAGCCTATTCGGGGCCATGACCGCAAAGGATCGGTTGTCCCCGGTCCTGGCCCTGGTCCTGGTCCTGGTCCTGGCTTATATTGTTAATTGTATTTTGGTCAAATATTGGCAGCTCAATTAAATGAATTAAAATACATTTTTGCTTTGATACTGATGATTCCGCAATGCAAATATACATACATGCCTACAGCAAGCAAATTATTTGACAGGCAATTACAATTTACAAACGATCCAGGCCCAAACCCAATCGGTTGGGATTAGATTTATTCGATTTGGTTAATGAATTCTTCCCAATGCTGTAGTCAAAGAATGCAGATCTTTCAATTGGATATTAGGGTGTTATTATGGGAATTATTTTCCCTGGAATCCCTGTGCTCTCCGCTGTGGGCAATCCACTCACAGCCTGTCACTCGTCTAATCCCAGTCAGCGATTAGTGGGAACTGCAATATGGTCTGCATTGGCCAATTATCAGCCTCATTGCACACTCTGCTCCGCCAGGCAGAAGAGTGGGCGATTGAATTGAAAAAAAAAAGACCAGAGCACCGAACCAGGTTCGGCTGGGCCCGAACAATTGACAGTTGGTTGCATTTCCCACCGCACTTAATTAGCAGTTAATGACGCCTGATTAACACGCATTATGACTCCGCCCCAGCCCCACCCCCAGCCACGATCCAATCGAACGAAGGCGGGCGGCCCACCTGTCGGATGTGTAATCGATGCTTTAGGCGCTTGGATTACAAAATAATCACGAGGCAGACACCCCGGCAGCCAGCCTAAAAGTATGCACAAGGAAACGACCAGGCGGAAAAAGTGAAATTGCTGTGGCAAAAAATACAATAAATGGGGACCGTTTGTTGTGCTGTTTGGCTCTTAAGATGTTATTCGACTAGGCGATACCCTGCCTTGGACTTGTTTCAAATGTTGATGGGATAAAAATACACATCCACAGACCCAACAAAATCTTGCCCTCTGGGCCGGGTTTACTCTATAAATCTGATGTAAAAGCGTATGGGTCCACCAGGGGCCCTTCGGCGGCCGGCTTTCGGCTTTAAAGCGACTTTGCGAAACAGGCAGTGTCCGCATGGATATGGGGCATGGATCGGTGGAAAATTGACAGTATCAACGTAATTATATCGCCAGTTGGAAACCAAAAACAAAAAAACAACACGAAACGCGGGATGGCGGATGGGGGATGGGGGAAAAACGTAAAACCAAAGAGGGGTGGCAGTGGCAGCCTCTGAAATATGCAAACGTTGACTGGCTTCATTTATTTTTACTGTTACTGCATATTGGGCGACATCGAACGCCAGAGCGAGAGTGAGGGGGAGAGGGAGAGGAAGGAGCAGCCAGAGGCGCGAATATAATCGTTATCCTGGACAGGTGGGTCCGGGCCGACGCGTCGTCCTCGTCGTCGCTGGATGCCAGCAGTTGCACTTCATTTGCAGCATTAATTTGTCGCCCGTTGATTTATCTGGCGAAATGCATATACACTCGGATATATACCGATGCTGCGAATGAATTTATGAGCTGGGGCGAACGTGCACGCCCATCGAGCGTCGAAAAATGTCTGAAAATCGATTGTTAAGCGTTTGTCAGCCACAGCTTGAAGTTGGTCATGTCAAAGCACTCCCTGCCATGGGACTCTCGACACCACTCGACCCAAACAATCCAACAATCGTACAATGCTCCGGCTGTGACTGTGACTCTGGCTGTGGCTCGGGGGGTAGTTGAATGCATTTTGAATATTTATTAAATCACTTTTTGCACAAATAATGCAAAATAGTTATGCAAATGCGACGGTGCGAAATGGATCCGATCGAAGCGTGCGCCGCAAACCTGAACGAATATCTCCATCCAGAGATGCCGATGGAGCGCCCTAAGCTGGGTCAGCACCAAGCCTTGGCTGGAGGTCGTTGAACCTGAGCTTATCTTTGCCGATCAGAGAGGCCGTATGCTGGCTAATTGGTGAAAGGAGTTTGCCTAGAGTTTGAAGAAGAACTAAACTAGTTCCTCAATGAAAAATATAGAGAACAATAGACTGAAACAAATTGAAGTCTTGGCTTGAAGCCATTTCCATCAGTCAGTACTGGACAACAGGGGGGGGGATGTACATACATACATATATATGTATTCTTGTTGTGGCATGCAGTGGCATTTTCCAGTTATTTTCCGTTATTTCTATTCGCCCCCCGGATCTGCTCGGATGCATGTCAACTATTAACAGCCAAACAACTAAATTACGTATACGCAGCGTTGCATGTCCAAAATGGCTTTGCGGCTCCGTTTGGGCGTGTGTGTGTGTGTGTGTGTGTGTGTGTGTTTGTTTGCTCAAAAATACATTTGCAGTTTCAGTTTATTGGCGCTACGAAAATAATGGAATTGTCAAAATAAAAGAGGTTAAGTGCTTGTTTGCATAGCTTTTTGACATTTTGCGCCCCATCGCAAGAATTTTTGTTCATGGTTTTTGCCTTTGCGAAAACAGAAATTCAACCGAAATTAAATCACCGAACGTCGAGCGACGCCCAAGTGTCTCTAGTTGAACACCAGCCAGGCAGCACCCCAAAAAGTTGCACCATTAGCCAATTGTGTAATTAAAAGAGCGAACAGCGCAAGTGTTGTCCTTCACATGCACTCTGCAGTGCCTGGGAGCCTGTGCTACCACCCACTCGAAGTACGACCCCTCTGTGGCTCTCTTGGTGTCCCTGCCCCCTGCCCCTGCCCCCTGTATCCGTCTGGCAAATTTGTTTTCCGCGTCGTGACACATGGCGTCCGTCTAGCTGGCGTCATGTTCAACTTTTGACCCCATCGGAACGTGTGGCTCGTCCCCCACTGGGTGCCCATATAATTAAGCAATAGGCCGTGCTCTCGACCACCTAATCAAGCAGATTAATGACAGCCGCTTGGACATGCCATTCCGTGGGCAGTAGGCTGTTGTGCCAAAAGCGGCGAGTGGCTTCAAGTCGACCAGTTTTTCAGTTTGTTTTCGATTTTTGTTTATTTTTGCTTAATTTTTGTTAGTTCAATTCGATACACTGAGGCACAAATGTTTTATGCAAATGATATTTAAATTAAAGCAATGACAAAACCAACAAGTACAACCAGCGTTGGACCCGCTTGGGTTTCGGTTGGGTCTCAGAGACTTTGTTAGACGCTATAGCGGAAGAGCAGGGAGCATAATCAGAGATCTGGGCACTATACATATAGATAAGGTGCAAAGTACTGTAGATAGGGATTGAGTTGAAGACGTGAGAGGCACAAAACGATCTCATAGAGTAATTCCATCTATCTCCAATAGAAATCAGTGGAAATATATAGTCATATCGTTGGGAGCTTCAGTGCAACCCATCACGGATCGGGTAGGGTGCCGGGGTGCCGGGGTACCGGGTTACCTCTTTCAACCATTGTTGGGCCTTATAGTAGTGTTTGCTCGTAAAATTCTGGTTTCTGGCATATTAAGAGACCATGAGACCATCCGCACTTCTTCGGTCGTACTATCTTCACGTCTGGCTGTCGCTTCTGCACCGCGCCCAGTCGCCATATAAATAGAGCCCCATCGATCGCTCCAAGGCATACTAGTAGCGTCACCGTTCCAAGTAACACACCTCAAGATGGTGAGTAGAGAGGAGAGAGAGGCTGTCCAAGGCCAAGGGAATAGACCGTAACTTTTGTGATTTTTCCGTGCAGAAACTGCTCGCCGTCGTCCTCGCCGTCCTGGCTGTGGCCCATGCCGATGTCTCCCATCTGTCCGGCTACAACTACGCCCCCGTGAGCATCCCAGCTCCGGCCCCGGCCCCGGCCCCAGTCAAGGTTGCACCCGCCCCAGTGCCCGTGAGCTCCTACCTGCCCCCCGCACCGGCACCAGCCCCCATCCAGATTGAGGTGCCTGCCCCAGCCCCAGCACCCGCACCAGTGGCACCCGTGAAGGTTGCCCCCGCACCAGTCAACCAGTACATTCCCCCCGCACCACCAGCACCCGTCCAGATCGAGATCCCCGCCCCGGCGCCAGTCCCCGTGTCCCTGCCCGCTCCCGTCAACCAGTACATCCCCCCTGCACCCGTCCAGGCTGCCCCCGCCCCCGTTGCCGCTCCAGCCCCAGTCCTGGCTCCCCAGCCCGTTCTCGAGGAGATCGAGCCCATTGCCAACGATGGCTACCGCTACAAGACAGTCCGTCGTCGTGTGATCCGCCGTCGTTACTAGAGTGCAGCTCCATGACATGAATACTGAATAAAAGAAAAGAAATGAACGATATAAAAGATTTGACTATGGCATTGGCGGGGTACTGTGGGGAGTCCTCAAGATTTATGCTGCAAAAGTACACTGGAATTATGGAACTCGAATGGAGGATTCCTAGGCAAATAATAAGAATCTAAATCACGGTTTCAATATGGTTTACTAAAGTACAGGATTGTATTGAGGACAGTGTGGTGTAGTGGAGATTTGGTATCAGTTCGAGGGTCTAATTAGATGAATAAACATGAGATAGTTGCCGAATAGTTCTTAAACATCGGAATAGCTTACATCACAACGAGACACTGACCACATCATGGCCAGGAATAATATTCTGTGTCTGGCTCTCGAAAAATCAATATTCAGCAGACAAAATATGGTGATTTATAAGCCAGATGTTCCCCAAAGCTAGTCTGAGCTGGTCCAGGCAATTAATTAGGCCCCAAGACGCTGCCAAGATCAGCATAATATAATCTGAGCAAATTGAATTTAATTTTGGCCCAGACGCGAAACCACGCAACGCCTTAGGCTCTGGCCGAGCGGGCTTATAATTTGACGGGGAAGCGGAGACCAGAATAAAGCACAAGAGCAAAGCAGAGACAAACAAATACGGCGTGATAGTGCGTGTGACCCACGAACATTAATCAATTTGAAAAGATAGAAAACAAAACAAAACGAAACGAAAACTTATAGAAATAAAACCATTTTTCAGCATTCAAATGGAAATCATCTATTGGTTTGTTTGATCTAATTAAAGAAGATTTTTGTTGTCTTTTTGGATACAAAAAAAAACGAATAGAGCTGGCCAAAGTCAAAGCAATTTTGGAATGCATTGTCTTAGACCGAAAACTGAGACTGAAAATGAAACCGAAACCGAAACTGAAAACCGAAAACCGAAAACCCGTCAAACCACCTTGGCATTGGTGGTTTGTTGGTTATCTTCCGACTATGGCATCTGAGGGCAATGGTAACGAAGACGAAGACCAACGGCAAGACCAAGACCAAGACCCCCGTGTATTGTGAGGGCATCGTGCAATTAATTTTGCCGCGCTTGACCCGAAACGGCCAAAACAATGAGCTATAAAAACTGGCGACATGCATGTTGTCCGGCAGCACAAACCAACAATCTGTGATCCAAGCAGCAACAAGCCAAGTCCCCATCGAAGATGGTAGGTCCACCAGAAACCGCAGGACCGCAGCCAGGATCCTCTATACATCATCATTTTTGTGTCCTATTCTAGAAATTCCTGATCATTGCCGTTGCCTTTCTGGCCTGCGCCTACGCCGATGTCTCGGAGCTTGGTGCCTCTGGCTATGATTATCCTCAGCCAGCTCCTGTGAAGTCCTACGTCCCTCCTCCGCCACCACCGCCGCCGCCGGCACCCAAGAACACCTACATTCCACCCCCGGCGGCCCCGGCCAAGGCCTACATCCCTCCTCCACCACCACCGCCGCCACCAGCACCCAAGAACACCTACATTCCTCCCCCGGCAGCCCCAGCACCGGCGCCCGTCGAGTCCTACATTCCCCCCGCAGCCCCCGCACCCGCCTACATTCCCCCTGCCCCCGTCCAGGCCGAGGAGCCCATCCAGGAGTACGAGCAGCCCGCCCAGGACGGATACCGCTACAAGACCGTGCGCCGTCGCGTCTTCCGTCACCGCAACTAAGGCCCCAAAGAACCCAAGAACGCCCAATTGTTAAATAATGTCATAGGTCCTTTGCCGTGGAATCTGTTAATGTTTTCTGAGAAGATGGAGTGTAAATAAACGATGAAAAGCTAGAAGAAAATGGACTCTTGTGGGGGTACTTCCTGCATCAATCCATATCCATTCGTTGAGACAAGTAGGCGACGCCTGATACAGCACGACGTTCAGCTATGGAATACACATTGACTGACCCATCATAGGATGATCAGCAATCGCTCCCAATCCATTCCGATCAGCACAGTGCCAGCAGTAACCCAGTTGGCTATAGAATGTTTGACAGAGGACAGAGGAGATGACCGTCGCCAGAGGAGGACCTGCTGCGGCTGTTTGGAGTCTATATTCAACTGGATGCCGGTGATCTTCATAGTCGGCCTTATAGTCTATTCGTACTACGTATATGTGTGGCACTTGTGCCTGCAGAACATGAGGAATCACTCGGCTATCGTCCTGGGTGTGGTCCTCTTCTGGTATCACCTGCTGCTGCTGATGTTCCTCTGGAGCTACTGGAGCAGCATGTGGGCGAAGGTCATGCCGATTCCGGCTGAGTGGAGCATACCCGACGCGGACTGGACGCGTCTGATCAGGGCCAACGGCCTGGAGGAGAGGAGGCACATTCTGAGCCACGTAGCTCGCAGATTGCCCATCACGATGTGCGATCAGAACGGCGTCGTGCGATACTGTGGCCAGTGCCGGCTCATCAAGCCGGATCGGGCCCACCACTGCCGGATCTGTCAGCGCTGCATCCTCAAGATGGACCACCACTGTCCCTGGGTGAACAACTGCGTGCACTTCCACAACTACAAGTTCTTCCTGCTGTTCCTCATCTACGCCTCGCTCTACTGCCTGTACGTCCTAGTGACCCTGCTGCTCGAGCTCCACCATGCCTGGGGTTTTGACTTTGACAACGTGGACCTGAACTCGCTGCAGACCATGATCCCAATCGTCCTTGCCATGATTTTCACCGGCGCCACTATGATTATGCTGGGCCTCCACATCTACCTTTTGCTCTTGAACCGCACCACCATGGAGTCGGCTCATGCTCCTATGTTCTGCGTTGGTGGCCGCACCAGGAAGGCCTTCAACCTGGGCTGCTGCGCCAACCTGTGCGAGGTGTTCGGCGATAGATGGTACCTGTGGCCACTGCCCGTCTACAGCAGCCGCGGCGACGGCCTCACCTTTCCCCTACGGGAGGGCTCCATTAGTTCGGCCAGTTCTGCTGATTTCTAATACGAGTATCTGTATTAAAGCCAATGGTACAAAACAGCCGGGGAAGCTCCATCAATGTCTTAATTTACGATTCATTGGCAGCAAGTGCATCTGCCACCACACCAGCCCAGAGCAGAGCAGAGCAGTGCAGTCCCGCTGAGTGGCCACCATCGATAAATCCTCCTCCACACGCTCCGCATTCCTTTGGTGTACAATTTCCACACATTTCCACATTGCCACAGAGATCGCAGTCGTTTATAAAACGCTTAACATTCGTGACATATTTCGCATTTGGCTGCGCGTCGGGCACAGAAATTTATAGACTTTATCCATTAGGAAAACAATTACGAGTGCAAACAATGGCCAGCGTCCACTGTATCGGGCTCCGCTCCGCGGGATGGAAGGAAGGACTCCCTGGCCGGAGGCACAGCCAGAAGCATTGAGCATATGTTGAGATTGTCGCGCTGCCAGTTCATTGTCCTGCCGAAGGAGTCGAGTAGAGGGAGCAGAGAAAAAACTTTATATATTTTCTTATTATTCCGCCACAGAATATGCGGCGAGTGGTGGACACGCGATGGGGTGCTGGGGGAGGTGTCAGTGCTGGTGGCAGTGGCGTTGGCGTTGGCGTTGGCGACTTCTTGACTGCTGCAACACAAATCCAATTACCTTCAAAATAATAAACTTATGTACATACCAAAAAGGAAGGAATGCCATCCCCAATCCCAGCCCCTGCACGCACATTTTGCCTTATCAACTGTTGATAGACTCCATGGGGAATTTCCCGTATGCCACGACAAAGAAGATGCTGTCTGGGTGTCGGGCGGCATTTTCTTTCACATTTCTTCTATTTTTTTCTTGTTGTTCCTTTTTCTTCATCCCGACAGAAATAGAGAACAGAAAGCAGAGAGGACTATGGCCCCGCTGGCTGATTTCCACAGCTTGTTTGCAGCTCATTATTCGCCTTTTGGCCCGGTCCAGGTCCAGCTCCAGCTCCAGCTCCAGAGCGGGACACATACTTTTTGCCACTTGCATGTCATCAGCATAAAGTGAGTGCAAAATATGTGAACCCCACCCCAGCCCACCCCACACCCAGGAGGAGTCGAGGAGTCCTCGCCTCTGCTCGCCACTCCGAGGCACAACGGAAATTCGCTTTAGAGCGCAGAGTCAACATCAATTGGCCAAATGACTTGTAAGGGTAAAGGCAGCCAGTAGAGCGGTAGAGCGGTGGAGCGGAGTGCGGTTTATTGAATTCGCATATTTTCCCATTCTGCAATATGGGCAAACATTTTTCCATTTCGCCATCTTTTGTTTTCCGTGCCCCCCACCCCGTACCCCCCACCCCGCCTGCTGTTTGATTTTGTAATCGAGGATTTGTTTGCTTTGGCCCCAGTTGGAAAGCTCATTGAATGTTTCAGCAATTTTTGGCCAAGTCAAATTGGTCTAGTCGTTGGTTTGACCTTTTTACTGCCACCAGGGATGGGGCTCGTCGGAATGCCTGTGTGGCCAGGACATGTGTTTGGCCTTGGGCGGTTTGTTTAGGATTCTCTCTCTGTGTGTGTGTGTGTGTGTGTGTGTGTGAGTGTGAGTGGATTGGAGAGTGGGTTGAAGAGGGTTGGATGGCTGTGGAAACGACGACTTTGACATTGGAAATTGAACTTGGCCGATGGGAACCTGTTGATAAAGAGAAACTGCCTGCTATCGAGAGGGATTCTGCTCCACAAATATCCGCAAACTGTCACTTAACTCGGGATCTCGATTGTTTTATGGAAACTACGAGCATTAGCCATATTACACTCATAAATTTCACTTATTGTTACTTTATTTTCCTGTTCTATAAACTTTGATGGTTACCAAAGTAAATGCAAGACAACAAACATTTTTTCAATTACGAATTTTACTATCAAAGTGCGGATTGTGGATGGCATTCGAATCCGACACCCAAGTCAACGAACAATCTTAGGAAGAACCAACAAGAAGGGTCTCTGAATCAGAATCCCCCGGCGACTTAGGCGCGGTGGCGGAAGACGCGACGGCGCACGGTCTTGTAGCGGTATCCGTCCTGGGCGGGCTGCTCGATCTCCTCGATCACGGACTGCTCGGCCTGGACGGGTGCGGGTGGGATGTACTCGGGTGCTGGCGGTGCGGGGGGAATGTAGCTCTCAACGGGCGCCGGTGCTGGCGGTGCGGGGGGGATGTAGGTCTCCACTGGAGCGGGGGCGGGCAGCTCCGGCTGCTGGTAATCGTATCCGGACAGCTCCGAGACATCGGCAAAGGCGCAGGCCAGGAAGGCAACGGCGATGATCAGGAATTTCTGTGGTCCAACCAAAGAATTAGAACATATATCTATCTGAGTGGAGGGATCCTCGACCTACCATGATTGCTGGCTGTGTTTGTGCGACGATCAACGGAAGATGTGTGCTGTGGCATCGATGATCTCCCGCGGCTTTTATATGGCCGATCTCTGCGCCAGCGGCAACGGAAGCACCATTATCCATTAGCCGCAGATGACTTTGAACTTGATCTGCGATCGCTCTGTCAAAGATTGATGAATGCGTCCGTTGCCGGACAAGACTCACATGTGGTCGGTGCGAACCGGTTGGCCCAGCTTTTCTGATGCACAAACTGTGGATCGTGGACCGTGGGTTCAAAAATATGATCACGTTTCGGTCTGGCTTTTGTTCAACTAACGCATTGCCCGTGCCATTGTCTTCGAGTGGCCCATCGATGGTCTCTAGAGGTCATCGCATGCGCTTCCACTTGGTGTTTGAGTTTGAGCATGTTTTGGCTTCACAAAATTTGTATTTTGACATTTGGCTTTTGTTTCGACTCGACTGGAGTGGCGGGGTGCAGCCCTTTAATTGATTTGCTTGTTGAGCCCGGCCTTGGGGTCGGCCCCCGCGTGGGAGAGCCACGGCTCTGCTTGATTAAAACCAAATTTAATTTGCATCTCGGTTTTGTGGCTCTGTTTTCTGCCGTTTGTTTATTGCCGGTCCTAACCCCAGTTATTATACAACTCGAACGGGAACGCCAATTGGAGTTCTGGAGTTATTCCGCTGGGGAAAAAGGGTCGGTCGAAAGGGGAACGGGCACAGTGGGGCGAGTAATGAAGTTTCAGGGTATATTTCACTTCAATGCGTATCTTTCAAGAGCTGATTCTTTAAGATCTCTTCAGTTCTGTCAGTATCTGTAGTATCCTTGTCAGGGTTTTCCCCTGTTATTTCCCCCTTTTCAGAAAATTTATTTCCTGTGGCTACTGTTCCGCTTTCCTCCATTTCCTTAGCTGCTATTCCCATTTCGATCTGTCTGCCTTCCCCCAGCCATAGTTTCATTTCATTCCTGTCTTATTTTTATTTTCACAATTTTCATTTCATTTCTCTGTTTTCCACTGTCTTTCTTCCACTCCCGTTTCGCTTTTGCAGCTCTTGATAATATTGCAAATAATTTTCTTTTTTATGTTGATTATTTTTTGGACAGCCCCCCACCCCGCGCCCGCACTGCCTCGCGCGCAGACACCTGAGAAGTGAGAACTGAGAACTGAGCACTGGGGACTCTCCCTTTACGGCATTTTTATTAACTTCATTTTCATTTGGGCCGGTGCCTTCACGAGCTCATCATATTTTAATGTTGAAGGGATTCGGCGGCGGCGTCGTCTTCAGGCTTTTCTTTCCGACTTGTTCTATGTTTCAAATTATTCTCGAGAGATTTGCAGCTCGTGATTTTGGCGGGCACTTTTGTTGGAAGGAGTGGCAGCTGTGCCGCCCCCTTCAACGCGTCGGATTGGCCTGAAAAAGTATCCACCCGAATGGCAGCTGTTGTTGAGACATTCCGCGACTGATTGCAATTGCAGCTTCGGCTTTTAATTACCGCGCTTAAGCCCGTATTAACTCTGGCCTAAGCCTTTTTTAATTTGCCCCATTCCCAGCGCCCGGTCCTGAGGGCTGTCGTAATTGAATTAGGAACCAGGAGACAATGCAGCGTCGCTGAACCTTTCACGCTGTTATCCTTGATAATTAATTTAGACGCCATTGTCCAGTGCAGTCCCCAACTCCAGGCGTTCGCAAATCCTTTGCTATTTCACGTCACGTGCCACATTCTTCTCGTTTTGCTGTGTTTTTTTTTTTTCTTCCATAAATTGCCCTGCCCCACAAAGTTGTCCAACGGAATACCCCTCCCGAACTACCGAAAAAGGAGGAAAAGGAAACTCCAATTTTTATGGAGAAAAAATGAAGCGGCAGTCCTGACAACGCACGTCCATCCAAAGAGGACTAGGACCGAGGTCCACAGGCCAGGGGCCAGGGGCCAGGGGCCAGGTCATGTGGCTTGCATATGGAACTACAATAGACAGGTACAAGATGCACACGTAGCACGCGCCGCTGGAGTCGCAAGAAACGAAATATGGAATCACCTTTTGCGAGAATCGAGCATGCAGCTTACTCGCTCTCTGACAGAGTGGGGCACAGTGGCAGGCAGCAACAGCACCGACCATAATTAAATGTCAAAAATGACGCTACGTGCGGAGCAAGCAAATCAGCCTGGCTCAGAGCACCGACCGACGAGTGTCGGGGCAAAAGTTCAGCCCATGAGAAGTTCTTTCCCCTCAAAACCGAACAAGAGTTTATGCAACATTATCACCGAGTGTTTAAAGAAATCGCTCCATAAAGTCATCCTAAGAGTCTTTACAAAATCATTCCATACTTTTGGGGATTTTTCTCTTGTGTCCAGGCATTCAGACCACGAATCTTAAGGTCCACGGTTCAAATCCCGCGTGGATCAACATAAATGAAAAGTATTTCCTCTTTTTTTCCGTGTATTTAACAATGTCCTGACTTTTTCGCAACTTTTCTTGATATCAATTTATAATTTCTATTATCAAAAAAATCCCATTTGTAATCGCTTAATTTAGGGCCACAAACTTTTGCACAAAACAGAATAAAAAATAACCAAAAACTCTGCGAAAAAAAAACCAGCACTAAAAGTAATTTGCCCTTCCCCAGAGCAAAACTCTCGGAAAAGTGGCAGGAACTATTTAAAGTTTCCCTTTGGCTGCTTTCCGTCCAATATGTATCGTACTTTTTATTGCCATTCTCTATTATTTGCTGCCCCTCCCCTTGTGTTGTTGCATATGCATATTATGCCCCGGAGGCACAGGAGTACATCCCATCCCGCAGCACCGTACCTCCCAGACACAACAGCCACGACTCTGGGACTCTGGGGAGGAGAGGATGGTTATGAAAAAGTACTTAACGTGCAGTGCACAAAACTTATGTGCCAAGAGATTTTATTTTTTTCTTATACTGCTCGGGAAAAGTTGCAACGACATGCCAATTTTTCAAAAGCATGGGCATGGGGATCGGGCAAAGGTACTCCGAGGGAGATACAGGGTGGTTCTTGGCAAGCTTATAAAATATTGCCAATAACGGCGCGGATGTTGTGTCGCGCATTGAGTTCCCAAAATAAGAAGTGCGCACAAAGAAAAGCGCATTTTTCTCCATCAAACTTTTAATGCACTTTTGAGCATTTTCCAACCCTCAACTCAGAATCTAAAGAGTTGGGTGGAAACTATGAGTAAGATTTAATTTGTCAAATGTATTGTTAAAAAAGGTACACCACTCAGAATTCGTTCTATCCGTTTTACCGAGCGATCATCGAAGCTCTGCGCCCCGAACGACACGGACACCGAAGTGCCGCACCAGAAAGGGCGCTGGGCAAAACCTCACGCTGCCGAATAGGACGATTTAACTCATCAACGCGGGTGTGTTTGGCTTTCAATTTGTGCGAAAGTAAGTGAAGACTGACTACAGAAATGATCCTGTGAAGTATAGTCTTAACTTTTACAGCCACGACCTGTGGATCTTCACCCGCCGCGAGCTAGAACCAGTTGGGAATTACAACAGCGCGAACGACGAAAAAGCAACTGATACGTGGGAATTATTCTGCCTATGGAAATATGGTTGCTATGGGGTGGGATTACTTTTTTCCGACTTGTGTGTCCTAAGATTCTTCTTCAATGCCGATCGCCGATCGCCGATCGGATCGCTACGTAGCTGTTGAAAAAGATAGAAAATCTGGAAAATTTACAAAAAAGCAATTCACTTGGCAGCGGTGGGATTCGAACCCACGCCTCCGAGGAGACTGGTGCCTTAAACCAGCGCCTTAGACCGCTCGGCCACGCTACCATATTCTGCTGCGTTGTCAAATGCGTGCTAAGAACTTGCGGCGCTGGTTCGTCGAGTAGATGTGAGTTCTTGCTTAGAAACAGATACTTTTGTATCTCCGTTGTGCAACTATTTTTACGAGCGCCGCGAGGCAGCAGCAGCGGCAGTGGCAGTGGCAACACCTTGATTTTATTTTTCCACCCACACCGTGACGCATATAAATGCGCTCATTTGGGAAAAAAGAAAATGTCAATCAATCGAAATCAATTTCTGGGGTAAGCCTTCTGCTCTTGCCTTCTCTGGCTGCTGCATTAAAATGTTTATTATATTTTGCAAAACTGTCAGCATTTTTGCTTAGACAGCGGCGTCAGCTTAGAAATGCGTTTAAAATTCAAATGAAAATGCGAATTTATGCGTGACAGGCGGTTGGACCCCCATTTCCTCCACACATGCAACCGCAGCAACAATTTGCCGACGGACGCCCTGCTGCTGCAAGCCATAAACTGAAGCCGGAGCCGGAGCCGGAGCTGGCACAGGCACTGGCACTGGCGCAGGAGCAGGAGTTGGGTATCTAGAAAAAGGAGAAGACTCCGACGGTACAAAACATCCGCAATGAAATTAGAAAATTGCAATAAAAATCTTTGCACGGTACGACAGGGAAAACAAAAACAAAGTCTGCGGTTGGCCAAAGGGTGCTCCAAGGACTGGGAAGCCAGTCGGCAACAACAGAGCAGCATTTGCGGTTTCATTAAAATGCCACCGAAAGGGAGCAAAAAGTCAGACGCCGCGTCAGCATAGAAAATATTTGCCACACGTGAATTTATACAAATTTAAGGCGCTTCCTCGGCTCGCTCGGCCTGAAAATACGAGTAATTGTAAAATTGTTCAATCTCCATGCCAGACCGTAGCAGGTAAAAAGCAAAAAATCACGTACAGCCCAGGCGGGCCCTGACAACACCAGGTGCAAACGCTAATGGAGTTAATTGTGGGCATTATCAGGAATGCTGGGAATGGGACTATGTCTGGCATGGCCATGTCCGAATCAAATTAAACTTCAAACAATTGACAAATTGAAATACCAAGGACTGCTGTTGAACAATAGGCACATTCCAAGTGGCTTGGGTCCGAGGTAAAATGTCCACTCAATATGCCAGCCAGCAATGAGGGAAAATCTTAATGAATGGCTCGACAAATAGTTCTGTCGACACCACAAAACTGCAAAATACCTTCGAAAAACTATGCAAGGGATGCATTTAAGCATAGGGAACATTGAGATATAAAGTCTCACGCCAAGGTTTTAATTAAACCCAACAGTCAGAACCGAACAAAACTCTGTTTCTGTTAACAGCCATTTGGCGGCTATTTAGGAAATGGTAGCGTGGCCGAGCGGTCTAAGGCGCTGGTTTAAGGCACCAGTCTCCTCGGAGGCGTGGGTTCGAATCCCACCGCTGCCAAGTGAATTGATTTTTTGTAAATTTTCCAGATTTTCTATCTTTTTCAACAGCTACGTAGCGATCCGATCGGTGATCGGCATTGAAGAAGAATCTTAGAACACACAAGTCCGAAAAAAGTGATCCCACCCCATAGCAACCATATTCCCATATGCGCAGTAATCCCCACGTATCAGTTGCTTTTTCGTTGATTACGCTGTTGTAATTCCCAACTGGTTCTAGCTCGCGGCGGGTGAAGATCCACAGGTCGTGGCTGTAAAAGTTAAGACTATACTTCACAGGATCATTTCTGTAGTCAGTCTTCACTTACTTTCGCACAAATTGAAAGCCAAACACACCCGCGTTGATGAGTTAAATCGTCCTATTCGGCAGCGTGAGGTTTTGCCCAGCGCCCTTTCTGGTGCGGCACTTCGGTGTCCGTGTCGTTCGGGGCGCAGAGCTTCGATGATCGCTCGGTAAAACGGATAGAACGAATTCTGAGTGGTGTACCCTTTTTAACAATAAATTTGAAAAGCTTGTAATAAGCGCAGCCCAGCCAAGGGAGAAATAGTAGTGGAATTGTTACATCGGCCTTAACCGGCAGGTTTTTCCCGTTCCCGGTGTTATTGTTGTTCTACTTTGTGAAGCAATTAAAACAACCCTTGAGCCCTCGAGCGGCAAAGCGCTCTCTGCGCTGTTTGTTGCCAGTTGAAGTGTTTTCGTTGCACGTTGACAGCCACCGTCGTCGTCGTCAGAGCGTTAATGGGTGGTCCATATTTTACACCATCTATCTATCTGCATTATAAAACATTTTAGTGAGAAGCAGATTTTGGTTTTTTGCGGCACCTCTCTCGAGGCCGCTTCGTGCTCAAGACGACGAAAAAATACTGAAAATGTAGTAATAAAATGTTTGCTAATGGGCGGAGCAAGTGGAGTGCTTCCACTAATTACTTAACGCTGCATATGAATGACCCTTGAGCGAGGGCGTGATTTTTGGCTTAATTCAGAGTTGGAACCATCTCAATTAGTAGATGATGACTACTTGGAAATGCTTTGAAAGAGGAGAGTAATGCCCGTTAAGAACCATTTAGCATGTTCGTAGTTGGGAAAGTGGGTTCCACCAGCATCCATATTTGAGAAACTTGAATGCTTCACGCAAGAACAATTAAGTGGTGCCGTGCCTAGTTTTGTCCACCTGTCCCACGTGGGCTGAGTCGGCGGCGCTTCCTCATGCTTCCGACTATCTGTAGTCAAACACGACAAAACACAACACAACACGTAGTGGAAATTTATTTCAGCAATGCAAAGCAAATACTAGAGTAACAGCCATGGTACAGTACGTTTCATAGGAGCCCCAGAACGAAACGCAACTTTAGATCGACTATGGGTTTTCTCTTTCGCAGAATATACCTTTGCCACGCACTGTATTTCCTCTCAGTCCTCCTACAATACTCGTATTTTTTGAGTGCTTACATAAAAATACATTTGAAATGCGGTTAAGGGAGGACGGAGGAAGGGTGGAGACAGCAGTTTCACCTAGGGGCCAAAAACTGACATCATCATCATCATGTGGGCCAATCGATGATGATGATGATGCTGATGCCAATGCGGCTGATGCTGTAATTGATGTCTTTGCGACATGTTCTCCCAAAGTGTTTACGTTGAGAATTACCCATGTGTCTGTGTGAGCAACAGAGAGATGGAGGTGGAGATGGAGAGGGGATGGGGGCGCAGAACACGCCCACAGCTAGTTGACAGCCTGCCGTTTACGTGCACTTAATGAAATGTGCCCCAAAATGGAAGCACGTACCGGGCATCTATTTAATGAGCCCTGCAAGAGGTTTTCCCCGGGAATGGGTCCTCAAATGGAGGAAACGGCAGGCGGAGGGCCTCCACCCCGAAATGGGCTGGGAAGTGCTCATGAAATTTTTAAATGTCGCAGCTGAAATTCAATTTAATTTGTTGCCAGCTCGCTCGTTGGCATCGGTAGCTGACTGCAGGGCTGCATTATTCAATGGCACTCACACGTAAGCGGCTCAAAGACCCGCATGCTAAGCCTCCTCTGCCTAGCCCCAAACTCCTTTTGCGGCTGGGAGTAACCGCAGTTTAAAATTCATGTGAGCTTTTCAACAATTTCCACCCCCACCCCCACCCCTCCACACCACACCACACACAGACAGTCTCATGGAGAGCACAACAAAATGCGATTAAATGTGTGGAAAATTCTCGACTCCTGCTCTTATTCCTGTTTGTTGCTGCTGCCGTGCTGTGGTCCGCAAGGATAAGCCACAACGGGTTAAAGGCAACGTCTTGTTTGCACATGTGTTGCTGGGGGCTGCCCCACGCCCCACGCCCCAGACCCATTCGGAAGTCATGGAAAGGAGCCCCGGGATGCCGAAGGTGCAAAAATGCGTTAAACATAACATGCTAATTCCTGACGCTTGCAGCTTCAATCTTTCACCTGGCCAGGGGCATTCACACCCTGCCACACATATCCAGACCCACTCACCCTCCGACATGCTGCTGCTCCTTTGGAGCGTCTCCATCTGCTTGTAATATGAGCGTATTGTGTGCCATTTGCTGGCGAAGTTGTTGTACCCTTGGAGTGTAGAGTATTATCATTTTGTACCACAAGTTTGAATTGCTTCCGCACGGAGCTGTAATAACCTACCATGCCATAAAAACGCCATTGGTCTGGTCGGCAAGGGTATTCGACTTTCGACTGACTTTCTTTGCGCTCTTCAGCCATTTTCTCCCACTTGCTTTTGTGTTAGGTGATTTTTTGTTTTTCTGGCAAAAGTTTTGTGGCTGCCGACATGCGTCTGAGGTGAGGACAGGAACGAATCGAGATACTTTTTTTTTCTAGCTAGGACTTGGTTAAAGTCGAGAGAAATTTGCATAAAGGGACCCAGAAAGAAATCCCAAGAACTGAACGATTTCAAAGCAAGTTCCACTGGTTCCGCGTTCGCCCAGCCCTGACACAGAGAAAGAGAGAGAGAGAGAGAAAGCTTTGGCAAGCTTTTCCGCTCTCCCATATGTGCCATCAGCTGGCTCCAGATCAGTTTTTATTTTGGCAGCATGGAGAACGCCAAGAACGGCCCCCCCAAGACCTTAAAATACAAGCCGCTTGTTCGCATTGGGATTGCCGTCCTGGTGCTGCACACCGTCTGCTGGTTGGGATGGAATGCGGTGAATCCTGGAGCAGAGTCCAGCAATGCGGCGGCCACAGCCAATGCCCATCATGAACGCTTGCGGGCGGCCATCGAACAGAAGTGACCCGCCTGTGACGTAATGGCCAACAAGTTTTGATAAATGTGAATTGATATGTGACTATAACAGTAAACAAGAAGTACAATTAACCGAAAAATGGAACAGAAATGAATTTGTGTGGAAAGAACATAGAGAGAGAGAGAGAGGGAGAGATCAACAAAGTGCAAGAAGCTTTTCCGCTCTCGATCTCTACGAAATGCTTGCTTAAAGCTTTCGAATACAAAAGCAAAACAAAGCTTTGGCTTCAAAGCCAACTCTGTGTGTTTTCTAAACTCGGTTTAGTTCTGCAGCTCTGGAGTTCGAGACCAGTATTCATTCTTCTTACAACAAGGGTTCTGACACTTCGAAATGCTTTCGAAATTACTTCTGATCTTTGGATTTCTGCTGATGAGCTGGCAGTGGGCGCAAACCATGCCCAGTCACAGCCGCTTGGCTACAACCGAGCAACCAGCCCAAAACGTCCAGAACTTCTCAGGGTTTATCTTGCAGAGCATCTTTGACCTGCCGCCCAACTGCAAGCCCGGCGAGGTGGCCACTGGGCCCCATCACAGGTGTCGCCACCAGGCCTAAGGACTGGACAATACTTTTAACGTATCGTATGAGTCTCCTACCTCTGTGGAATGTACGCGAGATGGAGACGTGTTATAAGCTCTGCTTTATAAATAAATATTCATAAATATATATTCATAAATAAACGAGTGCGCATAAATATTACAACTTCGAGTCGCTATTGAACTGAATATAGCTGTGTCGTAAAAACTAGCAATAATTTGATAAATGCACTTGACAGTAATAAAGATAGACTCTTGCCGCTCTATCATTTCTATATAAAATTCCTATAATGCAATAAAGTACTGAAATTATGTAAGAGAAATGTGTTCCCATCAATTTCCAATGAAAATTGCGATCAGATCTTAAACCTACATCAATGTTTCACCTTTAAAACTCAGGGAAGCTGGTGATAAACCCTTTTGTTTAGGTCGAAAATGCTGTCTTTTCTGAGCCCACAAACATCTGTGGAAAATCAAAGTGCCGTCTGCTAGGGTATAAAGCGAAGAGAATAGAGAACATGAAAAGGTGTTTTTCGATCTAGATTGATCTCGTGTAAAGCTTATTCATGCTCATCTTGAGGAAAGCTTCACAGACTTAGAGGCTGATTAGGTGCTGTTTTTAAACTCGGTTTAGTACCGCAGATTTCAACCCGGAGGAAGGTAATACTCGCGTTCCATAGCTCGCTGTCATTTAAAAATGCTATCAAGATTACTGCTGATCTTTGGGCTGCTGATGCTGAGCTGGCAGTGGTGCCATACCATGCCGAGGCACGAGCAAACCACACACAAGGCCGTCCCCGAGCATACCACGGCCAGGCACATCCACCAGCATACCACGGCTAAGCACCTCCACCAGCATACCACGGCTAAGCACCTCCACGAGCATACCACGGCCAAGAACATCCACGAGCATACTACACGCAAAACCATCCTCGGACGTCTTACGCAGAAATCGAGCCACGGACAAACAACGACCACACCCAGCAGCGTGCAGATTACGCCCTCACCTATCATCGAGCAAACTCCGGGAAACTTTTCGGGCATTAGTGGAGTGAGCCTGTTCGACCTGCCGCCCAACTGCAAGCCCGGCTATGTGGCCACAGGCCCTAATCAGCGATGTCGCCTCGAGGTTTGACGGAATGCAAAAATAATGTGCCTTAAACTTTGTTTTTTCCTGGGTTTTAAAAATATACTATATTCAAGTTTTAATCCACAAATTATTGAGTGTGAGTGGGAGCTGCCCGCCGTTCAGGCTGGCTTCCTGCATCGCCCTACAAAGATGTAATAACCTTTCGGACATCTGGCCGCGGCAGCGCTGACTGTGCAGAGAAGCCACAGGAATACCACCGAAATCAGCAGGAATTTCCCACTGACCAGCTTCATCTTTGGCCGAATCCGGTGAATGCTAGCTGCTCATATGAGGCGTAGTTTCTGTTGAATAGACGACCTGAGGGTGCACCTCTTATCTGGAGTACATCACTTAGCGGACAGCAGATAGCGAGCAGCGGACAGCGGAAAGCGAAGACTTGTGTGCAATCTTCGGGGGGAATTATGACACTGGTCGCCAACGTGCCTTCACTCGAATGTGTTCCCCGTTAAATTGACGACGGTATTGATATTGCTTTTTTTTTTGTATCGTTTCCATTGAGTTCCAGGTATTGGTAATCGATTACATTGCTAATCTTATGACGCATTTGGTGTGTGGTTGGCTAAGCGCGAATTTCCAGAAGCGCTTCAAATTTCGATGTTTTCCTCTCCGATTAGATAGCAATCTTATCGTGGGTATGACATATCGCGTGTACTCTCATTTTCTCTCTCTCCAATTTCGATTACTCAGAATAAAGCCAATTTTATTGTTATAAAAGACAACTGTATGATGCATTTATGAAAATAGATGTTGACATACAAAACGACCAGTCATGATAGCACCCATGTTGCCGTTGCCGTTGCCCTAGGCCGCTTTGCGACAACGTCCCGCCATGAGAACGGTTCCGTCCGTGCAAATGGGATCCGTATTGAAGAGATTGCGCTGGTTAACGGATGACGGTACGGCATCCTCGGTCTCCGACTTGGGATCCCTGTGGCCTCCGCCTTGATTCAGGCTGGGCGACAGGAAGTCGTGGGTGTTGAAAATATCCTTCAAAGCATCGCCATCATCTCCTGGTCTCGGCTGGATGGTGCTGCCCCCTTGCCCGGGCTGCTCTTGACCTTGACCTGGTCGGGGCTGTACCGTGTTGGGTGTCTGGAAGTGAAACTGGGAAAAATCCTCGCCGTCAGTGCCTGGACGAGGCTGGATGGGATTTGAAGCGCCTCCTGGCTGCTGGAAACCCGGCTGCTGACCCTGTCCTGGACGAGGCTGGATAGGATTCCCTCCACTTCCTGGCTGCGGCTTCTGAAAGCCCTCATCTTGATCTGGATGAGAATTTCCAGGACTGTCTGGTTGTTTTGCTACCGGCTGACGGAATCCTCCTTCACCTGGCCGCTGGAATCCTCCTCGACCTTGACCTGGCTCCTGAAAACCTCCCTGGCCTTGTCCTGGCTGCTGGAAACCACCTTCACCTGGCTGCTGGAATCCTCCTTGACCTTGTCCTGGCGGCTGGAATCCTCCTTGACCTTGACCTGGCGGCTGGAATCCTCCTTGACCTTGTCCTGGCTGCTGGAATCCACCTTGACCTTGTCCTGGCCGCTGGAATCCTCCTTGACCTTGACCTGGCTGCTGTAATCCTCCTTGACCTTGTCCTGGCTGCTGGAATCCTCCTTGACCTTGACCTGGCTGCTGTAATCCTCCTTGACCTTGTCCTGGCTGCTGGAAACCTCCTTCACCTGGCTGCTGGAAACCTCCTTCACCTGGCCGCTGGAATCCTCCTTGACCTTGTCCTGGCTGGTATCCTCCTGGCTGTTGGAATCCATTTTGTCCTCTGTGGAAATCTCCACCAGAATGTCGGCCTCCCTGTCCGGGGTGGGGACGGAAGCCCCCAGGCTGCTGTCCGCGGAAGGGACTGCCAGGCTGTTGGTTATAGGGATCGTAGTGGGGCGATGGTTGTGGGGACCTCCCACCAAACCCGGGCTGCTGTGGAGGACCATATCCGCCAGAGAATCCCGGGCCAGATCCATGGCCTCGCCTATGACTGTGATGCTGATGCCTGGAAAACACGTCAGAATTTAGACTAGGATCAGAGTGGGAGTGGAGACCTACCTTGAGGACTGTCCGTAGCCGCCCTCGCCGCTGCGCGAGCTCTCCACGTAGTAGGGATTCTGGGGACGGGCGGTGGCCAACTGCGCACATAGCGCGATGAGCCCCAGACCCAGACACAGGCCCAGCGATAAGAGTTTGGAAAACATTCTCGAAACACACCCGTACCCTCCTTCTGTGCGGAACACTCTAGTGAGACTGATGATCTCTTTCCGAGACTCGAAGATTAGTGAAGCTGGAATAAATATTTTTGTATAGATCGCCGCTCGCACGACTGATAAGCGGCAGAAGGCTGCCAACCCCGAGTTCATGACATCAGATAGGGAATTAATCGATGGAGATAGAGCGAGAGAGAGAGAGAGAGAGAGAGGAAGAAAGAGGGAGAGAAGTCGGGCCTCAGAGCTGGTTTGAGTCATGCCAGGGGGATGTGGCATTTCAAACAATGTAATTACCTTCACACAATCTAAGGTTTCCCTCGCATAGTTTCTCCCCATTAAAGCTAACGTGACCGGCATCCAGTGGGATTTTCCAGGTAGTTTTTGGAATCGCCTAAAAAAACAGTTGCCAAATCAGCGAAAACTCATCGCTCAAAACTCAGACAAAGCTGCGAAATAATGCTATTCATATATCACTTTATTGACTAACATCGGTCTTAGAGACTACACAATGGAAGACGACACCCTGGAGACTTTGTTGTGACCGGCTTTAGGCCGACTTTCGACAGCGATTCGCCCGCAGCTCAAAGCCCGATTTACAACGCGGCAGAGTTTCCACCAGAATCCGATTGACTATGATGGGGATAATGGTCGTGGCAGTGGCATTGAGGGAATCTTCGGACCGATCCGTGGTCTGCTCTGTGGAATCGTTGGGTGTCGGTGTGGAGGCTGTGGGAGGTTTGGCTGTTGTCACTATCCAAGCAGGCACCTTTGCGGCTCCGGAATCGTCGTTGTCACTCGGAAACACAATCGAATCATTGATGCAGGGACGCGTTCTGGCCTCTGTGCAGACCCACAACACCACCAGAGGCAGCAGACACCAGAGCCACTGGGGAGATCTGTTTGCAGTTTTCATCGTTTTGTATTCTGTATAGAGGATAGCGGAGAGCGGATAGCGTTTGGTCGCTTCAACGGAGCTTTCGAGACTGAACGGAGTGTGGAATCTGTTCCATGATGATCATCTTCCCACGGAAACAGCTATAGATATATCATGGCGATAAGAATGGACACAATGAAATCGGAGTTGGTTGCGAGAGCGAGAGAGCGAGAGAGATGAAGATCAACACTGAGAGAAGGGAAGCTTTACTCTCAGAGAAAAAGGTAAACAAAGCAACAAAGCTTCCAGCAAATACAGTGGGTCACGAACATGTTTTTACCAGCGAAAACAATTAACTGAAAGCATTGTGAGTGGAAAGTATCTTAATAATTTATTATTCCAATATTTAGCTTACTAAGTATTGCCATCGGAGTTTTTGGGTGTTTATAATGCAATAATACTTTTTTACCTTAGAATTTGGCATTAGATTTCATAATATCTTTATTTAGAAGCAACTTTCTGTTCATATTCCACACAAATACTCGATTTTAGGCACTCTTGCGGCAGTGGTCGTTGCTCAGGGTGAATCCCTCCGGACAGATGCGTACGCTTTCGAGGGTAATCCTTGGTCCAATAAAGACACTGCCCTTGGGCGTCATTGTCAATACGGTTCGATTTCCGTCGATCTTTTTATCGGTCTCGAACGCTATCATCTTATCCTCACTCCTGGAAAGAGTTGCATTCTCGGATACTGGAGGGGTTTCTGCTGTAGCATTCTTGGAAACAGGAATCATTGCACTTTTAATATCGCTACGGACTGGCTCCTCTGCCGGTAGCCCTACCCGGCTTTTGAATTCATTTCCGGGTTGCACTTGATTCGATTTAGTTGCATTTCGAATTTCATTCAGATTCATCACTGGCCCTAGATCCCAAGGCTTGGGGCTGGTCTCCGCTGCATCTGATCCGCGTTCAGTGGGAAACACCACGCGATCGCTGGGCACTCGGGCCGCCTCACTCGGATCCAGCGCCAGCCACAACAAGACAAACAACAACAGCGTCATGGGAAACCTCTTCCGTATAATTGCCATCGTTAAAAAGTTTGCCTCGCTTGCCAAATCCCAGCAAACACGTTCACGCTAGCCAGTTTCGCACTCGAGACTGAGTCTCCCCCAAGTCTCCCTCCCAGAGAGAAGCCAGACTCAGTCCCCAGTCCCCAGTCCCACTCGCAGTCCCAGAGAGCTTTGTTTGCTTGTAAGTTCTACTTCTGGCAAGCACAGCTGCTGGCAAGAGTGTATTTGGCGATAAGGTGAACATGGAAACTAAGTAAATAAAACTCTTGCATAATTGAAATGTATAATAATGAGCGCGACAGGGAGAGCAGTCTCGAATCGGTCGATTAACCGCGAGCTCGGAACTGCACTCAAAAAGCGAATGCGAATAAATATCAAGGCTTCAGGTAAACACAGCGGCAGTCGCGATGAGATAATGGAACCAGTCGATCTGCTGTGATTATCGATGGATACATAGGTAAGAGCGAAGGAACTCGGAAGTCAACTTGTCAACTTGCAAAGAATATCAATAACTTGGTTATACTTTGTGGGTTTCTGTACACATATGTATATTACAGATGTGATATCGAGCTAAGGCCTCTTCCAACACACTACCAGCTATGATTGGATGGCCTCGTTAGAGGCTTTGGGTATGGTACTCCCCGGTTCGACATATTGCATGTATCTCATCCCCTAAGTGGCTTTTTATGAAGTAACCTGAACCTGGCTAATAAATGTCACCAATTTGGGGCCAATAATTTTGACAATTCTATTGTCAACCACCAAAACCTCACGAGGAGCACCTCCCCCGCCCCCATAAGCAGCATCATCATCATCATCATCACACCGAACGGGACGAGGGCCGGGGCCGGCATAATTTTCGCGAAGTAAAAGGAGAGGCAAACGAAAATTGAAACATAAAAATGTCATTTGTTGTGTGGGACTGAAAGTGTGTGGGGGCGGGTTGGGGGCAACCTTGGGTTAAATACTGGAAACCTTTTTCTTTCCGTGTAGTATATAAAAAAACATTAAAATAATGCCTCTTCGTGCCTCAGACAGCTGGGGCAGGGCTCAGGCTGGTAGAGTCATTTATTTACGACAAAACCTTTGCCCCTCCCCCTCCCCCGGACAAGAGGCGAATGCAATATTTATGCTAAACAAGTGAGGGGAGATTTTGGGCGGCAAGGTAGGGGGGAAAACTCCCTAATTGAAGATGCTCCTGGCAAAAGGACAACCGTCTGGCCGCGCTGTGTTAATCAGTGCAAGTTTCGAAAAGTAATCAGCAAATATTTGCACACTTTTTGTTGCGATTTTCTCAAGCATTTTCTTCATTTTCATAAAAGCATAAAACCCGGAAAAGCAGCGGTCTGATGGCTGATGTCTGCTCATTGTTTGCTTATTATTTCACTTATTTTTCTTGGCAGTCGAAGAAATGTTCATTGAAATCTATCAAAGCAGTTCCGATCTATGCGCTTTCGGGGCAACCTTCGAATGGAACGGTTTCATCATCATCTCAAGAGCCCTCGTACCCACCCACCTGCCCGATGAGCCACTAACTGCTTTCACAATTGTCTTGGCCGCGTAGGCATAATGGTCAGCTGCTTCCATTGATTTCGCCTCAGTTAAACCTAGACCCTCGCCGAGACCAATTCGTGGCCATCAATCGCAATGGGATCGTATAACATTGTCAGCGGTCTGGCCCTGCTGCTCCTGCTGCTTCTGGCCAACAATCGACTGCTGACCACTGCGACCACAGACAGCGAAGTCGTCGAGGCCCAAGCGATTGACTTCAATGCAACCCAACTCAATGAAGGGCTCCCCATTGAGCAGCCAGAACATAGTCCAAATGGAACGATGCAGGTGCAGCCGTACAACATCCTGGAGGCAAACTGTCCGCACGGCTATGTCCTGGCCAATAAACATTGCCATAAGCGTGTCAAGTGAATGAACATGTGAATAAATTGTAAAGATATGAGGAGTAGTAGAGAATTGTGTAGTTTTATAGAGAAATTTAAATTCGGACAGAAGTGAACTCTCTCCCCAAGCCAGTCCCAGTGAAACTTTCGGCTAAAAGTGGCAAAAGTCTTGTCCGTAACCTTACCTACGGGTATTCCCTGAATAGCCATCTGGATAAACGTAAAAGGCAGGACCTTCGGCTGCCGTCTGCCCCAACTCTGCCTCTATCGACTCTGCCAATATGTTGCGGTGTGCCACAAGTCTAACCTGTGTCCCCATTTAACATTACCCCAGAGAGGCGCATGCTCTCGGCCAACCGCATACATAATTTCCAGCGGTCACCGCCAGGTGGGGTGGGGCATTGGAGCCGCATCCCGCCCACCACCGCACCCTCTGACTGATATGCAGCCCAAGGGCTGTCATTAGTTAGAGGTCCATTAACAAAAATGCAACCGAACTGGGGGCTAGACACATGTCAATAGAGCTGGAGCTGGAGCTGGTGCAGACGTGCCCAGGGCCGATGTCATTTACAGGTAACAGGTGCAGGGACCCGAAAGGAGGGGGCTCCTCTGTGGGGCTGGTGGCGGCGGTGTATTAATTCGTGATGGTGCCACAAAATATGGCTTCACTTAGGCGAGAATAGCAGACACCGCAAGGGGTAGGGCCCTGAATGAGTTAATTAGACGCCTCACGGCCGGAAACATAATTTAGAGTCATTTATCAGCGATGTCCGTGGTCGGCGCCATGACATCACATGGAAATTGCCTCAGAGATCATGTGTGGGATGTGCTCTGTGTCTCTGTGTACCCCTCCAGACCCCACCAGGACATGGCCGCTTCATTATTTTGTGCTCTTTATTGGGCGGAAGGATTGCTTCCCTACAGCTGCTGCCCTGAAGGATTCCCCAGCCAGGGATAGACAGCCGGGCACTTGTCGCAGACATTCATGTAGCGCTCCTCGCCGGTGGACACCTTCTGGACGTGGCACTGGACCGCATGGCAGGCGGCCTCTGGCATGGCGGGGCAGCCTTTGAAAGGGGCTCCGAGCACGGGTTTCTTCACGTACTCCAGCATGCGCGAAATGCCAGTCAGATAGACGTCCGGATAGGTGTTCAAATGGTGAATAAATCTTTAAAACGGAGGCGGATATTTAAAAGGGATATTCCTAAAAGGATTCGCACGCCATAACGTACTTCTTGAAGGCGGCAAAGTAGTTGCGGCCGCGAGCGAACCAAGCCGCATGGAGGTACATTCCGAAGGGGGCACGGTTTCCCTCGTAGTGGCGGTTGAAGTTCTCCAGCATCCAGGCGAAGAGAGCTTCCACATTGTCCTCGGGCGGATAGACGCAGGCATCGATCATCGAGCAGCTGTAGCCCTCGGTATCGGTCCAGGTCACCATGGGATTGATCCAGAATCCGGGAATCGAAGCATCCGGACAGGGGCCAATCTGACAGTCCTGCTTGGAAAGATAGTCAAGGGTATAGGGCCACATGGCCGGGTCCTTGAACTGCTGCGTCGGCCAGGAGCTGTCGTAGCTCAGGCCCAGGCGCTTGGCAGCCGCGAAGGTGTTGTTGCCGGAAATCTGAAGGAAGGGCAGACGCATGCCCTGCACACTCTTGGGGTCCACCTTGGCGAAGGACTCCAGCATCTTCAGCTGGTCGCCGAACTCCTGCTCAATGGTGGCCACATCCGCAGCCCGCCAGTAGTCCGTTCCGTCGCCGTGGGTGACCGAGTGCAGGGCGATCTCGTGACCAGCGCGATACAGAGCGTTCACGCGGACATAGTCCGTGTACTCGTGCGACAGGAAGAAGGTGCCGGTGGCCACACAGCCATCGGGATTGGTCAGCTCGCTGAAGAGCAGCTCGTATTGGGCGTAGTTAACCGCATTCACGGCATCGTCGAAGGTGATCGTCACAAACTGCGCGAATAGTTAGAGAAGAGTCACCAAAAACCTTGGATGTTGGCTGGAGGGGTTACCTGGGGGATCTCACTCTCTTTGCCTTGGAACTTGGAGCGCGGCAGGACCGTGTCCGAGCAGCGGCATTCGGGCAGCTTGCAGTTGGCGGCCTTGCAGCTCTCCGCCATGGGCAGGACGAGCTCCTTCGGCTGATCGGCGGGGGCCTTCTGCTTGTTCTTCAGCTTCTTGGCCTTGGACTTGCCGGACTGCTTCTGGGCAGCGCCGAGCAGGACCGCGCACAGCAGCACGCTGAGTATGAGGAGAGTAGAACACTTCATGCTGGGAAAGCCACCTTAATTCTCCGCCTGTGGGGCTCTTCGACGTTCTTATAACCTTGATAGGAGATGCGTGATGCTATCTTATCGCTTGACTGGGGCTCCAAATATGATTTGCTTGTTCGACACAGAGGAAGTGGGGGTGTGGTTTTCCCCTGGGTGGGGTTTCATTGCGTGTGGAGAAGACTGACCTTGGCGCTCTGCCATTCTCATCCGCAGAGAACTTCAACTTTTGACCCCACTCTTGAGGCAAACAGACAATCACAAGAGCCATAGAACTTTCAATTAAAGACAGAACAACAGGAGCTAGAATCGAAGTGGAAAAGTTTGCCTCATTAGCATAACCAAGGAACTTAACAGCTGAGATTCCGTACCGGCAGTACCGGCAGTACCGGCAGTACCGTCGACACCGTCAAGTGGAAAACTTTTCACACTTGTCGAGATCCCTATCGATGGGTCTGGCTGCACGGCACAGCCAGAGCCACAGCAGCCCCCAAATTATGACAGCCCAAGCAAATGCACTTCAGATCGTAAACAAGTGCTTCAAAGTTTCCACAAGCGACAGGAATCGCATCCCTGCCCCCGAAAACAAGGCCCCCGCAAGAATCAGCGCCAGACAGAGTCGTCGCCAGGGAAGGGGTCGGCAGCCAATCGCAGTTTTGGGGAAAAAGTCAATACGGGTATTCAAAGGAACAAAAAGGATAAATTGAGGGAAAATCCTGCGAGTCGTAGTCCGTTGCAGCGTGGCTGATTCCACGGCCAACTTCCGCCATCTGAGGCGCGTGCCCGCCTCCGATGCGATTCGGTCACGTTTCGGGGCGTTGCCAGTTGCCAGGGCCTTGGGTAGGTGCCAGGAATGTGGCTCAGAGAGAGAGCCACACGGCCAGCCAGCCAACCAACGAGAGTCCACATCCGAGTCCTCTCGGCTACGGGTGGGCGGCAGTGGGGTGGTGGTGAGCCCCTAGCTTCGGCTCTGTTGTAGGGGCAATGCAACATGTTTGAGTGAGTTCGATGCGGCTCTTGCGTCATCCTGCTCGGTGGAAGACAACTCCTAATAAAGATGGAATGTCCGGATGGATAGTGCGAAGGAGGTTCATTGAAACCTGATTGACAGCATGAAGGATGTCCTGGAGAGACCTTGGTCATACACCTTCTCCTCATTAACAGCCCCCGGACTCATCGATGAGGCGTCAGGGCGTGAATTCAAAGGCAACACACACGCTTCCTAATCAGAGATATACTTTTCGAATCCCAGCCCCCGTCCACTCCAACCCCGCCCCTTCCTGGCTGAGGCTCACGTGGCGGCAACTGCTTTAAAATGCAAATTTTCCTCTGCTAATAAAAGTGCTACTCATATGCGTGGAAGATTTCCCAAGTGCACGGCGGCCAAAGGGAAGCCCATCACGCACGTCCGACTCGGAAAAACTACTCGGGGTGGGTCTTGTCTGGGGGTTTCGTCGGGGGTTTGCCAATTTTCGCGATAATCACACAACTAATTTGCATAGAACACCGAGACCACCAGCAAATCTAGGCTAATCAAATCAGCCAAAACGAACAAACTCAATTTGCGGGTGCAAATACTTGTACTTCTGCATATATATTCGAATACCCTATTTGATTGCTTTCTTGGCAGAGGGTTGATTGAATGTGCGATTGGTTTGGCACCTTCAAGCCCTCCTTTCCGTCCTTCTTTCTTTAACCAAACTACAGGGGTTTCCAACCGCCATCGAAGAGCATTCAGTCGTCGTCTGACACATTCCATTTGGTCCCTCGGGTGCCCCAGAGATTCCTAGGCACATAATAAGACTCGCCTTCATTTGTTATTGCTTTGATGGGACTATGCAAATCTCGGCTTATGAAATTCTGTGTCTACTTACCCTGGCATTAGATTTCACAAACATTTCAGCAGCACATTTGGTTGCGGCAAAGCCAACCAGACCTGAAAAAAGTCAACAGTAAAATAAATTAGAAAAACAAAATTCGAAATTTGCCAAAAAAAATGTCACGGCGACCTGGCGAGCCCGTCGAGGATGTTGAAGCTGTTGTGCCTCTGGAAGCGGTGGGATCTTCAGCGACTGCTGCCAATGTCGAGACCTGGAACCCGGAGAAGGCTTGTAAGTTTTGCAGGGACCTGCAGGACAACGAGGTGCAGACCTTGCACTACCTGGGCCTGCCGTACGTGGTCCTGGCCCGGCGACCCCGGCTCCGGGTAAAGGTGCCCCTGTCCACCATCAACTACGAGATCGGCCAGTGGGTGGGCATTGCCATGCAGCTGCTCTTCACCTGCCCGTCCAACTATCCCATGCAGCGGCCCCTCGTGGAGATCGTGGAGAAGCGCAACGTGTCGATCGCGCTGGAATGGGCGCTGCACGAGGAGATTGTCCAGAGTCTGGATCAGCATATAGGCCTGCAGATGATAGCACCGGTGACCATACGCCTGCAGACTCTGCTCAACAGCCAGCGATTGGGACAGCCAGCCACGATGCCCTAAATCTAAAGTCCTTCTGTTCGCGTGCAACGTGCAACATGCCAGCTCCAGTACGAGGCAAACACACACGGCTATCCAAATGCGGCTTATTGAAACTAGAAAAGACCAGATCTACACACTATACACACATATGGCAAAATATATAAATATAAGTGGGATTTTTGTGCTAGTGCCATGGACGGTGGTATCGGTGGATCCCCGGCCAAAGGACACGCCCGGCTTGGCCAGTAGATCTGTGTGGCTATAGATTATAGATATATGAACTTGGTACTGGCTCTCTCTCCCACATCCTTTCTGGGCGTCCTGCAATTACGTGCACAAACATATTTGTACTCCCGCTGGCGCAGAATGGCACGAAAAATAAAAGGAGCCTTCGCACCTCACGCAGCAATACGTGACTTTTGGCCTTGACTGACGGATGGCACTCCTGAAGTGCCCCGAAATTCGGTGCGTGTGTGTGTGTGTGTGCAACACTTGGCCGAATGTTAACACGTGCCCCAGTCACAGCCAGGAGAGGAATCATTAATTGGGCAGTCAGGCAGGAGGCGTCTGCGATGCATTAACTTATCTTTTATGCGCGTGCCAAAGCACTCGCCATCGCTCGCAGGTCCATTTGCTGGGATACCGGCTTTGGCATGTTCACATATCCTTCCTGCGGAGCAGTGCAAATGAAATTTGTTGCCCAAAAAAAAAAATAGTGCACGTTGCAACACATCGAACAGCCAGCCAGAGGACGGGAGGAGTGGCTGGGGGAGGGGCGGGGGAAGCTAGTCAGACTCCTTGGGGCGTTTCCTGTTGATCCTTAAGCATATAAGAACGTCCTGCCATGCCATGCCGGATGTCTCTGGGTAATTTAGATAGCTGCAGCGGCGCTCCGTTGCTCCAACTTGCATAATGTCACTTTCAAAGTGTCGCAGTTCAAAGGACATGCACTCACAGGACCCCACAGAACAGGCGGCAGACATGTTAAAGCTGTGCGATAAGCATAGGGATTCTTATGAAATTCCTAATTTCAGGCCAAAGCTGAGAAGGGTGTCTGAGTCCTCCTCCTCCTTTCGATAGTCTCTTCTGCTTTTTTTCTGTTTTTTCGGGTGGGGTAAGCAAACTTTAAGTCCACATCCCTTTTTAATGTGACTGTGTATGCCCGAAGGATTTGTGCGTAATGAAAAACTGTCACGCCACAGGACCACGTCGAAGGACGACAACGACAACGACGACGACGACGGCGACAACCAGGATGAGCCTAAGCCATCGCAGGTACGAGCGGGTATATGGCAGAAATTGAAAAGCGCTATCCGGTAGCCGGTAGAGGGGAGCCAGAGCCCAAGGAGCATTAAAATGGCAAATTTGTGTGCACTGTCAATGGCAGGACGCACAGATAGGACACAGTCAGGGCAGGGCATGCAGGACATTTATGGGCGACAGACAGCAACGACAAGGACATAAAAGCGGCGTCGCCTGCGTGATAAGCGCATAAATCAGCCATGGAACAAGTCCCAAATCATACACCCATAACCCCTATACCGTTGGTAAAGGCTTTAAAGCTGGATATCCTGGCAAGCCCCACCCCATAACGGTCGATATGTTCCCCTTTCCTGGACGGGGGCGTTTATTCATTTCTCAATTAATTGTTGCTCATTTCGGAACAGGATGGCCAAGGGTCAAGGAACTGCTGGCCGCCATAAATCCCCGTGTTTTGCAGGGCAAAACAGCAGACGCGAATTGAATTCCTGATATGGCAGAACCTCGGCAGAGGTCGAATGACTGTCCTTCAGCGTCCCCCTCCCCCTCTTGTCTGGAGCTCATTGCTTATGCTCGAACACGAAACAAATTCAAATTACAAATTATGTTTTCGTCATTGGTGCGCTTTACGAGGAAACCCATCCCCATCCCCATCCCCATCCCCAAATCCCGAATGACATTTTCTGGGGCAGGGAATGGATGGAAAGTACATGTTAATGCTGATCCCCGTTGTGGCCAGTGTCCGCGCGGTGTCAACTATTTAGTTTCCGGTTTTAAGTTCCAGCCATAAACCCGGAATTATGTGTCCGCTTTTATGGCTTCTAGCGGCGTCCTTCTCCGTCTCCGTCTCCATCTCCGACTGCGACCCTGGACCGGGCTTCATTGTTTCTTAATAATCCAGAGAGAGAGAGAGAGAGAGAGAGAGAGCGAACCGAGTCCTCCGAGTGCACACGTCTTCACATTAACAATGTTTATGGGGCCCAGACAGTGTTTCCAAGTCGAGAAGTAGTCCAGGGGACCGCCTAGTTGCATGCCACACATATTTCCGTTGCGTTGCAGTCATAAATGCGCTTAATTGGCAATTTTTGTGTAAGCGTGTTGAAATTTTATACCCCGCCACCAGCCTTCGGCGCACTCGCCCCATTCGACCCACCAAAACGTTGCAGTCATAAATAGAAGATATGTTCCAGAAGTGTGAGGTCTGTGTTTATGCCCCTGCGACAGAGTGGAGTCCAGCCCCTGCTTTTATGGGTCATGCATGAATTTGCCGGGATTTATATGTGGTCTACATGACCTGGATTCTGATACGGCCGTCCAATGGGCTAATCAAATGATATTCGGTAGCCACAGCGAATGAATTGGTCCAACCACAAATGAACATAATTTTATTTGCTTAATCTACAATTTTACTCACACCATAATTTAGTTTGGGGCTTGCCATAGAGAGTCGTTAGAGCACATCTGTGGGCAGGGCAGGTGGGAGAGAGAGAGAGAACACACTATAGAACACTCAATTCACATGGAATTTAGAGGGACTTTGGGGGATTTAGCAGGGTGGGGGGGGGGTAGCCTTACCCAGCTCTTCGGCAGCCATGGTCGCTTCCATTTTCCGCTTCAGCTTCCTGACCATCTGGTCCATCATGTCCTTGGCCCTGGTAACAATCGAAAGGATAAACTGGGTGCCTCGATTCAGCCGCCTTATGCGACGGAACTCCTCCTGCATTTTGATCTCGAACATATCGGGGAAATTCATCTTCGCCTTGAGAGTTATTTTGGGCAACAGATGGGGATACATATCGGTGTAGGTGAAGATCAACTTGCATCCAATGCGAGGATCTTTAGTGGCCACCTGGTCGTAGTTGGAGGAGCACACGGTGACCTCCAGCTTGAGGGTGGGCTGGCTCTGAAGCACCACAGTGCGAAAGCCGAGCAAGCCGATGGCATGAAATTCCGAGTTGCGGATCGACTCGATTAGCACCTCAATGGACTCTGAATTCATGGTTTGAAATACCAACTGGAGAGAGAACTGAATAAACTGAACTGAATAAGACCTTTAGCCACGCTCTGACAGCTAGAACAAAAGCCATTTGATAGGGCTCCCACGACAATGCTTCTCCGGCACTCGTTGGCGTTGGCCATGTTCCGGCTGGCACTGATCTTTGGGCTGTATCTTCCCCTATATTCCCCTATCTCTGGCAGTTCCATCTGCGGCAGGAACGAGGTGCAGGTAGCCTGTGGCAATCCCTGCCCCAAGTCCTGTTATCCCCAACGTTGTGTGGACGTCTTGTGCTATGGCCGTTGCAACTGCATCGGTGGATACAGACGGGTTAACAAGTACCAGGGGCCCTGTGTCCTTCCCAGCGAGTGTGGAAGGTATCCCATGTGGGAGATACACAAGCAAACGACCAACAAAGGAAGGAGCAAACGTATTCAGTTCCAGCACCAACCAATTAACACACAGCGCCAGCAGAGACATCTCAAAGACCGAAGAAATAAGACTACAAAAATAAATCCAAGATCAGTTAAGGAGCCAGGCAACTATGCGGATCTGTGGACGACTCCAAGGGATACTATGGCTTACGATTACTTCGATCTCAAGCACAAATTCGTCTTTGAAGAAATGACAACAAGGAAGCGTTCCAAGCCCTCAACAACATCGAAGCCAGCCACGACTGAGAGCCCCTTTATGGATCTGTGGGCGACTCCAAGGGATGCGGAGGCCTATCATCTCTTCGATCACAAGCCTCCATGGGACTTTGGTGATATGACGACTAAAAGGCATGCCAAACCCCTAACAACACCGAAGCCAGCCACGACTGAGAGCCCCTTTATCCAAGAACATATTCAACGATAAGACAATACCTGCATGAGGCTACCGGAGCTACATAAACAAATAGAAACTATAATGAAATATGAAAATCCATGGACTCTTAAGGACTTTAAACTACCATCGGTTGTACATAAAATCAATCTTCAAAAACATCTCTAAGAAATCCGCATAGAGGCGTATGTTCTGGCCTTTTTGTACTCGGTTTTCGGATAGTCAGTAGAGGACTTAGAGGGTTTTCCTGAGGGTAAGGGGCCATACTGCATTGCTTGCTCGTTAATTCTTTGGCTTTGAGTTTCTCGAAGAACTCCATTCATAGGCTGACTGGAAGTGTAAATTGAAGATATCCTGGATGCGACAACAAGCAAAACAATGCGGCAAAAGGCACGCATTCCGTTAGTCTTAGCCGCCTCAGGACCCCCAGACCTTTGCCCTTCCATATTCTATTAAAATTGCCTGTCATTGCCGTTGCTGGCATCGTTATTGTCCGCCCTTGGCCTGGCTGGTTCCTGTTTGGGCCCTGCCATGGCCCTTTCTGCCTCCATTTTTGGGATGTCTGCCATCCCGGCTTAGTCCCTTGGACGACTGCGACGTTGTCTTCTGGCAGAACCATTATTCTTCCACAACGTGCATTATATTATCCTTTGGCTGGAAGGCATTTGTATGCTGGTCCAGGGCGCGAATTGCATTTGGGATTGGTTGGGCTTCGGGTGGGTTTCGGGTGGCTATAGGAATGGCCTTTCAGCTGTCGTCACTGCAATTTGTATTGCCGCCGTTGTCGGCGGCGGTGGCAGTGGCGGTGGCGGTGGCGGTGGCGGCTACGACGGTGGCGTCTGTAACTTGTTTTTTATTGGTTTTCTCGTTTTAAATTTCAATTTGGCGCCTGGCCCCCTGTAAGCAAGATGTATGTACAAGACGCCAGCACCGGCCTCCGCCCAGGAGTCATTCCCCATCCCCCTCCCCACCCCCACTCCCCGATTTTGCCGCACTGCAGAACATATGTTGACAGCGTCAGGTGCGCCAACGAGGGGCGATTTATATGCGTCAGCGTGCCAGGTTGACAGTTTCAAGGTGCCGGGAGTTTCTGCTGCTGTCTTGACTGCTAACTGAACTGTCATTCAGATGGGAGCTGCTGCTGCTGCTGCCACCCAACCCCCTTTCAATGTTATTATGCCATTAGGGGTTACAGGTTATAAGGGGGAGGGCCGGGGGTTAGCACATTTTACATCGCATTTAACCCAAAACATGCCACTTAACAGAGAGCATTTATCAATGGGCTCTGCCTCGCGCACTCAGACACATACACATACACAGGCGTGAGAGGGGGAGGAAGAGAGGAAGAGCATTTCCCTAACCCTACGTGATTCGCACCCCTCGCATTATCAGCCATCAGGCATCATCATCCCATACGTGTTAACCTCTCCACTCGCCCACCCACACTCCACTTTCGTTCCCTTATGACACTGCATTCTGTGTGCGATTATCAAGCGTTGCCGTTGCCGTTTCCGTTTCCGTTGCTCGGCTCGTTTTGTGGCTTACGGCCATGCCCCAAAAATTACATGCCTTTGTTTTTTATCTAACGCCAGGCGGCATTATGCCTAACCCGGGGTCTTAAGGGTCTGCTCTTACTCACTGCCACTCTATGGCTGCGTCCGTGTCTGTGAAACGTGTCCCGAGTCCGGGTCTGATTCCGATAGTCCTGGTCCTGGGCGTGGGCCTGGCCGTGGGCGTGGGCGTAATTCGATCTATTATCAGTTGTCATCGTCGGCAAATTCACACATTCGCATAGGCATTTGTCGTTTTGCTTGATTTGTGCCACAAAATGGCCACAGTGGTAGCCGATCAGAGCAATCCTGGCGCCAAATTTCATTGAAAGCCTTTTGCGACTCTCACAAATTGAAATGGTTAAGCTGTTGTTGTTGAAACATTGCTGTTTCGTGGTGAAATTAGTATGGGGCTGCTATATCATTTCAGGGATCATCTGGCTCGAGTCCCTAGCTCTCGCCTGGATATCCTTCTTGCAGATCCGTAAGCACTGCTCCTGATTTTTGTTAGTTCCACAGCTACTGCTGTTGTTGTTCCCCCAGAATACAGTGGCCTCTACGCTCTAGTGACCTTTCTGCATTTCACGAAGCTCTTCAACTCCATCATCTTGTTATATGGGCTCCTTAATGTGAGGATCCTTACGTCTAACACTTTTGGCCTTGTTGGTACTCCTTCCCTGCTCTTCACCAGGAAAAACGTGCACTCGTGGCCATCTTCCTCATGACGATTTGTGTGTGTTTAACAATTTTTCTTGTCCACTGTGTGATTTTCGCCACCATGACCCCCCCGATTGAGGGCTTGGAGACCGGCCATTACATTGCTATGCCCGTATACTTTGGTAAGAGATCACACGACTATCACATGACTATACATATCCTCGAATCTGATTACCCTCTTAGTTATATACGCCTACTTCTTGTGGGTGATATACTCGTACTACATTTATACCCGGGATCCACCGCCTCACGTGAGTTCCACATCCATTGAGTTTGCCGAAGTGGTTGATGCTCGATAATCGCTAAGGTGATAATGATACGAATAAAGTGCGTCTGTCTTCCCATAGTCCCAACCTTTTTTCTAGCCTTTGGCTCCACTGTGCCACAGCGCAGCATACAATACTTGTCCTTACCGTTACCGTCCCCAAAGAGAGCACATTGTTTCACGTACCATTTCGCAGCTGAAGTTTGAACTTTTTCAAGCACTGAGCAACCGAAAAGAAGTAAACGAATTCGCAAATCCGTTGAGGAGCCCTGCAGATGCTGGATGGATAGGAATAGGGATAGGAATGGCGATGGCGATGGAGATGTGTGAGATGTGTGCCCGATGCGTGCCTAAGTGTTGCATTTACATGCGATGGCAATACAATTTGGATGTGCTGTTGGGTGAATGGAGATGGGGGTGTGTGGGGGGGGCACAACAACTGGCATTGAGGCGTGAATTGGATACGCACAAACCCAATGGAGCAGCAGGATGGCAGGATGGGAAGATTGGAAGATGAGAAGATGAGGAGGACTCAGATGAGCCCTGTCTGTGTGTGGGGCATATTAAGCAAGAATTAGCAACAGTTGTACCAGTGTCTCTCTGTGTGTGTGTGTGTGTGTGTGTGTGAGTTCCATTTCCGAATATGTCAAGTTAATTTAATGTTGCATGAACAGTGCCTGACGGTGGCGGTGGCGGTAGGGGTTGGACTATCTCATGGTGCCAGCTGCCCGGCCATCATGTGTTGCCAGCCTACGTGCAATAATTTGTGCAATTACTTGGCAAATTTGTGCCGTCCTCGTTGTGGAGGGATGTGCCACTACCACACTTCCACTCTGCCACTCTGCCACTCTCCTCCCGCTGCGACGTGCCTCGGAACCAACGGGGAAAAAAATGCAAATAAATTATGCCTCAAGGCATTTTACAATTCTATTCTTTTTATTTTTTTTTTCCTCCCAATTTTGTGTGTGTGTTTGTGCCTTGTCTTTGCTTATTTTTTTCCCTTATTTTTTGTCGAGTTCGAAATTATGCATTTAGTTGGGAAAAACATGTGGAGCATGTGGAACAAACTACGTGAGGGGCATAGCTAAAACGAGGGAATCGCCCGACAGCCAATGGCCCAGAAATATTGAAATATTTACTCACCATAGGGAGCCCCCACCCACTCCGCCGCCCACTCTGCCAGCTATGGGTCTGGTCTTTCCTCTTCGAAGCTGTGCAATTTTTCAGAGCAGCGCTTTTTGGCTCATAAAAATGTCAAATCGTTTACATACACGTCACTTCTGTGACAACTACTTGACAGACATTAATACACTTAAGCTGCCTGGCAAGAACACGGCATTATCCTTTAGCCAGAGTCCCTGTAGAGCGCAAACGACGGCGATGGCGGCATGCCAGCATAAATGACATAATATAATAAAGCAACAGCGAAAGGCAGGCGTAGCGAAGGGGAGGAAGCCTTCAAGCCGTGGATGCGGATGTGGAAGGAGCAGTGGAAAAAGTGGAAAAGAACAACAAAAATTTGCTTAGACAGCAAATCATGACGAGATAGACTCTCCTGCCACCCACTCCCCCACTCCCCACTCCCACTCTGCTCTGCCTCTTTGTTTGCCACTCGCTCTCTCTCCTGCTCTCCTGCTCTCCCGCTTTCATGGTCGCGGCTATCTGTCCTGAGAGCGATCTCTGGGAGTGCCTAACCTTGTGATATTTTGGCTTACACTCCCACTCTTCTTCACCACTGCCTTGGCTTCATTACTCTTCTGTGTGGCCCCCATCCTGGGCTCCCTCGCCCTCTCCCTCTTCCTCTCCGCAGCACATGTCAAGAGAGTCGCGTGTTTTTTGTCGTTGCCCTCGGAACAAATTGCTTTTGTGCAAATTTTGTCACATCTCAAGCACAAACACATGGGGCTAGACTCCCCCTGCCCCTGGCCCAACGCCACACCACCCCACTACTTCTTAGCTTCATTAGTGGATTTTTGTTGCTGCACTTTGCCTTTGAGCTTTTCCGGAGAAGGCTGGGAACTGCACTATGGAAACATCTTCCACATACAAAAATATGAATTTTATTTTGGCAATCATCTGACCGGATAATCAGTGACCGGCCTGAAACAGTTTATGATTGGTTTTTGATGGAAACCGACTTACAGTGGTTGGAAACGAGCGAATCGGTGGATATATAAATTTCCCCTTTCATGCGAAATAAAAAAGTTTCTTAATATAATTTGAAGACTCTCTAAAATTCCTTTAAAGATATTTTTCTAGAGCATACTCTTAGGAGGGCATTAAATTAATTTCATGATTGCCAAAAAACATATTAAACTTTACAAAATCCCAATATTTTCCAAAGATACCTTATATATTTGCATATCAAATATATCTCTGACATTTCTGTTAGCTTTTCCGACGTTTGTATAGGAACAATCCGGAATGCATGTGCTGGGAGTGGAACGAGCCAGCTTACTCAATTTTCCAGCAATATGATGTTGCTTTTTCAGCACACACTTTGCACCATCTTGAGCAGCTCATAGTCGGATCCTGGACTATGGTTCATTAGATTCCCCCCAGCCATGACTTGACATGTACGAGCTTGCATGGATGGGGCCGTCATAAATTCCAAATAAATAGATTTGTCAACCATTTTTCGGTGGCTGCCACACACACACACACACACACACTTTGTACCGCATGGACTTCCTTGTGTGTGGTTTTGTGGCGAAAAAGATGAAAAGCTATTTACATTCTGCTGCAAGGACGACGACACGACAAGGGACTGGGGTTCTGATGGGGCCTGGGAGTGGCCACTGCAAAGGCAATTTATCATGAATATTTGTCAAGGAACTGCAGCAAACACTTATTTTATGCTCGGACAAACAACGCAAGACACACGGCACCACAAAAGAAGGAGTCTATTGGCTACGAAATAACTTAGTTTTATTCCTATACACGTTTATCTATGGTCTAGAGTTGTGAGTGGATGGGGAATAGGATTCAGGATTGAGGATTCAGGATTCAGGATTCAGGATGATCTCTACAAGTACTGCCATATCAGCCAGATGGCCAGACCGACTCCCAGCACCAGATCCATGGGCAGGCTGAAGGTGTTCCGTTGCGCGTGCTCGTTGCGGGCAATTTCGATGATCTTGTGGGTGGCGTGCAGCCACTGCTTCACCACAGACGCCTCGGCGGCCACAAAGGAGTACTCCTCCCGCTTGCCACTGCCACTGGCACCGCTGCCCGGCTTGTCCTTGTCCTGCTGCTTGACCAGCAGATTGATGATCTTGTTGGCATTGGACGCGGTCAGCTCCAGCGGTCGCTGCAGCTCCACGTGCTCCCAGTGGTAGTGCTGGCGGTAGGCGAGTCGCTTCTTGCGCACCTCGGTGCACACCAGGCACCGGTCGAAGAGGAAGATCTTGGCGCGGTATTTCTTGCGCGTGGGAAAGTGCTGGGCATCGAACTCTGTGGCACGTCGGAAGTTTCCCAGTTGCAGGAGATCCAGGTATGAAACGATAGATAAACGTTAGAGATGAAGACCAATTGAATCCATGGAATCCATTAGTTACCTCATTCAGCTCATCTATGTTGGGTATCTCCTCGGCCTGATTGACCACATCCAGAGCACGTCGCATACGCGTCTCCAATTTGCAAACGGCGGTCAGCACGGGCTTGCAGCTGATTCCACTCTTGTAGAATTCCTGCCACAGAAGAAGATCCATTATTATATGATCTGGATAAAGAATTCCAGTCTCTTACCGATATGAATTGCTGCAACAGCAATGGATATCTGGTCAGTCTTTGTATGGGCTGCACAAGGAAGCTATCGATGCCCAGCTTGTCTTTTATCGTGGTTTGATAGGCCTAGAGAGCAATCAGATACTAGAAATAGTAATCAGTGGATTTAATCTGTACCGAAGGCTTACCTGCAGCCATTCGCGATGATCCTGACGCAGCTGCATGGAAGACTTCTTGCCCATGGTGAAGCTCACGTAGCAGTAGAAGTTGTTTTTCTGGAAGAATTCATCAGAACAGAATGGTTTACAAAAGCGAAGCCAACTTAAACTAAGGTAATCCCCACCTTGGCCGTACCAGCCCCACCAGATCGTTTTTAAGAATGTGTTTACTGAGCTTTGGCCGGCCATGCGCTGCCATTTCGCTTGAGGCTCGGGTTTCTCTATAGATATGTATATGTATATGCCCTACACATATGTATGTATGTATGTATGTACTTCCCTGCCTGCTGGCTAAATCATAATTTTTTGAGCATTTAAGTCACGTAACCCGAGACCCCTAGAAGAGGAGGGGGGGGCTGGGGAAACCCGTGGCAAAGCTAGAGCCAAAATTTGGCATTCCTGTCGGTATCTCGGACCAATGCCATGCAAATGCTGTGGCCCAAACCGAAGCCAGCAAGCAAACTGCAAACTGCAAAGAAAATTGGTTGGCCAACGATTTCCTTTCCATTTTAATTTCATTAGCCTCGCCCTCCCTACCAGTCCGAATCAGAGCTGTGATTCCAGAGCTCAGATGATGTGGTGGTAATCACCCCTCCGTCCCTCAGGAGTGGGGCTCTGTTTTGAATGTCTAATGCGGCTGGCTTAGTCGGACAAATTGTCTGGCGGCGCAAGGTGACAATTTATTTTTGCATTTGACTAAATTTTCTTTGCATGAACAATCTCCCCTTCGTTGGGTGGATGCATTCCCCTCGAGCACAGTCATTTGTCTCGTGAATATACAATATCTGCACTATAAATAGATTGTACTAACGCTAATAAAGCTGACACAAATGCTAAGCGATTTGATGAGCAGATGGCAGAAGACCCACAATGTGCTCTCGTGTGGCACACATCAGCAAATGTTGATCTCAAAATCGATTGCATCAGAGTCAGGCCAGACCCCTCAAATCGGTTCGAGAGCAATCAGAATGTTGTAAAACATTTAATTGATTTTGAGTTGGTGGTGGATTCGATTCGATTTTGTTCGATTTGAGGGTGAGAGAAATCGCTCAGATCGACACGCTTGTCACTTGGTGCTCTGTTCTGACCATTTAAAGCCGATTAATAAATGAAGGCCAAGCTATTTACGGAGAGATCTCCGGCATCCTCTGGCATCAGTGGGACTCGTGTCCAAATATCGAGTCAACAGGTCTGGCCGGACAAGGCCTCTTCAGCCACACAATCAAATCGGGTCAGAACTAATCGATCCGGCAATTATACATATGTGAAAAGCCTCATTAATTTGCTCGAGGGGGAATTTCTGGTTTTCACAAATGAAATTTTATATTTATCAACAAGCTCTTTCGCGTCTTCTTTTGTTTATCCAATATGCTGCCAAGACAAGCAGGAAGCGGGAAGCGGAGAGCGGAGAGCGAGAGGAAGGGGCAACATTTAGAAAATATGTATGCACAATATTATACCGAGTATAAACAAAATTTTGGTACATTTTTATTATATATTTAGCAACGATTTCGTTGCCTCTTGTCCTGTGACTCAGAAACGTTTGGCAAGAGAGGCACGAAGAACACAGAGTGGAGTGCAAAGGGGGCTCTTCCTTAGCATAAATCAGCTCCCAGGGGCTTAGCATGTCTGTTCGGCATTAAGCCAAATCCTCGGGGAGCTTGTCGTGGCTCAAAGAATGTTACCTGCTTTGGGAGCAGATTTTCAGTTGCTTTTTCTCAGCTCTTTTTTTTTTGGGGCTTCTCGGAACTTGCAGATGACATAAGAGAATTGCGTCCGAATTGCCATGTATTCCAGCAGACAATTTCAATTTAAATTGATCGCTTGAGTTGTCAACACTTAACTCGGCCTCGCCGCCACATGGCCGCCAGGCCATAGAACATGTAGAAATCTTTCCAAAAAAAACCACAGAAATACGCCTAACGAGATCTACAGAAGTGTAGCTCAGGTTCAATTGCGATTTCTTGAGCTATATCTCGACATTTTCATACTCTCGCATAAAGCCCCATAAGTAACGATATATATACTATATATATTCTCTATCAGTGTCAACAAGCTATAGATAACTGAGCTATATAACTTATAGAAGGGACAACGATTCTGCAAGAGTATCTAAAGCTTCGCCACGTGCATATGTATGTATGTATGTGTTCCGCCCAAGCCCCAGACAGACGCTAAAAAGCTGTGTAGTTGCCTCTCTTTCGATCACTTTGACTGCGAACCGATGACGTCAGCTGCCGGCGAACCGAGCGACGGGAAAAAAGTTTTGTGTTTTTAAACAATTTCCAACTGATTTTCGTTAACGACAATGTTCTTGGGTTCTATTTGGCTTTATCATTACCATGTTCCTGCGATTACTTCAATCTTATCAGGGGACTTCACTAAGCCCACCCATTCGTCATTCAGTAAATAATTATACTTAAGTGTTTCTTTTGTGTTTTTTTCATTAATTCACTTTTAACCACGACCACGGCATACGAATGAGCTGGGCCCTCCGACAACTTCGTGACACACTATTCTTGACGCCGGAGGTGTCAATCAAAAGCCCTATTAACGAATAAAATAACTCAAATATTTCGTTAATTGAAATTGTCAGAGAGTTTATGCAACCGCAATTTGCATAACCCACAACTAAACGGCCGCTGAACGCTGCTTAATATGCATTAATTCACGAGTTTCTCTCTAAAAATACAATGTGCAAAAAATAACTTGGTATATGGCACTCATATGTAGAACCGAGAAACCGTCACTCAGCGGCATGGCAATCGCAGGTGTCGCCACCAAAGAGCACCAACAAAATAAACATTAATACATTTTGTCTTGAATAAATATTTGAAATTGAGTTTTTAGCTTTCGAGAGCCTACGGAAAACAAAAGAATTTTTGATCGATTGCCCGAATCGGGGTGTCGGAACCTGTCCAACGGCTACTTGGCAAGCGACACGAGTCTAATGGTTAATGGACCCAGCCCAACCCACGCAGGGGAGTGCCGTGCCCGTGGCCGTGCCTCTTCTTAGTTCCTACTCACCTCAAAGTGCCCGGCAAACTCATCAAAGAGACCCTTCAGATCGCGCTGATTGCGCAACATCAGCGGTAGAATCTCCCTCTCGTGTAGCTCCAAGATCTCGGAGACGTTGCCCAGGAGTAGCTGCTGGCGCTGCTCGCCGCGGAGGCCTTCGGGCAGGTCCTCGACGGTCGCCAGGTGTCCATAGTTGGCCAGACCCTTCTTCAGATTGTTCACATAGTTGACCTCCGTCTGGATGAGCTCGTCGATGATGAAGCTGATCTTCCGCGAGGCGTAGATTTCGGTTTGATCGCAGGGAAACAGATTCTCCAGCGACAGTGTGTCCTCGTCCTCGTGGCTGCTCGGAGTGGATGGGCGAATTATTTATAGGCGACTGTGAGCGGAAGTGGGAGTGGCAGTGGGAGTGGGTTGGATCCGGGGTGGGGGTTGTGGTTGTACTTACTACTCATCGCCCAGAGTCTCGAAACTGAGCGTGTGTGAGAGGAAACCATTGTGTGTTCGGTATGTTGGAGATGAGTTGGCGGCTGCCGTGGTCGCTGTCGTTGCTGAGGTGTAGATGGAGCTCAATGAGATGCCACTGCAACAGAAATGGAAGCACAAGAACAGGAAGCCGTGAATGGGGGAACACTCAAATGGGGACTGATAATGAATCGTAGATAAGCTAGGGGAACCTTCTTCCACACACCCATATCCTCCATAAAGATATAAAGTTCAATCTTAAAACAACATCCCTCGTTAATTATAGAATTCTTTATTGATTGCTATGTGGAGTATCCGATTCAAATGAACGTTTATCATGCAAGTCATGTCTGGATCAACAATGAACAATGATTACCATGAAATGCTTTAAAACAAAACCCGAAAGTCATAAATCCCAATAACGCATACGTTATCTTATCACGTAAGCACAAAGTCGTAGTGGGACACATGCCAAAGGTCAAACATATACATCAGATGTAGGGACAGTCGAAACGAACGAACAACTGTCTGATGAAGAGGTGTGGTACCGAAAGAGACCATAAGCTTTGACCTACCTATCACTATCCAGCAGACTTGTTTGCTTCTCCAGCTTGCCATTTTTGTTGGGTTTGGGTGGAGTCGTCAATATCGAACTAACGGGTGAACTGGGCGCCTCTTCAGTCCGACATTCCTTCGCCACGGCTGTGTCAACCACATCGATTGTCTTGCCACTCGTATTATCGTCCAGTATGTGCAAATAGACATTCAACACTTGCACTATCACAATCGCGAGGAATGTCAGGGCAACGGATATCACATCGAACCAGTTGAACAACTCCATACTGAGGATTTTAGGCACTGTTCTTTATGGGCTTTCGCTTCGAAGGAATCGAGTTCGATGCATTTCGATAAGAAAACGCGAAAAACACTAGTCCGATTCCGATTCCGATTCTGTAGTCGCCGTGTCCAGTCCGTTCCGAATCACACGAGAAAATCAAATGTGGCGAGCTAAGCGCTCGTCAAGCTGGCTGGCAAAAGCTTCGGCCGAAAGCTCACTCTCCATCGACTGATCGTTCTCTTTCTTTGTGGTTCTCTTTTGCACGCGAATTTGTTTGTAAACATCGAAAGCCATTCGAAACTGTGAAAAGTGCTTCGGCGGCCAACAATGGATGGAAATAAATCAGGGTCTGCAACACTTTTGCTTTCATCATGGATTTATGACCGCCCCAATAATGCGATTTGATCCACTGCCATTCGATATTTGCATACCAATTAGGGAGCTTTGGTTAATGGCCCCGTAATAACTGTAATTACTGCCACCAGCCATACCGTACCATGTCATACCATATAATCATAAAGTTTGATTCCCCCTTGAACTTTGTTGGCTGGTCTGCGATGTGATATGCAGAGAGTGAGAGAGCGAACTGGTTGGGTTTTGGTGACATTCCAAGTGGGTCCATAAATCAAAGCTCGAATAGTTTTCGGACCTATCTCAAAGGTTTAGGAGCTTTTCCCTTCTATACTTCGCATTCCTCTCTGGCACTGACCGTTTCCCATCATATCATCATCATCGTGATCCCGTGAGAGTTTTGTGGCGATGATCTCACAAAGATCATTCGGAAACGACTATTATATTGCCGTCACTGATGTCGTTTTGCATTTGCGAATTTCACAAATCAACTTGTTCACGTTATATTGTTTTTATTGTTTATTAGCCACAATTGATTTTTTAGACAATACGCGAGACAGACACACTCCCCTACTCTACCCATCCAATTAAAATCAAAAGAATTCCGTGATGAGGCAACAGCAAAAAAAAAGCGAGGAATTTTATAAATAAACGGCGAACATTTCAGGGAGATTTTGATGAGCAGCAATCCCCATGCCCAATGATGAAGATCGCCCCGGGGCAAACAATACTAATAATTGTTTATAATTCTTATTTTATTTATATACGCCATTTGTTTATTTATATACATTTTCGTAGTGATGTCACAAGGCGGTGCAAGTGCCAGCCAGAAACAAGTTGTTGGCCGTGTGGCGTGGCGTATCATTAACAATCTTGTTAAGAGCGATGTGCCAGTTGGACGGTGGAGGGGTGGAGGGGTGGAGGGGTAGTGCCAACAGCTGTCCCACGTCTGACTCTCATGACAAAGCCAATGGCGTGCGACCAACCGACCTTCCATGATGGATTCGTTTGTTTCGACGACTCTGAGGCGTGTGATTCTGCTCTGCGAAAGTGGAAGGAAGCTGCTGATATTTTTGTAAAATATTGTGTAAATTATTTTCCCCCAATTAAGAGCAATGTACCTGATCAAGAGTCAGACAGATAATCGGTCGGAAGAGTGTCTTTGAAGTTGTTTCTAGTTAGCGATTAGCGACATCTACAATATCACAATTTTGTTCTTTCAGTTCCACTTTATTGATACAATTTTCCACTATAGCTTGACTAAAACATAATTCATAGTCGATATTCACATAAAATAATCAAATCTTAATTATTTAGGCACCAGAGAACAACGACAACAAACTGACAGTCGCCTTGCGACATCAATAGTATTACGAATTTAATTAAACTACTAAACTTAGAACAAAATATTTGGTGATTTAGCTTTCAACTTGAAATGTTTTTTGTTTCGGTTTTCCATTTGTGTTTTCCATTTGGCTTGCAACAAAAACGAACACGAATTTGAAAGAACATTCAATGATAACTTGGCTTGGCTGATTGCCCAGTGGGCCCCTGCCCGCGGCAGGTCCGGACTGGAAGGTGCTCTCTACCGAGCACCGATCTATAACTGCCGGTCTCCCATAACCCGATATTGCTCCGATCGGTTTGCTAAGTGCCATATCCCGCAGTGGCTTTGGGGCGTTGTCTACGAGTTGGCATACCAAGTGCTGCGATTGCTGGCCGTCTCCTCGTCCGGCTTGGGCATTATCCATATGTTGCCGATGCCGCTGTCGGTGCTGAAGCGGTTGGAGTCGCGGTAGAGCGAGAAACTGGGCGGCTTCCGATGCAGGTGATCGTTCTCGCGGCCGTATAGCTCATGCAGCTTCTGGCGCTCCTCGTTGGCGTAGTTGTTGATCATGTCCCGTATGAGGTCCAGCCAGTGCGAGATCTGGGCCGGATCCGCGGTGAATTCGCACTCCTGCTGCTTGCGGCGCTCGTAATAGAGCGTGAACGACTTGGTCTTGGCCGAGATGCCAATGTGCTCGCAGGGATAGCGGCCGTGGAAGAGCAGCTGCTTGCCCTTGATCTCCGTGTAGATGATGCACTTGTCGAATATGAAGACCTTGGCCCGGTAGCTGCGCTTCTGTTTGCAATCGAAGATCTGGAACTCGTTCACCTTGCGAAACTTGCCCTGGTAGAAGACATTGAACTGCAATCAAAGAGCGGCAATTAGATATGATTTGATGGGGCCAGCGGAACGGGAGAGCACGACCCTCACCTCGTGGCAGCCCACAATGTCGTTAATGATCTCCGACTCGTTTGTGGTGGTCAGCAGGGTGCGCAGTCGCTTCTCCAGGCGACAGCAGGACTCAATGAGCGGCTTCATCACAATGTCGCGGTTCTTGAAGAAGGTCTAAAAGAGGGATTCAACGATATATCTAGTTCACGGAGTGACGCGACGAATTCCACTCACATTGATGAACTGCGTCAAGAGGAGGGGATAGCGGGCCATACGCTGGATGGGCTGCACCAGGAAGCTATTGATGCCCAGCTTATCGTCGCGTTCCAGGCGTATGTTCTGCAGAAGCAAAGAACGGGGGGATACGGTAATTAGGTAAGACGAACTCACGAAAGTAATGGTCAACTTACGGTGAAATAGTTTTTGTAGAGATCACAGAGTTTCAATGAATTCTGCTTGTTCATGGTGAAGATGACGTACCCATAGAAGCAGTTTTGCTAAACAAAATACAGGAAAACGTTAGAGTTCGGTGATTGAGAGATCTGTGGCCAAAACCTACATCCAGTAGCTGCAGGAATTCGTCGAACAACCGCTTCAGATCACGTTTGTTGCGCTGCAGCATCGGCAAGAACTCATCGCGATGGAACTCCGCAATCTGTTCGATATTGCCGAAGAGATCGTACTTCTTGCCACGGAGACCCTGCGGCAGATCTTTGCGCTGAAAGATGTTGCCATAGTTCTCGATGCCCGTGTACAGATTGTTCACATAAGCCTCCTCCGTCTTGACCAGCTCCTCCAGAATGGGATGCACGCACTTGTCGCTCTTATCCCGCAGCTCGATTTCCACTTCCTCCTCCCTGAAAGACATGAATGAAAGCTGTATAAAGAACAGATCGCGGGAGAGGCTCGCGATCAATACTCACTCGTCCTTGGGCTGATAGAGCGAGTGAAATTTGCCAACGAGATGCTGATTTGTTGTCCCAATGATTTCAGTCTTTCGTCTCGGCGTGGAGCGATAGTTTCTGTGGAGAATTGTGTGTCTTGAGTGCTCGTTATCTACCATGTACATATGTTTATCAGCCAAAAACAACAACGGCAGAGTGTGGTAGCTACGCAGATAAACCCCCCAAAGCTTCTATGTGAGTCACCGGCAGAGGGACTACTGATAAGCGCCCCGTGGCCACCCACCCTTATGCAACTGAAGAAGCGAATGATAGTACGCGAACATATTTACATGAGGCATGACTCAGACTGGGATCTAGTCGGACTTATAAATATGCCGCAGGATCGTCTTTTTAGAGTCAAAGATTTCCAGAGCGCTTTCGAGTGCCTGCCAAATGGCCGTAACGCAGTACAGCATGAAGTCCAGCTGCATGATGAGGAACCAGGAGAGCATGATGAGCATGAACATGGCCAGGGCAGTCACTATGAAGCCCGTCAGCTAGAACACATGAAAAACTTTCGAAAGCTGGCAAATAGGCTCAAGACGACTGTTTCGATGGTAAGTACTGACCCCCTCCGCACAGCTCTCCATCACCGGCATCGAGATTGAGGACGCCCTTTGCCATTGATAAAACGAATCACTTGTCAGTCTCTTCGGCGTGGGTTCCATATCCTCTGTGGACGTAGAATCGGCCATAGTCACATTGCTCTTCTGAGAAGTTCTCACAAGCGAATTTCTCTGACTGCTTGTCAGCTCCTTCTCGCTCCTTCTCCGCTCGTACACATCTTCCTTTAGAAGCACCTCATTCGCGTTCTCGTCCTCGTCCTCGTCGTCCGCATCCTCGTCCGCGTCCTCGTCGGCGTCGGCGTTGGGATAGGTGGTTTTCGCCAAGGGTACTGACTCATCCGCCTTCTCCTTCAGCTCCTCTTCTTTCGTTTTGTGCTTTCTTCTCGATGGGAATGGATCGTCCCTGGTCCCCGTTGCCATGGACACGTTCCTCCTCAACGTCTGTTGATCCTGCTCTACTTTCTGCACCTCCTCTACCATTATCGAAGTCTCTTTTCCATCCTCCGTCACATGCTGCCCCTCGGTGGGGTCGGGTTCGCTTCGTGCCGGCTCCTGTGGCGCCTCCTCCTTCTTTGGACCATTCATGTTCTAGGTGCAGCTGCTTTGGGCCAACCGATTCCCAAAGATACATTTTACAAATTTTGACACATTTCCCAAAAGTAAATACCCTCTGGAATGACTTCTCGGCCACAGCAAGCTGCTAGGCCAGTTGGCAGCACCCCTTTTGCGGGCATTTCCAGCTAGCGGCAAACCGGTTAGCGAAAAGTGCTCCAAAACTTAATTAACACTTTGCCAATTAAGCCTCGTCGGCGATGCACGAATGCATTGAATGCCTGCGGTTATATGGCTAAACTCGCATAATTGGATTCTGACACCAAAAAGGAAGCTCAACGACCGCGAAATCTACTTAATCAACACTGTGGAAGGCTGCCCTGCCCAGATGGCCCTCGGTGTCTGGCAGGGCCAAGGAAACATAGAAAACTCTCTCTGGTGCAACTATCTCTGTCCCCCTCATGTTCTGTTTATCACTCACCTTGGAAAGTCCTGATCATTGCGCATTTGCAGCGGCAATGTGTGGCTCGCCGCTGGTTGATCGACGCTGATCGAACGCTGCACCTGCTGGCTACTCGACTCATCTTCGGGATCTACGGCATGGCTGGGCAAGACCTCGGAGGCGCTCTCGGCGAGTACGTACTCCCTGGTTGCATGTGGATCCGTTTCAAAGTCCGATATCTGGTCCACTTCGTCCTCGGAACGCACCTCGCTAATGCTGCTATTCGTGGTGCCGGGAGTGCTGGGTATGGAGCTGCTCCGACTGCCGGCCAGACCAGGAAGGCGGATGCGTCGCGGTGGTGTGGCCGGGGGCGTCCTATGCTCCCCCGCATGGTCCTCGAATGACGGACGGCGGCGATTCTCGAGCAACTTCAGGCTATGTCTCTCCTGGCGCAGGTATCCAATGGTCGTCTTCAGCGTCTCGAAGCGCTGCACCTTTTGCCGGACATCGAGCCACGCGGGATCTGGCGTTGTGGGTGTCATGGGTGTCTGGGGCGCGCTCTCGCCCTCCACCTCTACCTCGGGCTCGCGCAATTTGAGCAGTGAGCGACGCTGGAACGCACTCTCCGTATCGGAGTTGACCGAGTAGGAGAGCTGGAATGAGCTGGAGCTGCTGCTCACGGCACTGTCGCGTTGTCTGGCACCGTCGGCGTCCATGTTGGTACTGGGGTGGCGCTCCTGCTCCGCCGCCTGCTGGCTGATGCGGCGACGAGAGTTGCGCTTGTTGAAGTTTCGGTTGCTGAGATTGCGCTCGCGACGGAACGGCAGCGGACTGAGATCGGGGTCGGCCATTTTTGGTTTCTTTCGTTGCCTGGTTGGTGCGGGAGAGGGCGCGGGCGCGGCAGTGGGTCTCTGATAAGACTTATCGTAATTGCTTTATTTCTTTATGTCCGTACGTACTCTCTTTACTTGTCCGTTACTCTCTTAGCTGGAATTATCACAATTTAATAGCCTTGGGGGGGTTTTTTTTGGTGAGTAAATTTGAATTCGCCCGCTACTCTCCAGCGGAATTCAGCATTTATTACGGGCTATTTACTTTTGTTTTTTGTCATCGTTTCCACCGCAACGACAGTGTACATATAGTTGTATATATTTTTTATCTTATTTTGTCTTTTTTCTTGTTTTTTTTTCGTGCTGAAATACGTATTCGTATCTCTCCTGTGTGTCTGTTTCGCGATTTTGCCTTTGCCTTTGCCTTTGCTTTTGATTCTTATTTCGTTGCTTTATTGCGCTGCAAAAGGGAAATGAAAGTCGTAATTAAAGCCATTTATCGCTCAATTATTTTAAATAAATAACAAATTTGAGTCTAGAGAAGAACTCGCAATTAGACATGTACATGTACTTGGGGGGAAACTGAACAGTCACTCGAGGGCTGTACGTGAGCGCATCAAGAATGAGAAGGGAAGGGATTAACGAGGCGTTAAGCAGACGATCGACACTTCGCTGACTTATCGATTAGTGTTGCACAACGTGTAAATTATCCTGTGCATTCAAACGTAAAAAATGTCATTCGTCATTCTGAAGGAAGGGGAACTTTTGGTACCAGCCTCAAAGCAAATCATTTCAGACCTATGATTATCATTTCTTTCCCACAAGGCATTCAGGAAGCGTATACACCCTATGATTATACAAAAAACTGTACAAAAAAGAGCTGTCCCGCTGAATCCAAACGATAATCGCCTTTAAGCATGTGCATATGTATAGGTTTGCTCAAAGTTTAACTATAAGATACAAGCGATTTACTTATATCTATATTTAGATGACAAATGACGTCAAGTTGTCGGAGGTTCGTGGCAGAGACGGACAGACAGATCGGCAGAGCGACAGTGGGAAAGAGAAAGACAGGTAGACCGCTATATGCATAGTCGTAGTCTCGTAGTCACACATTCTGTTGGCTGGTAGTTAATTATGTGTGACGCTGACTTTGTTGCTTTATTGCTATGGAATGGCAAAAACAAGTACAAAGCGACTGAAACCGCAATTGAGGCACGACAAAAAGCAAATGAAGAGCGAACGGGCTGATACGAGCGTATAGGAGGAAGTACGGCGTTCCCTTCCCTTCCACAAAAGAAAGTCACTAAAATGCCATCTTTCAATTCCGGAATCGACTCGGATTTGAATGGGCTCCACATTGGCCCTTTTCTCCCCATCAATGTTGCCTGGGAATTGTCAGTTCTACCCACCTATTCCCATTCCATTCGTACAACTCGCAGTGAATAGACAGACTAGTTTTACCATAGTTTTTCTCGATATTTTTGAACAAAAATTTTGGTATCGAGTAAATAATTTTCTGTATGTCATAATGGAGGACAAAAAGATAGAAAACATTTTCGCCTTACTCAAAGCTCTAGGCAGGCCTGGCTCCTGTAACAAAATTACCCTCGCCTTCGCCAAGAACGAGAACCTGACAATCAACCAATTACCCCAAGTGCGTAGCCTCGTCGACCTTCGCCCTGGCTTGACCCAGAGTGACCAACACGGACTCGTCACCGAACTGCCTAAAAGATTATTCTCTGATGATGATAAATTAAAATGAGGTATTGACGCCACCCAATCACACTCTTGAACTTGAGTTCTCTTCCGCTACTAGCCGGACCTTTCGGCTTCCACCCTTTTGGGACAAACAAAATTATTGCAATTTATTGTAATCGTGTCCAGCATTAAATATAACATTCAGCCGTGATTGAGGCCCACACTCATACATACATATATGTATATCATTTATGACCCATTTTGATAAACAGATAGTGACAGTCGGCGCATCAGTGTCCTATCGCTCCTTGCCAACAATCTAATCGGAGGGAAAATAGTTATCTAGAGGTTATACCATGGCGATCTCTCGCTTAATTGAACCGCTTCCAGGTGCCAGAGTAGTGGCAGAGAGAGTGTTCCCCTCAGGTAATACATCTTCCACCTGTTGCCCAATGGCCGAGACTATTCTTATCTTCACTTACTCACTCTAAAGGTCTCTACTTTATAGAACTGGATACGTAGTTTGATAGGACTAGGTCAAAGTCGGTTAAAGAGTTATTTCCCATTCATAATCGGTTCACTTTTTTCTTTATGCAGTCGAGGGGATTTTTCAACACTTATTTATAGATCTCTTAACTGGTTATAGCCGCCTAATTGGGCATTTAGTGTCGTCGCATGCAAGTTCCATTGTGTTCTGAGTCTGACTACCCAGCGGCCGCAACTGATTGGAAAGGTGTATAGGATTGCTGATTATTTGGGCAACTGGAATAAACTGGTAGGTAGCTTGAGGCTTAGCACTTATCAATGTACCCGATTTGAAGAACATTTCTACAGTTAATTGACTATATAATGATTTATTGAACAAAGGTTTATTGGATTGCTTTGAGTGCAAGGTGGTCGAGTAGCCTTTTCTCTATACGTCTGCGTACCTCTACCTCTATCTCGTTTTGCCCAATCTCTGAATACTCGTAAGTTTTAGAACTATTTCCAGGAATATCCGGTGCTCTTCTTGATAATCGTAAATGGTGGGATATCTAAATGATTCTTATCAATTGAAAAGATATGGAAATGTAGAGTACGAGTAAAGAAACCTTGAATGGAGCTGCAATTTAATGATGGGCTTTCGCCCACCATTACTCGTACATTTCTCTCTGCCAACCAAACGACGAGAGCAAATGTTCTCCAGGTGTTTTTTTGTGCGATCACTGCTGTTTAGTCAGCCGATAACAATGATACAAATAATGAACAAAAAGCAAACACGATAATAGCTAAAAGTGGGAAAAACTCGCTACTGATACGGAATGGCACGGGAGAATATACATACAGAGAAAAACACAAATAAACGTATTTCAAATTATATACTCGTATGTATGTACTCGTACAAGTTTTGTAGAAATATGCGAAACAAATGGGTAATATCGAAAAATGGAGAGCTCTTCCACTATAATTTGTATACCAGTTTGATTTTCATATTTTGCACATTTCATAATTTGTGGGCACGTGTTAATGAGACAGTTTTTGTAAGCGCGTGTATGGCTCCCGTATTTCGATAGCGTTGTTCGAGTCTCAGATCCGCATTTTCGTATTCGCATTCAATCGTTTTTGACACTTACATGATGAGGGGCTCCAAGCGGTTATGGTCGGTTTATGGCTTGTATGTATGGGGAGCTATCGGATACTTTGTGTTAGTTTAAGGTCACGGGTTCGGCGAAGCAGACGCGGCGTATACGCAATATTTACAATGGCGCTGCTCTGACACGCTCGACTGGTAACAGTTCTTGACGCGGTTGACAGACAGAGACAGAGACGGCGACGATCTCTGACGCAGCGATAAACGATGAACGGTAAACGCAAAAAAGACAAACGACAGACAGGGGAACGTTCGCTCACCTGTGCATTTGATTTCGCACTGTGGAGTGGCCGCGTCGCCGACATTCGCAGTGCAGCAGAGCAGCGTGTGCGAGCGGCGGCACTGACTCTCTTTTGATCGGCGTCGGCTGCTCTCTCTGCCAGTTGGCACGGTCTCGCTCCCCCACTCTCTCTCTTTCTGTCTGTATCTCTCTCTGTTTTAACTGTTTGCTTTTGCGAGTTAGTTATAATAATTTGTATGGCTCGCTTTTTATTATTATTTAGATTGCGATTGCAGCCCAGACTCTGTGCTCTCTCGCTCCCTCTCGTGGGGCCTAGCGGTCTTTCCGTTCATTCTGTGTCGCATTTTCCACAGCAAACTATTGTGATAAAATGTGAGTTTGTTCCACTGCCTGGCCCGACTGCAGCACGCTTTTCTGTTGTTGCTGCATTTGTGCAATGTCAGTGCTGTGGAGGCGGCACAAATTCCAAATTAGTCTATGCCAAGCAGCTCTCCAAAGTCCCCGCGGGCCGCAGGGGATTGGAAAGAAGGGATTTGCGCCTGTGGAGACATCTCCTATAGCCCGTTGTTGCAATTATTTCACAGGAAAAGTATGAATCAAACCCTAACAACTCCCACTGACTGAAGCGTAATGATAGTTTCACGCAGATACTTTTACAAGATCGAAATGGAATCAGACAGGAAGAGCTATCTCCTGATAACGAAATAGTTTATAACTTTATAGAATCGACCCGGAAACGTTTTCACTGCGCTGTAAAATACGAGGCATACCAATAAAATAATTCACGATCAAATAGAACATATGCTTGGCCGTTAAGTCTCGCCAACTTTCTTCTTAATTTCTCACTCGACTGTGCGCTCGCACCTCTTTCAACGTGTTTGAAATTTCTGCCTTATCGGAAATGATTGTCGTATCTTATCGGGCCGGGTTTTCACGCTGCTCTCAGGTTCCCCAATCGAAAACGCCAACACACGGCGCAGTATACAGTCTCAGTCGCACTAAAGTCGCACCAATTGGCCATTTGTCATGGAGTTCAGCTCGATTTGAGCCCTGTCTACGCTTTCTGGGGGGTTCTTTGTTGGTCTTTTGGTTCAGTTTTCAGAGACTACTATTTTCTGCTTATCTTTGCACATTTTCGAACGTACTTCAACGAAAAGTTCCCAAATAAAAGTCAGTCCGCCCCGACACTGCCTTGGTTGGGGGGAGTCCCACGCGATTGCACACACTTAAATATTTTCGGGTAGAACTCAAAGTATAACCCAAATATACATATATATGTATGAGAGACACCTAGGAGATTATTTTGGCCATATATAATAAATATGAGCTGGTAGTCAAATACTGTTAACCCTCTACCAAATGGCATTCCTTGTGTATTGATCATTTAATATTAGGTGATGGTTTTACTGGTGATGTTTTTTATGGATAATCATTTTTGGATCAACAAAACGTTCTAAATTCTGGGCAAAAATTCTACACCATTTTTCGTTTGGATTATATTATGATAAAAAAGTTAGTGTACCTTGCTGCAGTAGGTAGAACAGTTGGTACTGCCATAGGAACGGTATTCGCTTGCATTGCTCAGTAATTTAATCCATTTGATTCGATATATTTGGCACCCGGAAAGTGCTCAAGATCTTACGGCACAATTGAATCCATTCGGTCGTCTTTTTTTATGAAACCGGTCATGGCTGGCGTATCACCCACACGTTGACAGCGAACAAGAACCTGCTACTTGTATGCGCAGTGGCGCTCCATTATGTCATAGTTGGAACTTACTTTCTTACATTACATGTTTCATACATTTCAGCTTGTGTCAGGGTGAAAATTTTAATAAACAATACTAAAGTCGATATTTTCGAATATTAATACTCGATCACTTTGATATTGTTCGATATTATGTTATCGTTTCGGCTGTGTCTTCTAATGTTATCGATCTCATCTCATCTCTATAGGCGCGAAGTTCAAATGTGCACCCAATTTTGCTTTCTGTGCTAATTGTAGACAGATTTGTAAGAGCCATGTGGCTTCCATGTCTTCCTGTGCTCCGAAAAATATCCTTGATCTTTGGAAAAGGACTCTAACATTCTTAGCCATACATATTTAGTTTTCTGGGCTGTTTTCGAGCCAAAAAATTTTAATTTGCAAAGAAGGTAACTTTGACTCATTTGCAGGGCGCCCTTACGGTTCTATTTCTCCCACAGCAGCACACAGAGCAGATCGGCTGACAAGAATCGAACCAGAAGCCTCCCACATAATCAGGCGCCTGAGAGCCACTCGAATTTCCCCGCCTTACGGTCGCCGTCGTCGGAAAACCAACATTCGATTCGCGACAATCAGTGACTGGCTGTAGCACCCAGCAACTAGTAACCAGCACCCCACGCTGGCGTTTCGAATTTCCTGATGGATCAGATTGCTTCGATTTCTCATTAAATGTTTATATTAATAAAAAGCTGGCGCAGCTTTCCTACTGTGGAAACTTCTGCAACAATAAGTGTGAGGGATCGCATGTGCGTGAGTGTGGGACATCCTGTTGAATTTCCTTGTTTTCCTAGAGTTTGGTTTGATCCAAAATCCCAGCATATAAAAAACCTCAAGATCAAGAGACAGAATGGAAGGCACCAAACTAAGTGAACTTCTTAGAGAATACCTATACTAAAAATTTTCAGTGAAATACAAATAGGGAATCTATTTTTAGCTAATATTCATAATTGGCTCATAATAGAAGCCCACAAAGTGATTCGTTTTTTTAGACAGTCAGCTAAAGCTGGGTCCCGAAAAGACCCCCAAAACGGAAGAAAGAGAGCAGATAGCCTACGTGCGAGGAGAAAGATGTGGATCACATTTGTACTTTATTATTTCTCAAAAGCTGTGCGCTATTTGTTTATTGTTTAATTTTCGTTGTTTAAACTATTGTCCAAACCGTAACCTAAGCAAACTTCATCCACTAAAAGCCCAAATCAATATTTGCCTCCTTTTTCGGCTACTATTCATAATTGGTTCATAATTGAAGGCCAACAAAAAGTTAAGATGGTCCAAGAAACACAGCTTACATAAGAAGAAAGAGCCCAGAACAGAAGAGCGAAAGAATGGAGAGAGAACAATCTAAGTGAACTTTTGAGAGTCGCCTGAATTGAATGCCAAATCGGGGGCTGTCTTCCCAGCTGTATAATCTAGAAAAACAAGAGGACGGTAGATACAATGCTAAACTGAACAACTAGTTAATATGTTAACTAATTCCGCAAGAACATTGCATTTCAACGCCCTCGCAAAGTGTCACGCGGAGGAGATTTTGTACTCTCCCGAGCTCTTTTTCTCGTCCACGCCCTTACACACTATTACTATTACCTGCAAGAACGATCTCTCTCTCTCTCTCTGTCTCTTCTGAACCGGCCGGCTTACACACACACACGAACACCTGAAATAAGCCTCTCTCCACACAGCCCCATAGCAGGCGAAAGAATGAGCGAACACCAAAACAGGCGACAGAATGATCGGATCCCAAAGCTGGAACAGTGGAAGAGAGCGCAAAGCGGACGCCAAAGCTTGCGACAGAATGCTCGCCCCTACAGTGGGGAGAGAGAGCGACAAAAAGAAGCAGAGAGGCGTGTATATAAAAGCAGCGCTGCCACCCACTGGCCCTCAGTTGCGTGCAATCGTTGCAGTTGATCGATCGGTTCAGTGTCTTGGCATCCCAGTGAGAGAGGGAGATAGCGAGCGTGTGAGAGCGAGAGCGAGAGAGCAAGAGCAAGTCCGCCACCGAACCCCAGCCCAATTTCCAAATAGCCAGCCAGCCCCAGAACGGCAGACCAGTGCCAGAAGTTTTTGACTGCATCTTGAGGTAAGGATTCCAAAGAGTGTGTTGGCCCAGGAGGTCAGTTTTCGGGCACTCCGAATGCGCGAAGTGATGTAATTTACGCACAATCGAAAAAGGTTTACCCTTGCCAAAAATTGGAAAACATTTTCCGAACTCCGCCGAATCGGAAATCGGAAAGCCGAAACGTGTTCGTGTTGGATCGGTTCTAAATATAGGATATGCCATCGCGTATATTCTTTTTGGCTCCGATTGATTGATTTGTGGGTCAATCGATTCGAAGTCGAATCAGTTTTGAACTCGTTTCGCACCCTCACAGTCCTCGCCGGCCACTCGACTCGAATCATTCGCAAGCAAATATGTGAAGGACAACGACGTGTGTGGACCGACAGATCGACTAGAGCCAGAACCCTCTTCGAACTGCATAATAAAGCATATTATAGAATCGAAACGACCGAGTGTTGTCCCCCGTCGACTGTGGAGTGCGTGAACGAATTTCGAAGCGTGAGGTACTCGAATCGGAGCAATCTGAACCATAGTGAACCCCAGATCCCATTCTATTCCACTCGATTCATTCAATCACCATCTGGCTTATCGGAGTGCACCCTTATATAACCCCAAATTGATACCTTGCCGAGCCAAAAAAAAAAGCAGAACTCTAAACAATATTTCCGAAATACTTAAACAGATAATTGAATGTGACGACCATCCGTTATCGCCAATCTATGAATACTATATATGTATACGTTTTGGGTCCCAGACTTGTACATGCCAGTGATAAGGTGCTCTCTAATCTCTAATCGGTCTCCCAATGAATTGTCCATCTGGACAGCCGGATTTTAGTCAGCACGTGACGTATTTCGTTTAGGTTTTCAGGTCCTTGACCCATTAAGTTCCGAAAGATGGCGTTTCCCATGAATTGGATAATCCCTGAATCAATTTCTTGTCCACTCTCTTTTCATTTTGTGACCTTTTCCCACGAATTGCGTCGATTTTGTTGCCAAAGTGACAGATGAAAGAGCCAAAATAGATCAGAAAATCGAAATTTAATTAAATCATGACACCGAAACACTTTCATCTGCTTTCTACCCTCCCCCTGATAGACGGCGACTAAATTAAATTCAATTAGAGCCGCCATGGCAACAAGTGTGAAAGAGCCAGCGAGACAGACCAGACTGACGGATCAAGCGAGAGGGGGACGGACGCAGATAACGCCGAAAAGTCAATTCGATTGTTGCAATTTGAGACACAGAGAATCGAAAATTGCAGCGGAAGAGGGCGGCCAATCGGGCATTCATTACTGAGAGGGGCGCACGGTAGGGGGCAGGAAACTTGGTGACTGACTGGGCACCCTGCCAAAATCTGCCAACGAAGCATGGCAAAGGCAGAGAGATCTGGTACTTTTTGGGGGACTTTAAACCGAATCAATCGAAAACTGGTTTACGTTCCACATGGCATCCACAGGAGGATGCCATTCTATCCCATCCCATCCCATCCTCAAGACTGCCCACGTTTGATTATTTATTTATCCGACACATGAACAAAAAAACTGTCGACTAAAATATAAAAAGGGGGCGTCTTCCTCTTCCGAAGCCAGCAACGTTCTTCCAGCAGCGCCAACGCCCCAAAAGATTTTGAGCTTGCCTCAACAATTTGTGGCGTGAGGAGCATCGGGCTGGGGTGCCAGTCTCTTTGATGTGCGTGGGTGTGTTGGTGCCTGCCATGTCTGTGGGACAATCAATGCATTTCCGCTCGCTCGTCTATAGGGAAATACTTGATACACATACATATCTGTCTATACTCGTATTCTTTTTGCCGTATTATGGTAATTATATTTTCTGACAATTGTTGCCATGAGCGAGCTTTCTTGATTTATTGCAGTGGTCTTGAGAAAGAGCCATATATAGAGGAGGCAAGTACCCAGCTTACGTTCCTCAAAAACAGACCATAAGAATTTTATTTTAAAAAAATACTCGCAGTAGTAAAGTTACCCCCAGGTAGGGGTATTTACCCAGCGCAAAATCTTATTCTGCTCATATTCTTTATCTGTCTAAACAGCATCGTATAACTTTACAATCACTTGCTTCCCTTATCACTCACGCATTTCTGACCCACTTCAACGTCAGCAGCAGCACAAACATTTATCAGGTAGTATTCCCCTTATCTACCGATTAGGATTCTCCACAAACACATTTGTGAGAAAAACAAAGTTGCAGATAGTAGAAATTTCAATTCAAAAATATTTCACAATATAGTGAAACTGAAGTCGGATCATTTGTTGTTTTGTTGCAGGAAATTGCATTGAGTTAGCGCAGAAATGGCCGACGAAGCACAAGCACCACCTGCTGAGGGCGCCCCACCAGCTGAGGCCGCCCCACCAGCTGAAGGCGAGGCCCCACCAGCTGCCGAAGGCGATGCCCCACCACCGGCCGAGGGCGAGGCGGCACCAGCCGAACCCGCTGAGCCCATCAAGCACAGCTATACTCTGTTCTACTTCAATGTGAAGGCCCTTGCAGAACCACTCCGCTATCTGTTCGCCTATGGCGCCATGGAGTACGAGGATGTGCGCGTCACCCGCGACGAGTGGCCAGCCCTGAAGCCGAGTAAGTATTTGATGGTTTGAAAGGAGTGATCCTTAATCTAAACTACTCTAATCCGCTATGCTCTATTCCCAGCTATGCCCATGGGACAGATGCCCGTGCTGGAGGTGGATGGAAAGCGTGTGCACCAGAGCATCTCGATGGCCCGCTTTTTGGCCAAGACCGTTGGCCTGTGCGGCGCCACTCCGTGGGAGGATCTGCAGATCGACATTGTTGTTGACACCATCAACGACTTCCGTCTAAGTAGCGAGCAATGTGTGCCCCAGTTTCATGTTCAGTGTCCTTGATTAACTCTTGAATTTTTAATGTATAGAAATTGCAGTCGTCTCGTACGAGCCGGAGGACGAGATCAAGGAGAAGAAGCTGGTCACGCTGAATGCCGAGGTCATTCCATTCTATCTGGAGAAGTTGGAGCAGACCGTCAAGGACAACGACGGCCACTTGGCCTTGGCCAAGGTTCGTAGCAATTCGAAGTACATGTCCATATATCCCATTTGATATGATGTCCATTGTTTAGTTGACTTGGGCCGATGTCTACTTTGCCGGCATCACCGACTACATGAACTACATGGTGAAGCGCGATCTGCTGGAGCCGTATCCGGCTCTGCGTGGCGTGGTCGATGCCATCAATGCCTTGGAGCCTATCAAGGCCTGGATTGAGAAGCGTCCCGTCACCGAGGTCTAAGCGGCCCAACCCAACGAAGTTCGGAGGAAGGAAAAACATTGCACAATAACACACCATACACACACTTTTGCACACATTTTGTTCCTTTTGGCTTGGGATCTAATGGGATCCGCGGAGCTGGCGGTACTTCACACGGGGTTACGTTCGAGACTATAGATTCGTTGACCCGTAGTTCTTTTAGCACATGGCACTACGGATAATTCGTATTTGCTTAATTTTTTCTGTTATAATTCTCTTTGCATGACGCTATATCTATATCTAATTGGATCCGCTCTCGGATCGACTTTCGTTCGCTTAACCATAATGAAAATGATAATATTTATTGCACAGTCTATAATATTTTTGCCTACTTCTAGTACACACTCTATGCGCATCCATACAAACGCCTACTCTAAGTCTATTTCTAAAATCTATATCGTGAACTAATCTTTTAGACTTATTCTATTCTATTGTATTCTATAAAACCGCGAAGAGCTCAAGGCCAATTGAAAAATATTTAACCAGCTACAGCGAAAGCTGAGCAATTACAATTGCACGTCGATTGTTACATTCACTTTAAAATTTTGGTTTCGTACACACATCTCACTTTTAGTCAGCCCCCAGGAATTTTCTTCGTCTTGATCCTGTAAAGATCCCTCTATGAAATCGTTAAAAGACTCAAACAAATAGAACCGGATACTCTCAAAATTATTTATCAAGTCCAACAATTTGAAAAGATTAGATCGTAAAAAGACACCCAACTGTCACAATTTTTTTTACACACCGAATGCACACGCACTCTTGCAATTTTGTAATTGTAATATTAAATATTTTCACCAAACACCTAAATAAACAAAACACCAAAAAAAAAAGGAATGAGCACTTTGAAAGCACGAGATCTCGTTTTATTCCATTGTGAAGGAGTGTCTTTTGTGGGAATTTCATTTGCAATGGCCTAATAAATAAACAAAGAATAGGTCTATCATATAAAGTAACTCGATTTCCTTTACACAAAGTGCATACTGCATAACAAGCGGCTAAAAAATATATTTCAAGTAAACCTAAATACTACATAAATGCATAATTGGTTAGTGGGTTACAGGAGTTTCAAAGGATAGGATATACAGGTATTACTCGTGCTTCCAGTGGGGTGCACGCTTCTCTATGAAGCTAGCGATGCCTTCCTGGCAGTCGCTCAATTGCAGGTTCTCTTCCATTTTCTGGCCAGCAGCCGGATATGCCTCGTTCAAGGGCATGGCCAGCTGCTTGTAGTAGAACTCTTTGCCGAGGCTAATGACGGCTCGGCTTTTCGCATTGATGGCACAGGTTATCTCATCGATCTCTCGGTCCAGATCCTCCGCCTGGACCACCCTGGACACCATGCCGGAAATGAACGCCTCTTCTCCGGTAACGGGCAAGCCAGTCATCAGCATGTACGCAGACTTGGGACGCGACATCACACGGGCAATGGCCACACCAGGAGTCGAGCAGAAGACGCCCACGCCAGCTCTGCAAAGATGCAATGATTACATGGACGTTGAATAGCTTAATCGCTTACCCCGGCGTGGAGAATTTGCTGGTCTTGGAGCAGACTACAATGTCGCACGAGACTGCAAGCTGACAGCCAGCTGCAGCCGCATAACCATTCACCTTGCCTATCACCGGCACCGGAAGCAGCTGTATGTCTCGTATGATGTCGGTGAGCTTCTGGAAGACACTCCTCTGAATATCCGGATTGCCGTGCAGTTCCTTGAGATTGTGGCCAGCGGACCAGATTTTGCCATTTGCCGAGAGCACGACACAGCGCAGTTTCACATCATCCTTGTCCTTTACTAGGGCATTCTGTAGGGCACACATCATGTCCATCGAGAGGGAGTTCAATGTGCGAGGATAATTCAGTGTTATCTCTCGCACTCCGTTCGCTTCCTTGACCAAAACCAGCTCTGGAGCTTGGCTTTGGCTGCTGGCAAGACGAAAGACCTGTCCATATGCACCTGTTGCATATCTGACGGTTTTAACTTGTAATTTACGAAACATTTGGATTTGACTTCAGTTGCCAAACAGATGACCGCTATACATATACTTTTCGTCAGGTGGCACTGTTGATAATTACGTCTCTGTGTAGTTCCCATGTAGCAAGTGGATATGCTCTCAAGTACCTCGCGGGCTTGGCGAGGTGGAAACAATAACTGTTCAGTTAAAAAAAGAAAACTGTTTTGTTTTAAAAATACATATATTAATTTATTACCTGTTTCTTTTCTACTTCGCCCCAAACGTAAACATTAAAGCCTATTTCGCGAGCGAACAAAATAAGGCATGAACAAAGTAAAGCACAGACGTTAAAAGTTGTATCAATTTCAGAAGAAGAGAATTTAGAGCCATTTCCCAGACCACATCCAATTCAAATTCGTGATCAGCATCGAATTCCAGATCTCAATTTTTTCAAAAATGACGGAAAAATGTCATATCAAAAAGTGGATACGGAGGTTTTTCACACTGGCGCTTTTAATAACTTTTTTTGCTTAAGCCCTAATTTAAAAACAATGCAATAAAAGGTAGTACTTAAAATTATTCAGTCTTGTAGAAAATGTATTTATCAATCGCTCAAAAACGAGGAATATGTAAAATAGAACTTGAATCGGCAGTTTATTTTTTAAATGAGACGGTATATTTTGGTATTTTTTTGAATCGGGTAGAATCTGTAATAACCGGTTCACAGCACTGAGTCCCATTCCATACACACATACCCTGGGGGAAATGGATGTTATATAATTGAGAATATGTTTGTCATCCCAGGCAAAAACAATTTATTTTCAATATATTTTAATATTATTCGATATTAATTATAATATTATTTTCAATATTTCAACGATATTTTAAAGCTTATTGTCTTCTTGCAGAGACCAAGAAAAGGTATCAGGATCGAAATCATATACATGAATATGTCTAAAAAATGTCAATTTGAGAAAAGGTCTTTATTAGTTACGTTTTATCTTCATATCAATATTTATACTTTCATAAAAATTTAACAAAATAGGGTATACAAAGGCCTATACTACGGCTTACACGCAATATAGCGACTCTTTTTTTGTTGAACTGTTTCGTTTAAACCTTTTTTACAACAAATACAATAAAAGCAAGGATTAAAAACTATTCAATCTTGTAGAAAATTTATTCATCAATGGGATAAAACTATGTGGGCATTGCTGAGAGATTTAGTTAGTCAGCATTATTCAATGGAATATCAAAATTGAGCAATTTCCTATTTCGTTTGTTTTGATTGACCTATTTCGCTACTTGTTTTTTGTTTGACTTATTTCGCTAAAACGTCTTTTTACGCAAAATGCAATAAAAGCAAGTATTAAGAATACACCAGTTAAATAGAAAATTGATTCATCAATCGTATAAAACTATGTGGGCATGGCTAAATGTTCTATATAGCTAGTAATATTCGACGAATTATCAAAAACGAGAAATATGCATATCAGAACTTGACTTCGTCAGTATATTTACGGTATATTTTTAAAACGAGACGGTATATTTTTGAGGGTCTTATCCATAAGCGGCGGTCACACTGCACTGCTAGCGTGTGTTGCTTCTTTGGTTGAAAAATATAATTAAAAATTTATTCTAACTACTGGGATATTCTACAAAACGAGGTGAGTTAGGGTCCAGCTTAGCGGCTAAGTTTTTAGCCGGAAGAAGTGTTTTCAATAAAATATTCATCCGAATTCGGGAAAAAAATGCGGCTTGAAAGAGCGCGTCATGTTCTGAAATCGAGTGAAATGCGTTAGAATGTAGTCGAATTTGCAGTGGTTTGAAAAATCTAATAATATTCCAAGTTAGTAACTAATTTTCTTTAATACATTTTCCCAGCGCTAGACCCAAGCAGCACCAAACACCAACACCAGCACATACACTCAGTATCGCGCGGCAGCGGTGGCGGCATCAAAAATAAAATACCGAAGAAACACAAAAAAGAAAAATTTGCAAGGTGTGTGTGTGAGTGTTTGTGTGACGTCGAGGACCGTGTCTTGCCTTGGTGCGTGCGCTCTAGTAGGGACACACACAGAACACCGACGCCTGTGCGAGTATTAGTGTATCCTTTGGCATTTCTGAGAGCTTGGTTGGAGTGACACGAGCGCGAGCTGAGCGAAAAGTGTACGCTTCTACCAAAAAATAATAAACAAGTTCAGCGTAAAGCGGCGTGAAACCCCAGCAGGAAACCCCAATAGCCAAGCCGCACTCTGCAATGGAGAAGAGAATAGAGTTGGAGCGGCGAGCACGGAAGGCGAACCAGGTGAGTTTAGTTATATGCTTGCAGCCGAAAACCGCGCAAAAATCCTTTACATTATGTGATTACACAAAAATTTTCATTCAAATTCCCTTTTCCGTGTCCGTCTCTGTGATTGTGTTTGTCCTATGTGTATGTGTGTATGGCAGCAGTGCAGCAGCAGCGGGGCAGTTACAGCAACTACGCCATCATGTAAATCTAGTTTCAATTTGTGTCGATGTCGCCCGTCTCGACGCCATATAAAAAAGATTGCTGGAAGAAGAAGCAGCAGCAGAAGCGACATCCATCGTCAACAACGAGCAGGCGAACGAAAAAATTGATCGCCATAAGCAAATTCTACACACATGAGATTGTCGTGTGGTGTGTGTACGTACGTATGTAGGTACTTATGTATGTGATGCCGGACAGTGTTGCCATGTGCGCGCAATTTTGCGCCTTTGCTTTTGTTCAAAACTGCACCTTTCCTTTACAATTACCAATTATTTCGTGTAATAGGAAAACCTAGAGAGCATGTGTGCATGTGTGTCTACATCTACTCTATGTTTATGTGTGTATGTATATGTATGTATGTATGCAAATCAGTGCCGCCGATCGTGTGTGCACCTGAAGTTCGGTAGTCTAGACAGCTGGCAATGCTGCTACTGCTGCTTGTTGTTGCTCTGTCTGTGGCTTTTCGTGTTGTTGCTATTGTTCTGCCGGCCTTCAATTGTGACAAACACTTCAACAGGAGAGTGTGTTTGTGTGTGTGTACGTGTGCTGCATGTTGTAATTTCAGGTTATTTGATACCAAAATGTATCTATAACAACATTATAGCGCGCATCATCCATACGCAAGAATCAACCACGCACACACACGTACACAAATACGCACAAAAGACACACAATCCCGACATACATAAGTACATGCACACGCCAAGAAACGTATGCACAAAATAATCGACACATCTAGCATTGGACATGGATGGCAGGGAGGCATACACATATTGACTGCGCAGTCATAATACTTTTATGCTCGACGCCGCCTCCACCTTCTTTTGTCCACTTTACAAATCCGGCTGTCGCCGCTCTCTATTCCTTGTTTACACCTGCATACCGCATAGCTTTCTCTCGCTCGGGCCATCAGCACAAGAAAGACAAAGTCTGGTCTGTCCGTTTGACTTTTTGCTGCTCATTAATAAACATGCGCTCTGGCAAGCCTACTCAATAAGTGGACAGCCCTCCCACAACCACCCACACTGCAGCCCAGTGGCTACCACCACGAACATCATGAAAAAAAGCAGCAGCGACGCATACGCACACACATGCAATCTGAAGCAAAATTAAGGCTTGAAGCGAGGGAGGGGGAGATGTCATTTAGCTACATAACTGCTTCGCCGGCAGAAGGAAAGAGATAGACCTCTGTGTTGTTGTTGCAAGCGATACTTGTGTAATCTAAATTGAACGGATCAGCCTCAAATACTCTCACGTACACAGATGCAATGCGTATTCTTTGCTTATCTATCAGAGCCATAGGGCAGGAATAACTAAACGCTTACAGAGGCGCAACAACTACATACTACGTCACTGTCAAACATGTTGTGGCTGCTATTGCCTTCTCGTACCCCAGCCTCCCCTACATTTAAATCCATTTGTTTGTCATGATATCAGCATTTTGTTTGCTCTTTGCGCATTCTGCTTGGCGGCGTGTACGCTCGCACTCACACACTCGCACGTACAGACATACACACACACACACGCATGCAAGATATGTTACATAAACGCGCGTTGCCACTTTTCTGCCTCTGGGTTGTGGCCCTGATGCGCAATTTGTGGCAAAATGTTTCACGCAGCACTCCCAAATGTTTACCAAATCTTTTGGCAGTAACGCCATTTAGTGCATTATGCTAATGACGGCAGATTTACATTAAAAAAAAAAAAACTGCGTTTGATCGATTTTTGCGTATGTATTGCTCTTCATTTTTTTTCTTCCTGCGTTTGCACACGTTCACACAGACATGGCGGCGCTACTGAAATGTAGAGGTGCCGCTGGTTGATTATCGATATACTCTCTATCGATACTAGGGATGCAATTCATTCGAATCGATGAAAATGAAAATTTTGATGTTTCTCCCGAGGAAACGTCAAAACAAGTTTTGTAAAAATCAATTTCGAATTTTCGAATCCAACCATAGTTTTTTGTATTATGCTTATTTCGTTAGCCAATGAGCGATTCAGGATTTAAATAGTCGTGTAATCTATGTATATTGCACTATCGATAGACAAATATGAAATTCGTTTCTTTCTAATTGTTATTTGTACCTTTTTTTTCCGGGACCGACCACAGATCCAAGAGCTGAACCTGGATAACTGCCGTAGTACAAGCATTGTTGGCCTTACAGATGAGTACACCGCCTTAGAATCACTGAGTTTGATCAACGTGGGCCTCACCACACTGAAAGGTTTCCCCAAATTGCCCAATCTGAAGAAGCTGGAGCTGTCCGACAATAGGATTTCGAGCGGCCTCAACTATCTGACCACCAGCCCCAAACTTCAGTATCTGAATTTGTCTGGGAATAAAATAAAGGACCTAGAAACACTGAAGCCTTTGGAGGAGTTCAAAAGTCTAGCTGTACTGGATCTGTTTAATAACGATGCCACTCAAGTGGATAACTATCGTGAGAAGATATTCAAGATGTTGCCATCGTTAAACTTTTTGGATGGGTTAGTATCGGATTGGCCAGTCTCCTTTTTGCAAAGATATTTAATTAACCAACTTCAATACTTTAATTCCAGCTTTGATTGTAATGACGAGGAGGCGCAGTCGGAGGGAGACGACGATGAAGAGGTCAACGGGAACGATTCTGAGGAAGAAGGTATGTATATAGCTATGTAGATAAAGAAGTGGGGAGATTACAGACCTATCATCAAGATTTGTCATATATATTTGTTTGCATTGTCCGACTTCAGTTAGTTATCGCTAAATTATTATGATACAAAATGGTGCTTAGTCTCGAAATCGGTTCTTCCATCTGTATTCACAAAACGCATCTCAACCTCAGCTTCTGTCGCCTTTCAGATAAGCGCAATGCATTCTGTTTGAATGGGTTAGAAATCGATTTAGACGAGCTCGAGGAGCTGGAGCAGCGCGTAAAGGCGAAAAAGAGTTTGCAGGAAAAACCACCTGCGCCCTCAGAGGACACTGAAGTAGACGAATTAGATGAATATTTAAAAGAATTGCAGCTGAGAGAATCGAAAGCAGCAACAGACCGACAATCTGTGATAGAGGCAGACCCTGCAACAATTCAACGACCAAATAGAAACCCAAACATAAATTTCGCAATCCTACTCTATTGGTTTTTAGCAATTTTAAATCTGGCCAATGCAACATATTGTAAGCATTGTCTCCCTATATTTATTTTCAATTACAATTCTCCTTGTATTGCTTATTGCATTGCAGTTTCCGGGGATGATGACGAAGAGGATGGAGACAGCGATGACAGTGATGAGGATGGCGACAATGGCGAGGTCTCCCTGTCGGAGGTGTATAATGATGATTTGGAGGAGGACAATTCCGACTGGGAGGAGGGGGAGGGTGGAGGCGACGACGATGAGGAGGACTCTGATATTGATGACGCCGATGGTGAAGCAAATGAGTCGAGCGCTTCACTGAATGCCTCCAAGAAGGAACCCGAGAAGACGGGTGAGTGAATTGCTGCAAAGCCTTTAGCACCAAACTGGTTCTTTATCCTTAAATTCTGAATTTTACAGATGAGTCGCAAGCCAGGGGCAAAAAGAGAAAGCACGATGGCTAAGCTCTTGATCTATCGCTGTATCGTCTTTGTACGTTTTAAATTTAAATACACCGACACTGACATATACACACGGCAACACACATCATGTTTTGATAGAAAAAAGATGACTAAAAACCATTAGGAACCCACATTTGTTTCTTTAAAATGTAAGCTAACTAGATCGAAAACAGACACAGAAGAATAAGAAAATGGAGAACGTACTAATCAAAACAAAAATACAAAACAAAATAAGAAATATGTTTAAGCGAACACTAAGAAGTGAGGAAAAGAAACCAACAAACACACACACATTACATTACTATAGCCTCATCCGAAGCCAGGATCCAACTCCAATTAAGTAAAATTTGTCAATATGGAAAATTGCTTGAAAAAGTTGTAAAATTGCTTAGCATTAAGTTACAAAATCTATAACTATGAACTATGTACAATTTGTCGGATCGAGTCGATCCTCTCCCATCTAGCGTTTCAACAAACAACACAAAACAAAGCCAATTGCTTGTATCATCAGAAAAAAAATTACGTTCTTTTTTTAAACTTTCAACTTTTTCAATGTTTTGCTGTCTACACAATTACTGCTAAGAACTTTTAACTAACTCTTAAGTCATTCCTTCTTTGAATGTAGATAAGTTAAGCGAAATCTACTTTCCCCTCCCGATTCGCGGGTAAACGAACGCAAGTCCGGCCCACAGTTTACAGCATTTTCATTGTTATCCATCTCTCTAGCCTTACCTTACCCTCTATATGTATCCATTATTATATATCTCTCTATTCACTTCACCCCCGCCCCACATACTGTTAAGTAAAACGAAATGTTTTTCACTGATTGAGGCACATCAAACTACATAAACGCATGTGTTTTAGGACGGAATTTTCTTTTAATAAACAAGTACGAGTATGCAACAATTACAATTAACGAAGGGCCCACATTTATTTAGCCATAATCCATTCGAAATGTACATACATTTCTCAGATGTGTTTTGTACAATCCCCCGCCCCCATTGAAATTGAAATACATAAACTAAAGAATTTTAATCCGCATTTTTTTTATTTCGATTGTTAGTGGTTTAATTACTAACTATACAGAATATACTCTTAGGTGTGCCAGTTCATACACAGAACGTGAGCCCATGGGGACAAGATTCCTGTTGCGCGAGGCTGTGGCCTTTGGCATGGACCTTTGGGTCCGGCCACTGCCATGGCCCTCATTGCGTCCCACGCTGTTTTCTTCTTTCCCGTCCGCTTGCCGTCGGTACAAGGGATGTGCTCTTGGTTGGACTGTGCAGCCACTGGTTGTCCTGCTGCGGGTCATAGCCATTTTCGATTCACGCCCACGGGAAATAATGTCAGCAACCCATGTCCCACTCGTACGCCGCCGAATCAAACGCTGCGAGACGCGTAAGTTAATCAGTATACATAATTGTGGATAATATTAAAATATATCTTCCTTCACAGAGAACTTACGAGTATGTACCCTACGCTTTGCCACAAATCGAGCCGTATTCGATTTCCCCCTACCAGATGGAGTCCTATCCAATCATTACCGAGGCGTATTCGAGACAGACCGAGGCCCATACCAGCAGGACAGAAGCGCACCCCTTGCAAGATCCGAACCCAACAAGCCATCGTCATCCTTCGATCTGGCCATCGATAACAAGGACTTTGAATATGGAAACCAAGGGAGGGGGTAGATAGATATAGTTGTTAGGTTTAAGGATATACGTATATATATATTTAGATAGTATATGCAAATGTTTTCCACTTATTTATTTCTTTATACTAAGCTAAGTATCGATGAATAAAACTATTGAAAAATCATCCTTGTATGGGGGAGAAAACTAAATATTTTTGATGGGGGAAAGTGTCCTTGATCCTTGATAAGGACTCCATTAAATCAGGGACATTTTTCCGATCACAGGAAGCAGTCGCACGCCTATATCGGCCCACAAATAGCCTAGAAAACTAAATGTGTAATGTTGGGGTTGCTGGAGTCCTTACCGAAGGATCAAGGAGATTTGTTTAATCCCTGCGGGCAATAGCATGCAAATGTCTATAGCAAATATCCTTGACCCTTAGTCCTTGATACGGAATGCATTAGATCAAGAAAGCAATTTCAATCACAGGAAGCCGTCGCACGTTCCGATCGGACTAGAAATTGTGGAGAGAGAGAATTTCTAAGAAAATAAATTCTAAAAAACCCAACGACCTTCTGCTGATTTCTGTTCGCCTGGTATCCCAGATTTTAAATTCTCGTTTTCAACCATTTTAAGCAGCCAAAGAAAATATGAAAAAACTGAAAAATAAATTTAAGAGAAATTAAAAAAAACTAGCGACTTTCTGCTGATTTCTGTTCGCCTGGTAACCCAGGTTTGAGATTCCCGTTTTTGGCTATTTGAGCGGTCACAAATTGAAACAAAAAATACAACAAAAAACATTCTTTTACAACAACTTTTGTTGTTTTCTTTGTTATTTGTGGTCCGATCTAGACGTGCGTACTCGGAATAGCTTCCTTGAACTAATTCATTCCTTATCAAGGACCAAGGATCAAGTATATTTGCTACAGACATATATATTTTGTTTTCTCGCTTATTTGTGAGCCGATCTAGGCGTGCCACGGCCCGCTGGGATCAGACAAATCTCCTTGATCCTTCGGTAAGGACTCCAGCAACCCCAACATTACACATTTTCTAGGCTATTTGTGGGCCGATATAGGCGTGCGACGGCTTCCTTTGATCGGAAAAATGTCCCTGATTCAATGGAGTCCTTATCAAGGATCAAGGACATTTTGCCCAATCAATGTGGGCGTGCCACGTTGTTTTGTAATCGGAATAGTTTCCCCGGTAGAGGATACAGCAAGGATGGTTTTCTAATAATTTTATTTATCATAACTTAGCTTAACATAAATAAATAAACAAGTGGAAAATATCTTATCTGTTATATAAATGAATAGACGCGTATGTATATCCTTAAACCTAACAACGATATCTATATAGATTGGTTTCCCTTGGTTTCGAAGGATCGAAGGATGACGATGGCTTGTTGGGTTCCGATCTTGCAAGGGGTGCGCTTCTGTCCTGCTGGGATAGGACTCGGTCTGTCTCGAATACGCCTCGGTAATGCTTGGTAATGCTGGATGGAGTCCTACATCTGGTAGGAGGAAATCGAATACGACTCGGTTTGTGGCAAAGCGTAGGGTACATAGTCGTAAGTTCTCTGTGAAGGAAGAGATCATTTAAAATAATCATTATGATTTGGCGGCTTATGAATGGGAGGGTTGCTGACATTATTTCCGTGAACCAAAAATTCGGCTGCGGCGCTTTGGTAGCCGAAGACCCTGTGATCTAATCTAGACAGTTCGTCTGCAACATGTTCGGTGTATGAACTGGCACATCTACGAATATATACTGTATGGGGTTACTGGTTTAATTGAGTTGAGATCGATTGTTGCGCGGGAATACATCGCGTTGCAAATGGTGCATTCCGCGTCCGCGGGCACACTGATTTGTATTTTTAGTATTTTCCAATGCACCAATGTAGAAATCGTGTAGAAATGCCATTTACAGCCATATCCCAGGTCACATCGAATGCTAATTCGTGATCAGCATCGAATTCCTGCTCAGTTGCCTTCAAAATCAAAATTTTTTTAACAATGTCGTAAAAAAGGGATAATGGAGGTTTTTTTACACTGGTGCTTCCATGGGGCTTATATGAAAACAGGGCGAACATTTTTGAAACATACATTTGGTAAAGAAGTTAGTGGAAATTGTTTAAACTTATTTTACAAGCAATTCCAATAAAAAGGAGCATTTAAAATGCTGTGGATTTGTAGAAAATTGATTTATCAATCGGATAAAATTACGATTTCAGAGCTGATTTCTTAGCCAGTAATATTAAACCGAATATTAAAATACGAGGAAATGTACAATAGAATCGTCAGTAGACTTACGGTATTTTTTGGTATATTTCTGAGGGTTGCCATATATTTTATCCATAAGACCGCGATAGATCAGGTCACACTGAAACACACTCAAACGAAGCAAAGCGTTGGTAAAAAAGTGACAATTTATTTTAATGTAAGAATTCCGAATCGAACGAATGACAAAATGTCTGCCGATATAGTGAAACAGTTGAAAGGCACTCGATCCGATGTTAAGGCAGCCGCCACGACAATTGAGCTGAAATTCAAGGAATTCAGCAAGGGCATCGGGATAAACGACGCCTCCTTTCCGCTCAGATATGAGTTGAGCGTTTTGCGCCAGCTGTGTCTCGCCCTGAAGGACAATCTGCACCAGCATGCCGATCTCTACTGCGGCATTGCGGCCACCATGCTACCTCACGTGGAGCCCTACGAGGAGAAGCCGAGCCTGTGGGAAGCTCATCTAACGAGCCTGCGGTACATACATCATGGGCTTTGTCAGGAGGTAAGTTGAAGAACCAAATGCTTGCTAGCTGGTATCCTAATTGTACGGGTGCTTCGCAGAGATCCCTGACGGAATGCCAGAAAATATACGGCCTAATCCGATCGCAGCCCTGCCGCCTGCAAGAGGAGGCTGATTACAAGTTTTATTTGGACATCCATCTGACGCACTTCAATGGCATTCACTTGCAAATGCAGAAGGAGACGTTGCCCCTCGCCGCCACAGATCAACTCTATTACGCCTTGGAGGCAATGGGTGTCCTCTTTGACACCATGCACCAGCGTAAAGTGGCAAAGAATGCGGCTCTCCTGGTCCAGCTGAATGATTCCCTGTTCAGCAAGCGAAGCAAAGCCTTTCTGAAGTACCTGAGCGCCCTTCCGCCCGAGAGCACGACGAAAATGTACGACCCGCTTCTCAAGCTCCTGAGCTGCAGCTGGGCCACACCCAGCTCTGAGCTGACTAATCAATTCACGGAGTATCTGGGCCTGGTTCTGGCACTGGTGCAGATCGATATGTTTTCCATAGAAGCGCCACTCGAACAACAGCTGGCACTGAAGTTGCTGCGCATTTGTCGCGACCTGTACAAGGACGTCTCGCCGCAGAACTACTCCATCCAGCTCCTCTACTACTACGTCAAGCTGTTGTACGTGCGCGAGGCTACAGCGGACTTCAAGCGGACTTACATCGATCTGTGCAAGAAGTTCGTCTACTTCTTCGAGCACAAGGGCGCGACGCACGCCAAAGAGCAGTGGTTCATGGACCTGCTGGTGTTCTTCCAGCGCCTGCAGACGCTGCTTCATCAGAGCAGCAACAAGCCTCCCTTAGAAATTTTTTGGCAGCAGCTCGAGGGCGACGACAGTCCCGAGGTATACACCGCCCACTTCCAACTGCTGCATGGCTGCCTTGGGCTGGCGGTGAACGTAGTGAGGAGTCCGCTGGGGACCAGCTGTTCCAACGAGGCCTGTAAAAGCATTCGCAGGCATTGCCTTCTCTCCTTCGGGATGTGCGCCCTAGAAGCTTACATTAACTGGCAGCCGACGACCGAGCAGAAGGCGGACAAGGTACGTCTGCCACAGCTGGAAAACCTTTTACCTAATGAGCTTTCTCTTCAGGCACCCTATAAGCCGCTCTTGGGCATTCTTGGCTACACCTTGGACGTGGCCAAGAGCATGAAGTGCCTGGGGCCCTCCGCCATGGAGCTAGTCAAGCTTGTGCGTCTACTGGCACTCGTGGCCGAAAAGGTATCGTGTCCCGAACAAATGTCCCTTGTGCTGGCCTTCTTGGAGCCCTTGCAACATCTACGACCGCTCATCACCAGCCAGGATATGCTTAGTGTGCTCCGGCGAATCTACAAAGCCAGTGTCCACTGCAAGAGCTCCGACATGGCCAACCGTCTGCAGTCCACCTACCTTGCGGCCCTAACGAATCCCTCGCGGTTGCGTTCACAGCTCTTCGTCCACTACCACAATGCCAATAAGGAGAAGTGCGTCTACGAGTGGCACGAGTCCAGTCCTATGCCCAACCCCCTTACCCCCGCCCAAACGAAACAGCTATACGATGTGGATCTGTTGGCCGTGCTGCACTTCCTGAGTGCGCCGCCCGTACCCCTGCTGCAGTCGCTACTACGCTGTCGTCACAATGACTACCACCTGGCTCTCCTGGCACGCAAGATGCGCACCGACAGCGAGGTGGTGCGTCAGTGCGAGGAACTGCGCTCCCAGCTGCACAGCACGGCCCTCAAGCAACCGCTCAGCCGCATGCAACAGCTGGCCATTGGCCATACCAGTATCAGTGTGCTGCTGGAGGCTTTGGAGGCACAGAAGACCAAGTTCTCGATCAAGGAGACGGCCGAGAACAGCCTGGAGGAGTTAATCGTCAAGAATAACTTGCTGGAGCTCAACATTAAGCGGGAGCATTGCCTGGTGGAGTTGGCCACATCGGCCATCGCTGGCTTCGCGGCCTTCTTCGAACGTGCAGACCAAGAGCCCCTCGGCTGCGACGATACACCAATCGACTGGGAAGCCCTGATCGACGATGCAGTTGCTGCAGCCATGGCTCTGTCCACCATGGGCTACATGGCGCAGGCCGATGAAGCCTGGCTGCTGATACTCAGGATTGGGCAAATGCTGGACGAGAGATTCACCTACCTGCGAGCCCTGACCCACTTCCTGGGACAAGACCATCTGAATTCTAACCAGCAGCTCCAACTCTCCGAGGAGGTGGATCGAGCTCAGGAGCTGCTTGACGATCTGTGGCCTCAGCTCCAAAACGGATGGTTCTTTAAGCGCCAACATACTATAGTGATGCTATGCCTCTGCCACATGGCCAGCTACTATGCGCGGCAGGACTGTCTGTGCCACGCCCAGCTGCTGTTGCTGCAGGCCGAGGAGCTGCGCGCCCAGTTCGATGAGCGAGTTGGCAAGAGCGACATTGTGCAGATCACAATCCAGACAGTTCGCTTTCGATTGGAGTACCTGCGGAAGAAGCGGTTCAGCAGCCTGCCTAGGAGGCCGACGCCCCTGCGACAGCTCGAAACGCTGGTCGACAGCGTGCGCAACTACTGCACAGTGTCCAGCGTGGACCTGGGAGCCCTGCAGCTGCTGCTGGCTGACCTCGTGCGGGAGAGCACCGAGTGTGCGGCCAACCGGCTGACCGAGCGGTTCGCCTTTTACGGCACCATGCTTAACCTGGTGCTGCAGTCGGGTATGGCCCTGCGGACCATTGAGGTGCTCATCTCGTGGCTCTGGATGAACCTGCAGATGGAGTACCTGGACCAGGCGCAGTCCAAGCTGCGTCTCCTGGACCATTTGCTCGCCATCAAGCCGCTTAGTCGAACGCTGGTGGAGCAGACATCGGCCAAATACGTCCCCGCAATCGCCTCCAAGGAAGATCTCAAGGTGAATGCCATGAGCGAGCTGACCAGCAACATGCTGCTCATGCAGCTCGTGGAGCCGATAAGGAAGCAGAACCAGTTGGACGTGGCCACAATCAAATCTCTGCCCATGCACGAGCCAATTCCCACCAGCCATCAGCTGCAGCGCTATGTGAGCAAGCAAGGGACGCCGCCCCATCTACGGGACAGCATGCAGCTGCAATGTATCTACTTTATCGTGGGATGTCTCCATGCCCGCTTCAGCTTCTTGAAAAGGGAGAACGATCAGCTGGACGACTTCTACGTGGGGGCAGGCAATTGGCTGCAGGAGGATCCCGTACGCACCGCCACACTTGGCTCCATGCTCCTCGTGCACGAACTCTACCACCTCAACTATCTTCGCTTCAGAAAGAAGCATAAGGAGGCTCTCAGCTATGCGGAGGCAGGTCTCAAATCAGTGTACCAAACGGCGGACATCAACTATAGCTTCAACTTCATGGTCCAGCTGAAGACGGCCCGGTTGGAGCTGCATCCCGTTGGCAAAGCGAGGGCGAAGACCATTAGGCGAGCCCTCGCTTTCAACACTTCGCCAGAGGATAAACGCAGGAAAGGTGTTGTTGAGGGGTCTACCAAGGCAAAATCTTCTGCCAGAAAGACGCCCAGGTTCAAGATATACACGGAGCTGGAATTGCGACCCCCCATCGGCTGCAGCAACAGCAGCAGCAGTAGCAGCAAGAGCGGCAATGAGAACACGCCACCATCGGATCATGTGGATCTGAATGCCTGCCAGGCGATCGAGATAAGCGATGACGATGCTGCTTCGGTTTCAGCGTCGACTCCGGCTCCCTCTCAACTGAAACGATCCCAATCGGTGCCAGCCAAGGCCACAAAGACACGCTCCGCTAGAGTTGGTAGCCAACTAAAAGTACCAGAGATCATCGAATTGGACGATACCATGGAAGAGACGCCTTCCACCTCGACGGCAGCCACAGTGAAGCGGTATCCGACCACTGATGCAAGGAGCACTCGTGCCCGCAACAGGCAAATCGAGGAAACGCCAGCGACCACGCGGGGACGACCACGTCGGAAGGTACCGGAGCCTGCACCCCAGCAGGAGACAGTTAGCCTTAGGCGGCGACAAAGGAACTGATCAGAGCTGACACGTGCCTAGATTTATAATAGTTTATAGTTAATAGTTTTTTGTAGCTTGTCCTTATTCCATTTGATTGTGTATTTATAAACGTTATGGCAAGGAGATCGACCTTCCAGAGAATGTCTAAAATTTTCTTATTGCTTGAGCACGGGCATCAGCGAGCTCTTACAGATGTCCTGGACCCACTGACCAAACTGAATCCGATTCTGTCCGTGGTAGAAGAAGCCAGCGCCCGACTTGCAGCCCTCCTGGAACTCTCCCACATAGCGCTTTCCGTTTGCTGAACACAGACGAAACATATGGATCGACGAGGATTCTACTGAACTTTTCATTTTGTTAGAGGACTCACCCGAGAAGAGGACGCCCCGTCCGTGCATGGCATCCTGGAGCCATTCTCCCACATAGACGCGTCCGTCCGCATACCAATGTATGCCGCGTCCTTGCCGCTTGTTCATCTGCCACTGACCAAAGTAGACGGATCCATCGTCGTAGTACTGTTTTCCCTCCCCGCTGCGCTTGTCATGGCGCCACTGACCCACATAGAGGCGATGCACCTGGCCATCAGGGGACTCGCGCCGCATGGATCCGTAGCCATGACGTTGGCCCCGCTGCCACTGGCCCTCGTACACCAATCCACGACGGCTCGATTTCACTCCATAGCCGTGGTGTTGGTTCCTCAGCCACTTGCCCTGGTAGCGGCCATGTCCTCCGGCAGGATAGCGCAGGCTTCGAACACCATTGCCGCCACCAGCATGGCACGACATGTTGCAGACAACTGAGCCCCAGCCCCGCTTTGGGTTTGTCATCTGCGCTCTTCTTTCGTGTCCTGAGGTGCGTGCGGTGTCCCTTTTCTAATCAACCCCAACCATGTGTCCTGGCTCCGTTTTCCCCCATCCAACAACTCTCGTTAGCTAGTCGCTCTTCCAGTCGCTCCTGGCACGCAAGCCTAACGACCCGAAGGAGGTCAGGCGGGGGGAACGGCAATAGAAAATCGCTTGCTTCGGTTAAATATAGGTAGAAAAAAATCGTTTAATCGTACGTGTATAAATTACAGCGCAATTTCGCTTACATATTCGCCTATCAATATCAAAATTTGGGCTAACACGATCTGGTTCGGTTCGAATTATTGGGTTCTTACACACTACGTGGGCGAGGGAAGACTGCGCTATGGATGAGGTCTGGGTCTGGCATCGCGAGCGATGGCATACCACTAAAATACAATACAGATATTAGCGGGCGCGCCAACTAGTTACAACAAATATACAAGCTAATATTGAGGAATATTTAGTCAACACAGTGGTTTAAACTTGAAAGTAGTATTGCTTTAGTTTGGGTCTTTCATCATTGCATGCGATGAGTACACAGGGGTTACGATGTGTAAAGGTCTTGAGCATAAAGAAACATTGCTCGGGGCACAATCCTTTAGAATATATGTACTCATACTGTTTTTGTATAATAAAAATCTACTGCCTTCTGCGTATCACAATTTGCATCAACTACAAATTTACAAAATATTCACTTATTTAGTCTGAGGATTGACGGCGAGGCCTCTGGCCCACTGCCGCAAGTGTCTTTTCTTTTCTTTTTGTTTTCGTTAAGTTTTCAGAGAAGGATCGCCGAGATGGTTTATTGCTTCGTGGGATCCTCTCGCGATTGATACTGCTAAACGATGTCGCCGGCGGCACCGTAGTGGATGCCGTTATTGCGATTATGGTTGTTATGGTGCTCGAGGTGATCCTGTTCCATCTGCTCCTTGAGGATCTCCAGCTCCCGTATGCCGGAGACCGTCACCTCGTACTTGTGCGTCACCAGAGACCGATAGAAGTGTATGGCGAAAGCCAGGAAGATAATCATCACGGGTATCAGCACCACGCAGGCCGACCAGGCCGCCGGCGGGCTCAGATCATAGAACTTTACCCAGCACAGTATGGCTATCTCCAGCAGGAATAGGATCAATCCCAGCAGCGTCGAAAATGCCCACGCCGTCTCAATGTACCAGTGCAGGCGCTCGTGCGGCGACTCGTGAACCAGTGAGATGCTGTGCAGGTTGCACACCACCTCGATGTTCGGCAGGATGCAGGTGCTAATCATCAAAGCCAGCATATGCACGGCCACCAGCATAGTGGTGCAGATCGCGAACGCCACTAGCATGCCGGGCGGAACCTTTGTGTCGTGGTCCAGCTGCACCTCCACCATCGCCACCTGTGGGGGGACGCAAAAGAGCAGAGGTCGGGAGATTAGTGAGAGTCGTGGATGGGTTACGGGTTACTCTGCCAAGATCGCCGCTCTCAGGCGGCAATGCTCCTCCTATTATTATTATTAGCCATCTTTCTCAACATTTTGGCAAGTGTTGCTGGCGCGAGCAGATTTGTTTATATAATAAGTATCTCATTGGGTTAATTTATCTGATCTGCCCCTCTCTCACCTTCTACCTAGGTGCACAAACATGTGAAATATATTCAAAATATACAAAATAAAACTAGTCAAAATAGTGGCGGAGCAGAGGATACCCAATGTTTTTAAGAAAACAGTAAAAAATATGTTGTTGCAAAAACAACATTCCAAAAATTGAGAGATTGTTAACGTAGATTAATTCTATAATATTCATCTTTCGATTTTATAATAGAATTTGCCGTTGGCTATCAATGAATATGGTGGGAATCCGCCTTCTGTCAGCGAGATCTATTGCCTGGTTGGAAGACCTTCGATCACTGTAGGTAGCCCTATATACCCCCGATTAGTGGGTACGAAACCATACCGAAATAAATGCATGGTCTATAGCTGGCAGAATTGTTTGAAAAATTCAAAGATAGAGACTATAAATTTAACAAAAAATTAATTGGATCTAATTTTCCTCTAGTCAAAGTTAATTATGTTTAGAAGGTACACATGAATGTACAGAAAACCATTATATTTCTTTACAATATCAATATAATCATAATGCTCTACTATTATTTTGTATATTCCTGAGCTCGGTCTAGCACTTGCACATCATTTGAGTAAACCATTGAAATGGAACCAATTACAGCTTAGATTCCCACTCGCATAGCAAACCAGTTTCCCATCACATTTGGAAAGCTTATAACGCTCACAGTGTATACAGACTTCGTTGTGGCTATTATTTTCGTTGGGATTTCACCCAAGAAACCGTCTAGGAAATTGGTGTTTTTCTGCCAGAATCTCTGACCCTGCTGTACATACGGTTTATGATCTAATTACGTTTATGTACAGACGCGTGATGTGTTCTCACAACGGAACAAGGGACAAATGCTAATTCTTTTCTATAAGAATAACTTTCTATATGATGTTGTGGATTCACAAACTCATTGCAATATTCCTATACACTATCCTGTCTGTCGAGTACTGAATGCATCATAGAAATATAAATATTATTGACTTACCATGGCGAAGCCGGAGAGTAGGGCCGATGTCTTGCTGGAGGCCTTCAATTTGGCGCGGCTCAGCTGGAGCTTGCGCCAGGAGAGGTAGGTGGGCGAGTGGAGATCCTCGCCGGATTGCGACATGCTGCTGCTGCCGGTGCGGTGCTGGCGCGGCTGAAAGCGGTAAGACTGATTCTGTTGGAAGGTGCGAAACTGAAATGGTGGCGGTGATATGGAAGCTGCTAGCCCTGACGGCAACGGCAGTGGTAACGGTAACGGCAGGGGCGGACCTGCCGCAGGTGGGAGAGAGGTGTCTCTCTGCGCGTTGAAGCGTCCCGAGCCCGCGTGTGGGGAATTCGAATTAAAATTGTGGTAGAGATATCGCGACGATCCAACGTAACTACTCGGGCCCGAGTGGACGGGTCGACTGCCGAGATTGCTGTGGATGTGACAGCTCTGGCCGGGGTTCTGGCTGTGGAAGCGCAATGGGCGACACGAGTCGCACATACTGTAGTCGGCGCCGGGTCCGGTGATCGGTAGGTGGCCAGAGGGAACCGTCGTCGCCGTCGCCGCCGCCGTATATGCATCTACGCTGGCCGCCAGCTTCGCCGTTGCATGCAGTGCACTGGCCAGGGCCGAGGGCTGGCCCGCCCGCATCGGCGCATTCATCGGCATTTGTCCCATACACCTGCCTGCTGCATGAAACTGGGAGCGACCTCTGCCCAGGGGAAGCATGTCCAGAGTCTCGCTGCTCTCCGTGCGCTCCGTGGTGGTGGCGGCGCTGCCATCGAAGGAGCTCTGCTGGTGGCTCAGCAGAAGGCTGCTGCGGCTGAGATTGGAACGGGTATAGCGGAGGCTGGAGTAGGTGTCGCTCCGGATACTGGCGCTGGTGTTTGCATGGCTGTTGCTGTTGCTATTGCTGACGCTGGTGGAGGGCAGCAGCTGCTCGTCCTCGTTCTCCGCCTGGGTCTGGGTCTCCGGGTGATGGCCCGGCTCCTGTTCGGGCCGCATCTGTCGTTTGCGGCGAGGGGGTTTGGTCGGGAAGGATTCCTCGAGCGGCCGTGGCGGCATGTGCTTTGTTGTCTCCGTACTGGTGCTCTGTTCGTCTCCGGATCAGACTGCCGTCATGGCGGTTCTCTAATGACTCTATCGGAGGAGGGTCACTCGTTTCCGGACAGGCAACGGCCACTGGGGCTTCGATTCGATCGGATCGGAATTGTTTCACTCAAGTTTTCAATCTTTTTGGGTTTATTTTCTAAATTTCCGTTTCACTTGGTTGATTTTGCGCTTCCCATTGATGTGTTTTTGTTGTTGCTGCTTCTGCTTTTGCTATTGCTTTTACTTTTGCTATTGTTAATGTTTTTTGTTTGCGCGACAGTGTACATCAGAGTGTGCTTGTGTTGGTGTGTGATCTTTTGGGGCACATGACAATTGATCAGCAATTACCCACACACTGACAGAATAACTACAGAGACTGGGGTCTGGGGCACACTAAACTTGGCGAAATGCTCTCCTCACGCCTCTCACTCGCTGCCGCTCGGTCGCTCTCGCTCTCGCTCTCTATCTCTCTCTCTCTATCCCTCCGATCTTGCGCTGCAGTGCGTTAAAATATTTACTTTTTATTTATAAACATTTTATGGGTTTATGAAATGTAAAATTCGTGTGTCAATAAAACGAACTTTGCTGGCACGCATACACTGACAGGTCAGGCGACACTTGATTCAGTACGAGGTGTATTAC